GTAGTAGAAAGAATGCTTTTAAAAATTAAAAGAAAAAGTCTCTGATAATTGTGCGGCTCAGCTGGGCATGGAGGGGGGCAGTGATTTTTGCTACCGGTTCTCCGAACCACCCGCCTCCATCGCTACCGGATTGGGTGATCCGGTCCAAACTGGGAGCATTTCACCCCTGCATTTAAGTGAGTTTTGTCCCATTGTGCAACCTTTCTTGCCGTAGTTAGGTGAATCACTGCAATTGTTAAATTAGTAACATGGTTGTTAAGTGAAACTGGCTTCCCTATTGACTTTGTTTGTCAGAAGGTCGCAAGAAAGGACCACGGGACTCCCCGGACATTGCAACCATCATAAATATGAGTCAGTTGCCAAAATCTGAATTTTGATCACGTGAGCATGGGGATACTGCAATGGTTACAAGTGTGAAAAATATGACTGGTCACTTTTTTCAGTGTTGCAACATGGAACGGTCACTAAAATAATGGTTTTAACTCAAGGACTAGCTGTATTCATTTTTGACAAACTTGGGTTTATTATTAGCTCTAAGATATATTCTTCAGCAGAAAAGCATCCAGCAGGAATTGCTTTTTGCCATAGGAAAATTAAATGAAGCTTAATGCTCACAGCGAGGGCAAATATAACAGTGCTTTACACTCCTGAATTGAACTGCACTGCAAAGTGACTGCTATAAGAACATATACAGTATTTCCTGACTAATATCTCCACTAACAAGCCAGGAAGATACCACTTGGTGTAGAGCAGGCAGGGGTGTCAAACTCAAAGCCAGTGGACCACATCTGGCTCACAGGGCTGGCCTGGAAATATCAAAGGTCCATGGCTGCCTCTGCCAGCCATTTCTATTTACTATCCTGGAAATTTACCTCTGCTGTTAGATCTTGTATTATCATGTTATTTATGCTATTGTATTTTTATTATTAGTTGAATAATAAAAATACAGTCATATAAATAGCTTTTCTGCCTGGAAAAGCAATTTGCTATTAAACAATGGGGTATACATTTAGAAATAAAAAGTTTAGTGGAATATGAAGAATAAGTAATAAATGTTTGCCAGTAATATCTCTAGATGAGATAGGAAAATGGTTGTAGTAAAGAACTGTGGAAAGAAAGAAAGAAAGAAAGAAAGAAAGAAAGAAAGAAAGAAAGAAAGGGAAAAAATGCACCTTGCAAATTGCAAAGAGCCTTGGTAGTACAGTGATCTAAGGCACCCTGTTATTAAGCTGGTTATTAAGACCAGCTGCCTGCAATTACTGCAGGTTAGAATCTCGCCAAGGCTCAAGGTTGACTCAGCCTTCCATCCTTTCTAAGGTAGGTAAATTGAGAACTCAGTTGTGGGGGCAATAAGCTGACTTTGTATAAATATACAAAAGGATGAAGGCTATTGCTGAGCACATTGTAAGCCACCCTGAGTCTCCGGAGAAGGGCGGCATATAAATCAAATTAAAAAAAAAAATTGCTGTCAGAGAAACTAGGAGATGATGAATTCTAGTGACTTTGGGCCAATCACCAGGTGGATGTGAGTTCTAGTCCCAATTTAAGCATGAGAGTCACTTTGGTGACTGGCTGAATCACCAGGAGACGGTGAGTTCTAGATATGAAAGCTGCTTGGGTTTCGGCTCAGAATCCACACACTTAGATTAATTATATTACGTATAAAGAAAGATTTAGCACTGGCTGGGGGATTCTGGGAGTTGAAGTCCACCCATCTTCAAGCTACCAAAGTTGAGAAACACTGGTCTAGACAGACCCTTGAGTAGGAGTTGGTGGGCTACCAAAAAGATTTCTGAAGTCCACCAAGAACAACGCGAGGCGCTATTTGTACCTAAATAGGACCCTTTGAGACTTCAAAGCAGCTGAAACAACACTGACCATGTCTGAACTGGTCCAGGAGGGTTGCCTGCTGTTGATCGTAGATAATTTCCTCTACTGGAAGTCAAGACAACCATACGGGAGGATCCTGCTTTCATCTTACTTGCCTATGTTGCTATTTTAGGTCCAGCTGGGTTTTCTTGACACTGGGACAAAGCTGAGGTACAAAAATTGTGACACAACAATAGGCCCAACAGGTAAGTAGTACCCTGTTTAGCCTTGGAAAAGGGTTGTGTAGTTTTAAATGCAGACAGAGGCTGATGGGACCCAACTGTCCTTCACAGGATACAATCGCTTCACCAATGCAGAAGAACAAGCTAAACCAGTGACTACAAAGATCTACCAGGTGAGCATGGGAGAATTTCTGGACCAAAACTGTACGGACCTGCAAAAATGAACCGAGCTCCTGCAACATATAGCCCCCACTTCAATTACACATGGATGCCATTACCACCTTCGTTTGCCATCTGTCCTCCTGGGCTGGAATATTTATCCCACCTTGATTGGTTATTAATCCACCAGAAGTATGAAGTTCTGGAGCTGATCACGTCTTTTGAAACAGCCAACAAGTACGAAGTGAGAAACAGGCTGGGAGAAATGGTGTATTTCGCCACAGAAGAGAACAACTGGTGCGTGAGGAATTGCCTCGGGACCTTGCGGCCTTTCACCATGGTGATCTCGAACCACGTGGGACAGCAGGTCATCCATCTCGTGAGACCTTTCCGTTGTGACGGCTGCTGTTGCCCGTGCTGCTTGCAAGAATTGGAAATCCAGGCCCCGCCAGGTTTACCCATTGGCTTCATCCAGCAGGTGTGGCACCCCCTTCTGCCCAAATTTGTAATCCAAAACGAAGCTCACAAAGATGTCCTGAAAATCGTTGGACCTTGCATAACGTCTGCCTGCTTTGGCGATGTGGTATTTGAAGTGTTGGCACTAGATGAAAAGACCAGCGTCGGAAGGATTTCTAAGAAGTGGGGAGGTGTTCTCCAGGAGTTCTTCACGGATGTGGATTTCCTCGGAATTTCATTCCCTCTTGATCTGGATGTTAAAATGAAAGCAGTGATGCTCGGGGCTGGTTTTCTCCTTGATTTCATTTTCTTTGAAGAAGTTGGAGAAGGTGGAGGAAGATGTAGTGTTTGGTGTTAAAAAGCTAACCATCCTTGCATTATAAAACCTTTAGAGAAAGTCCTTGTGTTGATCTATTCTTCCTTGGCTAAAACGGGGATCCAGGATTTGTGACTCGAGATTGTTTTGGGATAACAAACATTAAAGCTTATTCTTGATAATATTTGGTCCATAAACTTTTCCTGCACTTGTAGGAGAAGAACTATTTCAGGACGTGACTGTATTTTAGGCAGCCTTTCAAACCGAAAGGAAAGAAATTTTCTTCGTCTTACGGTTTGGTTAAGAAATCTTGGGTGTTTCTTTTTAGGTTCCTTTCGTTTGTGCATCGTAATTTTTGAGATCTGATGGAAGAGTGCATAGAAATAACAATAAGAAGATATTCCAGCATGTTATATTATACTGAATCCGGTGTAGTTGTAGGACTGAAATACTACATCTTCAGAAAGAGATGTATTCTGGTTTGAAAGCTGTGGTCTTTAATAGAAGGTAGAATAACAGGTTTGGGAGGGATCTTAGAGGTCTTCTAGTCCAACCCCTGGTCAGCAGCAACTGTGTGATCCCAACCTTTCCAAATTAACTGGGGAGTTTATTTGCAAAAGAACGAGTATCCTGCTGCATTGTATTCTCTCTTTTTAACTTGGCTCAGCTCTGTCCCTCAGATCTATGTATATTCATTCCTTTTGGATGGACTTGGTTTTTTTTATCAGCTCTGAAATATATTCTTCAGAAAAGCAGCATCTGGCAGGATTTGCTTTTTGCCATACAATTTTGAAAGGAGAATTAAAAGCTCTGGAATGAGCTCCCCCCGGAGATACGGACGATCACAGATCTGCGTGCTTTCCGCCGTGCCCTCAAAACATTCCTATTCCAGCAGGCCGGCCTGGCCTAACCTCTTTTTTAAACTGTTTTTAAAATTTTAAATTTGTCTTATAAATTTGGGGTGTTTTAAATTTTGTTTTCTGGGCCAAATTATTTAATTGTATTTTAATGGTTTTTTTAACATTTGTATTATATGTATTTTATCTTTTGGCTGTTCACCGCCCTGAGTCCTTCGGGAGTAGGGCGGTATACAAATTCAATAAACAAATAAATAAACAAACAAACAAACAAATAAATAAATAGGTCAATGTGATGGCAGACAAACAATTGGTTATCCTCTAGAATTGCACTGCCCTGCAAAACAACTGAAGTAAGAATACATACTGAATTTCTTGACGGATAACTCCACCAACAAACCAGAAAGATATAAGTACGACAACCAGTTTGTGTAGAGGTAAAGGTAGTGGCCTGGAAGCTAGGAGATGATGAATTCTAGTCCTGCTTAAAGCATGAAAGCTGGCTGGGTGACTCCTGGGCCAATCACAAGGTGGGATGTGAGTTCTAGTCCTGCTTTAGGCATGGAAGGCAATTTGGTGACTTTGGCTGAATCACCAGGAGACGGTGAGTTCTACACATGAAAGCTGCTTGGGTTTCGGCTCAGAATCCACACACTTAGATCAACTATTACGTATAAAGAAAGATTTAAACTTTCTTTAAACTCTTCTTTTAAACTCTTTAAAAGAATCTCACCGACAAGGGGAGGAATTTGTACGTGGTTCTGTTCGATATTCTAGACAGACCCTTGAGTAGGAGTTGGTGGGCTACCAAAAAGATTTCTGAAGTCCACCAAGAACAACGCGAGGCACTGTTTGTACCTAAATAGGACCCTTTGAGACTTCAAAGCAGCTGAAGCAACACTGACCTTGCCTGCTGTTGATCGTACATAATTTCCTCTACTGGAAGTCAAGACAGCCATACGGGAGGATCCTGCTTTCATTTTACTTGCCTATGTTGCTATTTTAGGTCCAGCTGGGTTTTCTTGACACTGGGACAAAGCTGAGGTACAAAAATTGTGACGCAACAATAGGCCCAACAGGTAAGTAGCACCCTGTTTAGCCCTTGCAAAGGGTTGGGTTGTGTAGGTTCAGATGCAGGCAGAGGCTGATGGGACCCAACTGTCCTTCAAAGGATACAATCGCTTCACCAATGCAGAAGAAGAAGCTAAGCCTGTGACTACAAAGATCTACCAGGTGAGCATGGGAGAATTTCTGGACCAAAACTATACGGACCTGCAAAAATGAATCAAGCTCCTCCAACACATAGCCCCAACCCCAATTATACATGGATGCCATTACCACCTTCGTTTGACGACTGTCCTCCTGGGCTGGAATATTTATCCCAACTTGATTGGTTATTAATCCACCAGAAGTATGAAGTTCTGGAGATTATCACGTCTTTTGAAACAGCCAACAAGTACGAAGTGAGAAACAGGCTGGGAGAAATGGTGTATTTCGCCAGAGAAGACAGCAACTGGTTTATGAGGAATTGCCTCGCGGCCTTGCGGCCTTTCACCATGGTGATCTCGAACAACGTGGGAGAGCCGGTCATCCATCTCGTGAGACCTTTCCGTTGTGACGGCTGCTGCTGCCCGTGTTGCTTGCAAGAATTGGAAATCCAGGCCCCGCCAGGCTTACCCATTGGCTACATCCAGCAGCTGTGGCACCCCTGTCTGCCCAAATTTGTAATTCAAGACAAAGCTCACAAAGATGTCCTGAAAATCGTTGGACCTTGCATAACGTCTGCCTGCTTTGGCGATGTGGTATTTGAGGTGATGGCACTAGATGAAAAGACCAGCGTCGGAAGGATTGCTAAGAAGTGGGGAGGTGTTCTCCAGGAGTTCTTCACGGATGTGGATTTCCTCGGAATTTCATTCCCTCTTGATTTGGATGTTAAAATGAAAGCAGTGATGCTTGGGGCTGGTTTTCTCCTTGATTTCATTTTCTTTGAAGAAGGAACATGTGGAGGAAGGTGGACTGTTTGGGGTTAAAAAACTGACCATCCTTGCATTATAAAACCTCTAGAGAAACTCCTTGTGTTGATCTATTCTTCCCTGGCTAAAATGGGGGAGCCAGGATTTGTGACTCGAGATTGTTTTGGGATAACAAATATTAAAGCTTATTTTTGATAATATTTAATCCATAAACCTTTCCTGTAATTGTAGGAGAAGAACTACCATATTTTTCGGAGTATAAGACACACCTTAGTTTTTTGGGAGGAAAATAGGAAAAAAGGTGATTGGTGGATCGGCCTCCCAGAACACCCCCAAATCAGCTGTTCCCAGAGGTGAATTTTAGCAACAGGTTCCTTGGTTGTGAGCTCTGTGCCTTGCTTTTTTTTTTTCTGTCTCTGAAACTTCTGAAACTGTTTCAGAAAAAAACTTTTTTTCCTGCTTCTGAAAGCCTCCAAAACAGAGCTTCAGAAAAAAAGCCTCTGAAGCTCTGTTTGGGGGCTTTTTTTCTGAAGCTTTATTTCTGATCCTTTTTTCAGCCTCTGAAACCTCCATTTGAGAAGCTTGATAGGGCTACATTCGGAGTATAAGACATACACAGATTTTCACCCTCTTTTTTGGGGGGAAAAAGGTGCATCTTATACTCCAAAAAATATGGTATTTCAGGACGTAACTGTATTTTAGGCAGCCTTTCAAACCGAAAGGAAATAAGTTTTCTTTGTCTTACGGTTTGGTTAAGAAATCTTGGATGTTTCTTTTTAGGTTCCTTTCGAGTTCATCGTAATTTTTGAGATCTGATGGAAGAGTGCATGGAAATAACAATAAGAAGATATTCCAGTCTGTTATAATTATACTGCATCCGGTGTAGTTGTAGGACTGAAATACTAGATCTTCAGAAAGAGACGTATTCTGGTTTGAAATCTATGATCTTTAATAGAAGTTAGAATAACAGGGTTGGGAGGGATCCTAGAGGTCTTCTAGTCCAGGGGTCACCAACCTTTCAGACCTCAGGGACCACTAAATTCATAATTTTAAATCCCACAGACCACTAATATGATCTGCCTAACAACCAGCTGGGTCGGAGTGGCTGAGTGGTCATGTGACTGGGTGGGTGTGGCCAACTCGACATCATGTACATCGAGGGGCGCCGCGCCGGCCTCTACTCGCCCCTTGCCTCCCAACCACTCCTCGCCTCCCCGTTCGGGCTCCTTAGGGCCCCAACAAGAAGCAGTTGTTGGAGTTAAGCAGCCACCATGAGAAAGAGTTGGCAAAACAGCTGGCTCAGTTCAAATTGATCTGGCCAAGAAGGAGGCTCAGCAAAAGCACCTCACTGAGGACTACAAACATAGGCTTTCCAAGCAGAGGGAAGACCTGCGGGAGTGCAAGGCCAGGTACAGGCGCCTGGAGGCTCAGCGGGCTGAAATGGTCAGCCAGTTCCAGGCCATGATGCAGTCCCACTGGAACAAGGCCCTCCGGCTCTTCGCCACCAGTGACGCTTCCCTCTAGCCTTCACCCAAAGCCCCACACCAGGAGGCTGAAGCAGACCCCAAGTCAGAATTTCTGCCCCCCTCCAACTCACACCAAAAGACCCCGACTGGGGACACTCTCTGCAACAACACAAACATTCATTGCACGTATCTGTCCCAGGGGCCGTAGTTTGAGGACCCCCGATTTAGTGCAATATGAAAAAAATCCAAATAATTTTTCTGTGGACCACCAAAATTTTCTTGTAGACCACCAGTGGTCCATGGACTACCAGTTGGTGACCACTGTTCTAGTCCATCCCCTGCTCAGCAGCAACTGTGTGATCCCAACCATTCCAAATTAACTGGGGAGTTTATCTGCAAAAGAACGAGTATCCTGCTGCATTGTATTCTCTCTTTTTAACTTGGCTCAGCTCTGTCCCTCAAATCTATGTATATTCATTCCTTTTGGATGGACTTGGGTTTTTTTTTTATTAGTTCTGAAATATATGCTTCAGAAAAGCAGCATCTGGCAGGATTTGCTTTTTGCCATACAATTTCGTTAGGAAAATTAAAAGGTCACAGCGATGGCAGACAAACAATGGCTTATTCTCTTGAATTGCATTGCCCTGCAAAATGACTGAAGTAAGAATATATATGGAATTTCTTGACTGATAACTCCACCAACAAGCCAGAAAGGTATCAGGTGCTGGCCTGGAAACCAGGAGATTTATTTATTTATTTATTTATTTATTTTTATTACATTTTTATACCGCCCTTCTCCTGCTGGACTCAGGGCGGTGCACAGCCAAGAATAAAAAACATCCCAATACAAAATTTAAAATTTTAAATGATGATGAATTCTAGTCCTGCTTTAAGCATGAAAGCTGGCTGGCTGATTCCTGGGCCAATCACAAGGTGGGATGTGAGTTCTAGTCCTGCTTTAGGCATGGAAGGCAATTTGGTGACTTTGGCCGAATCACCAGGAGACGGTGAGTTCTAGACATGAAAGCTGCTTGGGTGACTGGGCCAGTCAATCTCTCTCCGCCCAACCCAACTCACACGTCGTCGTCGTGGGAAAATAGGAGGAAGGAGTATTAACTATGTTCACCGCTTTGAGTTATTTATAAAAAATAATACAGGTGGAATATAAGTAAAATTAAAAAATAAAAAGCTGGATTGAAGCTACTTTGTCTCTGTAGTTGACTTACTAAGTGCTGTGGGATTCATTCTTTTAAGTTAGATATGTCTCAAATGCCACTGTGAGTTCCCCTTTTTCATTTTTTAAAACACTTATGTCAGTACATAACCTGCCAATTCACAGAGTTATTCTGGTTCCTTGTGTCTCACAATCGACCTACCTATGTTGGATCTCCATGTAACCTATGAAGGAAGGATTGGGTTGAGAATCCATACAGATTATTTACATCAACTATTATGTACAAGTTCTTAAAGAGATGGGAGTACCAGACCATCTTATTTGTCTCTTAAGAAACCTATATGCGGGTCAAGAAGCAACAGTGAGAACTGGACACGGAACCACTGATTGGTTCAAAATTGGGAAAGGAGTCCGCCAAGGCTGTATACTGTCACCTTTCCTATTTAATTTATAAGCAGAGCACATCATGAGAAAGGCGGGGCTAGATGAATCAAAAGTTGGAGTTAAGATTGCGGGGAGAAATATCAACAACCTCAGTTATGCGGATGATACTACTCTAATGGCAGAAAGTTAAGAGGAACTAAAGAGCCTCTTGATGCGGGTGAAGGAGGAGAGTGCAAAACTTGGCTTGAAACTCAACATTAAGAAAACTAAGATCATGGCATCTGGCCCTCTCAATTCCTGGCAAATAAATGAGGAAGAAATGGAAGTAGTGACAGATTTTATTTTCCTGGGCTCCAAGATCACCACACATGGGGACTGCAGCCAAGAAATTAAAAGACGCTTGCTCCTAAGGAGGAAAGCTATGGCAAATCTAGACAGCATTGTAAAAAGCAGAGACCTCACCCTGCCAACAAAAGTGCGTATAGTCAAGGCTATGGTTTTCCCAGTTGCAATGGATGGCCGTGAAAGTTGGACCATTAGAAAGGCTGAGCATCAAAGAATGGAGGTCTTTGAACTCTGGTGCTGGAGAAGACTCCTGCTAGTCCCTTGGACTGCAAGGCAATCAAACTAGTCAGTCCTAGAGGAGATCAACCCTGACTGCTCTTTAGAAGGCCAGATCCTGAAGATGAAACTCAAATACTTTGGCCACTTAATGAGAAGGAAGGACTCACTGGAGAAGAGCCTCATGCTGGGAAAGACTGAGGGCAAAAGAAGAAGGGGACGACAGAGAACGAGGTGGCTGGATGGAGACACTAAAGCAGTCGGTGTGAGCTTAAATGGACTCCAGAGGATGGTAGAGGACAGAAAGGCCTGGAGGAATGCTGTCCATGGGGTCGCGATGGGTCGGACACGACTTCGCAACTAACCACAACAACATTATGTACAAAGGAAGCTTTGTACAACTCTTAAAAAGAATCTCATGGAGAAGGGGGAGGATTTTTTTTCCTGTGTTCCTTTTGGATATTCTAGACCCATGATGGCGAACCTATGGCACATGTGCCAGAGGTGGCACACATAGCCATATCAGTGGGCACGTGAGTTCAGCTGCGGCGTGCCAGCTGATTTCAGGCCTTCTGGGCCCACCAGAAGTAGGGAAACAGGCTGTTTTCTGCCTCTGGAAGGCCTCGGGGGTGGGGGTGGGCAAGGCCCGTTTTTCTTTCTCACCAGCCTCCAGAGCCTTTATAGGAGTGGTGGGACCGGTGGGACCGGTAGTTGGCAAACGGGCCATTTCTGGCCTCCAGAGGGCCTCTGAGGGGGTGGGGAAGGCCATTTTCGCCATCTCCAGACTCCTAGAAAGATTCTGGAGCTAGGTGAGAGAGAAAAATGGGCCTACTGGGTCATCGCGTGCCAGGAGCGTGGGGAGCATAAGAGAGTTGTGCGCGCATGCGCGGGGCGGATAGAATTATGGGTGGGCACGTGCACGCCCCCCCACCCCTGGCACGCAATGGCAAAAAGGGTAGCCATCACTGTTCTAGACAGACCATTAAGTAGGACTTGATGGGCTACCAAAAAGGTTTCTGAAGTCCACCAATAGACCATCTCCACAAAGCCATAAATAGGAGCCTTCGAGACTTCAAAGCAGCCGAAACAGCTCTCACAATGTCTGAGCTGATCAGGAGGGTTGTCTGATGTTGCTCACCCACCCAGCTGCTCACCTGACGTATTGGTAATTTTCTCTACTGGAAGTCAAGGCAGCCATTATAGGAGGATCCTACTTTCCTTTTACCTGTCTGGGTTGATTTTTTTTAGGTCCCTCTGTCTTTTCATGAAAGTTCAGGGGAGAAAGCTGAGGTACAAAAATTATGACACCTGATGTATTGGTAATTTTCTCTACTGGAAGTCAAGGCAGCCATATAGGAGGATCCTACTTTCCTTTTACCTCTCTGGGTTGATTTTTTTAGGTCCGTCTGGGTTTTCATGAAAGTTCAGGGGAGAAAGCTGAGGTACAAAATTATGACACAACAATAGGCCCAACAGGTAAGTAGCACCCTGTTTAGCCTTTGCAAAGGTTGGGCTGTATAGGTTCAGATATAGACAGAGGCTGATGGGACCTAATTGTCCTTGACAGGATACAGTCACTTCTTCAATGCAGAAGAACAAGCTAAGCCAGTGACTTATCAGGTGAGCATGGAAGAATTTCTGGACCAAAACTGTACGGACCTGCAAAAATGATCCAGCTTCCTACTACAGCTATAACGGCATATGGCTACAGCCGCAATGACATGTGGATGCCATTACCACCTTCGTTTACCGTCTGTCCTCCTGGGTTGGAATATTTATACCAACTTGATTGGTTATTAATCCACCAGAAATATGAAGTTCTGGAGCTGATCACGTCTTTTGAAACAGCCAACAAGTACGAAGTGAGGAACGTGCTTGGGGAAATGGTGTATTTTGCCACAGAAAAGAACAACTGGTGCGTGAGGAATTGCCTCGGGACCTTGCGGCCTTTCACCATGGTGATCTCGAACGACGTGGGAGAGCCGGTCATCCATCTCGTGAGACCTTTCCGTTGTGACGGCTGCTGTTGCCCGTGCTGCTTGCAAGAATTGGAAATCCAGGCCCCACCCGGCTTACCCATTGGCTACGTCCAGCAGCTGTGGCACCCCTGTCTGCCCAAATTTGTAGTCAAAAACGAAGCCCACAGAGATGTCCTGAAAATCGTTGGACCTTGCATAACGTCTTCCTGCTTTGGCGAGGTGGTATTTGAGGTGATGGCACTAGATGAACAGACCAGCGTTGGAAGGATTGCTAAGAAGTGGGGAGGTGTTCTCCAGGAGTTCTTCACGGATGTGGATTTCCTTGGAATTTTGTTCCCTCGAAACCTTGATGTTAAAATGAAAGCAGTGATGCTTGGGGCAGGTTTCCTCCTTGATTTCATGTTCTTTGAAGAAGGAGGAGGGGCAGGTGGAGAATGATATATTGTTTGGTCTTAAAAGCTGACCACCCTTGAATTATAAAACCTTTAGAGAAAGTCCTTGTGTTGATCTATTCTTTCTTGGCTAAAATGGGGAGCCAGGTCTGCTGACTCAAGATTATTTTGGGATAACAAATATTAAAGGGACAGAGCTGAGCCAAGTTAAAAAGAGAGAAGGCAACGCAGCAGGCTATTCATTCTTTTGCAAATAAATTCCCCTGTTAATTTGGATTTTGAATGGATGGGATCACACAGTTGCTGCTGAGCAGGGGGCTGGACTAAGACCCCTCCAAGATCCCTCCCAACTCTGTTATTCTATCCTCTATTAAAAACCACAGCTTTCAAACCAGAATCACTGCGCTCACATAAAGCAGTATGCCAAAACCAAATGAACAAACCATGGGCTGACTACAAGTTTAATTAATACTGGTAGTCCTCAATTTACAACCGTTCATTTAGTGTTCCAACAAAAAATGAAAATATGAAATATGACCAATTTTTTTTCACACTTATGACCTTCACAGCATCCTCATGGTCATGGGATCAAAATTCAGAAGCCTGGCAATTGACTCCTGACTTTGACGGTTGCAGTGTCCCTGGGAGTTGAAGTCCAGACAAACTAAAATGGTCAAAGTTGAAAAACACTGTTAGAAGAAATATCCTTCTGGGTTCAGCTCCAAGTGGGGAAAAAGATACTGGAAACATGGAGACTGCTCGGAAAGATGGTTTAATGGTGGACAGGATCACATGGTTTGAGTTCCTGAACAGAAAAGGGCCGAGATGCTGCGAGTTCCTGGGTTTTATGTCCTCTCTGAGCCCTGAACTTCCTGGGGCCCAGAGAGAGTATCCTGATTGGTTGTCAGACTCCCAGGGGGTGGGGGTCTTAGCTAGCCTTGCTGGCTGATGTAATCTTCCCAGGTGCCATGTGGTGAGTTTCTGTTGCTAGATGGGTCCTATTGTGTTAGTTTCTGTTACTAGATGGGTCCAATTGCGTTGCAGATGATGGTCCAGTGACAAAGGGGGGGGGCAGGAAGGTGGGAGCTGTTTTGTCTCTAAAACATGTTTCTCCATTTCTGTTCTGCCCCAGCTATGGACCCCAAAGAACGCAGCACACACAAAAACTAGACAAAGCTTATTTTACTCAAAATAACTTAGTCTTTATCAACCAAAGGCTGTTAATAAACTGTCTTAACAGCCTACCAGAATTCTAAAATAAGGTAATCACAGTCTTACTAGGGTTGGCAGAAAGCCCAGAAGCAATTTTGCAGAGAATCCAGATGCGAAGGAGAGTGAACTAAAGTTGTTCCCTACAACTTGCTTCAGTCGGCGTTCCTCCTTAAATAGGCTAAGGGAGTGGCCAATTAGCCCCAAGCCTTACTCTCGAGGAGACCTCCTCCAGAGGAGCCATTCCTGCCTTTTGGCAGCTCTGTGTGCCCGTGCATTGAGAAGAGGCTCCTCTTCTTCGTCCTCTTCACTTAAAGGAGTCTCTGGAGGTTCTGAAGGCCCTGGCTGAATCCCTGCCTCTGGCACCACATCTCCAGCCTCCTCACTGTCCGACTCGAGCACCAGCTGCATAGGCTGCTGGCGCACAACCACACCGGCCTCCTTATTGTCGGAATCAGCTACAATCTGCACCGGCCGTTGATGGACCACAACAATTTCTCAATCAGGGAAATATAATATTCTGCCTTTTTAATATTTCCCCAAAAAATATTTCATTCTTCTAGGAAAGGGGTGGGTGCTAACTTCCTACAACACCAATCTATCTGGATCTAGTGAAAGAGTGTGGTGCAAGTATGGCAATGACTTTAAGTAGCATATCCACTGTCCACAGAAATGTGTAGCGAGAGATAGTGATCAGGTAGAGAATGAAATACTAGGTTACAAAATGGTGGTACCTCAAGGGTTATTTTTCTGTTTCAATGGCTAACACATCCGAATTTAAACTAGAATGGAAGGGAAGGGAGGGGGAACAGTGGTGGAATTCAATTTTTTTTTACTACCGGTTCTGTGGGCGTGGCTTGGTGCGTGTGGCTTGGTGGGCATGGCAGGGGAAGGATACTGCAAAATCCCCATTCCCTCCCCACTCCTGGGGGAAGGATATTGTAAACTCTCCATTCCCACCTCACTCTGGAAACAGCCAGAGGTGGTATTTGCTGGTTCTCCAAACTATTCAAAATTTCCACTACCGGTTCTCCAGAACCTGTCAGAACCTGCTGAATAGCACTCCTGAGGAGGAAGTATTACTTTTCATTCAATCCTTATTCAGAACAGAAACATCCCATTTTTCACCGTCATGACAGAAACCCTAAAACCAGATGTATTTCACACCTGGCCATCAGGATGACAAATAAGCAAAACTGCATTATGACAGCACAGTGAATGCATTGTCTTTTCATATTTGCGTTGCACTGCATGGAAGTCTGTAAGGAGTAAAGTCTTGTGCAATGCTACTGTGACATCCATCTGCCTCCTTTCCACAGATGGATGTAACTAAGCTAAGTATAACACTGCCCTCTTTGGCTTAATAAGGGTTTTAATTCTCTCTCTATAGCTAGTCCTCGACATAAGACCACAAGTGGGCTACAACTTCCATTGCTGAGACATGCAGTCATTAAGTGTGTTGCATTTGGTTTTACGCGCTTTTTGCCTGCAGCCACTAAGTGGATCACCATGGTTTTTTTAAAGGAAATTTGGCTTCTCTATAATTGGCCTGAAGCTATCTGGGAAGGGTTGCAAAACCCTGGGACACTGCATTTGTTGTAAGTATATGCCAGTTGACAATTGCCTACATTTAGATCATATGGCCCCAGGGATGTTACAATGGGTGTCTTAAGTGCGAGGATTGGTTGCAAGTTACTTTTTTTCAGCACTGTATAACTCTGAACTGTCACCAAACTAACGGTCGTAAATTGAGGACTATTTCTATGTATTAAGCATACCAAAGCATTATTCACAACTAAATCTATATAGATTGTTACTCACCCTCACATCTGCTCACCTGAAGTAGTGGTAATTTTCTCTACTGGAAGTCAAGGCAGCCATATAGGAGGATCCTACTTTCCTTTTACCTGTCTGGGTTGCTTTTTTAGGTCCAGCTGGGTTTTCATAAAACTTCAGGGGAGAAAGCTGAAGTACAAAAATTATGACACAACAATAGGCTCAACAGGTAAGTAGCACCCTGTTTAGCCTTTGCAAAGGGTTGGGCTGTATAGTTTCAGATATAGACAGAGCAGGGGTGAAATCTACTTACCTTCCTTACCGGTTCGGAAGCTCACGTGCCACTCACATCACGTGCGCAGAAGGTAAAAATCACATTACTTCCTGGTTAAAACCAGGAAGTAATGACAAACAGGTGGGCGATACCGGATCGCCGAACCACCAGCCAAGATTGCTACCAGATCGAGTGATCCGGTCCGATCCAGGAGCATTTCATCCCTGAGAGGCTGATGGGACCCAATTGTCCTTTAAAGCAGTGGTGAAATCCAAATCTTTTTACTACCGGTTCTGTGGGCGTGGTGTGGTGTTGCTTGGTGGGTGTGGCTTGGAGGGCATGGCTTGGTGACCGTGGCAGGGGAAGGATCTGCAAAATCTCTGTTTCCACTCCACTCTGGGACCAGCCAGAGGTGGTATTTGCCAGTTCTCCGAACTATTCAAAATTTCCACTACCAGTTCTCGAGCACCTGTCAGAACCTGCTGGATTTCACCCCTATTCTAAAGGACACAGTTGCTTCTTCAATGCAGAAAAACAAGCTAAGCCAGTGACTACAAACAGCTACTAGGTGAGCATGGAAGAATTTCTGGACCAAAACTGTACGGACCTGCAAAAATGAACCAAGGTCCTACAGTATATGGCTTCAACCGCAATGATTTATGGATGCCATTACCATCTTCATTTGCCATCTGTCCTCCTGGGCTGGAATATTTATCCCACCTTGATTGGTTATTAATCCACCAGAAATATGAAGGTTCTGGAGCTGATCACGTTTTTTGAAACAGCCAACAAGTACGAAGTGAGGAACGTGCTCGGGGAAATGGTTTATTTCGCCACAGAAAAGAACAACTGGTGCATGAGGAATTGCCTCGGGACCTTACGGCCTTTCACCATGGTGATCTCGAACCACGTGGGAGAGCCGGTCATCCATCTCGTGAGACCTTTCCATTGTGACGGCTGCTGTTGTCCATGCTGCTTGCAAGAATTGGAAATCCAGGCCCTGCCAGGCTTACCCATTGGCTACATCCAGCAGGTGTGACACCCCGTCTGCCCAAATACGTAATCCAAAAGGAAGCCCACAGAGATGTCCTTGGACTTTGCATAATGTCCTCCTGCTGTAGAAATGTGGTATTTGAGGTGATGGCACTAGATGAAAAGACCAGCATTGGAAAGATTTCTAAGAAGTGAGCCCAAAATTTCCCCTTGCTTTGTAGAACAGATGTTAACGGAGTTTTGGCCCATTTTATGACCTTTATTCCACAGTTGTGTTGGAAAAAATGTCCATCTGGGTTCAGTTCCAAGTGGGGAGAAAGACACTGGAAACATGGAGGCTGCTTGGAAAGATGTTTTTTAATGGTGGACAGGACCACATGGGTTTTTTAGGTCCTGGGCAAAATGAGTACATGGAAGATATAGATAGATAGATAGATAGATAGATAGATAGATAGATAGATAGATAGATATAGATAGATATAGATATAGATATTTATACCATCTCTTGGTTTCTGCCTTAGAGCTTCCTGTTCCTGTGTAAGGGCAGGTATCCTGATTGGTTGTTGGATTCCGATGGGGCCATGCAGGGGTAACTATTAAAGATTGTCTTGAGTCCCAGGCTTGGTTGAATCTTGCTGGGTGATGATGTAATGAAAAGGGTTTTGAGCAATTCCTATTATGGCTGAGGACTAATCCTACCTTGTTGGATCTTGGGTGTGGGTGTTTGCTTATGAATAGACCTACCTATCTCTTTCTCTCTTAAGTGCTGACATCTGCTGTGGGCTATTGAGGAGGGTGGGGGCTATTAAGAGTGAGTCTGCTTCCTGCCTAAAAAAAACATGTTTCTCCATTTCTCATCCAGGGAAATATAATACTTTGCCTTTTTAATATTTCCTAGATTTCATTCTTCTAGGAGAGGAATGGGTGCTAACTTTCTATAGTTGTTAAACGAACCACTGCAGTTGTTAAATTATTAACAGGGTTGTTAAGTGAATCTCCTACCCTCAAAAAGACGCTATAGGGCACTGCACACCAGAACTAGACACAAGAACAGCTTTTTCCCCGAACACCATCACTTTTCTAAACAAATAATTCCCTCAACACTGTCAAACTAGTCTGCACTACTATTTATCTTCTCATCATTCCCATCATCCATCTCCTTCCACTTATGACTGTATGACTGTAACCTTGTTGCTGGTATCCTTACGAGTTATATTGATATTGTTTCCTGATTGCTTATTTGTACCCTATGACTATCATTAAGTGTTGTACCTTATGATTCTTGATGAATGTATCTTTTATTTTATGTACACTGAGAGCATAGGCACCAAGACAAATTCCTTGTGTGTCCAATCACACTTGGCCAATAAAGAATTCTATTCTATTCTATTCTATTCTATTCTATTCTATTCTATTCTATTCCATTCCATTCTATTCTATTCTCACTTTGTGTGTACACTAATCGGCATGCATTAAAATGAAATTTCATTGCATACAGCTCTCAAAGGGTCTCCACCTCCAATATACACTATCTAAACATGACTAAATAAATAAATAAATACAAAATTATGCACATACCCCACCTATATTACATGACAGAAGAGAAACAACACAGTCTAGTTTGGATGTATACATGTACATGGCGAGAAAAACGCAAGTTTACGAGACGGATGGCTCAGGGAACAAAGTTGTTCCAGAATCTGGTAGTCCTGCTAGAAATGCTTCCAACATGTGAGCAAAATCCGAATGCTTAGCAAGTGATTCGTACTTATGACCGTTGGGGTGCCTTGTATGTCACCTGCCATGCCCTTTTGCAACCTTCTGACAAGCAAAGTCAATGGGGAAGCCAGATTCACTTAACAACCGGGTTACTAACTTATCCACTGCAGTGTTTCACTTAACAACCGAGGCAAGAAAGATGGCCAAAGGGGGGCAAAACTCACAAACGTCTCACTTAACACCAGGAATTTGGGGGGGGGAGCCCCCCCCCCGGTTGCGGTCGTAAGTCGAGGACGTCCTGCATCAACAGGCGCGTTCAGTTCAGCCCTGCTTGGATTCGCTCCATTGTCTCCCTCCTTGCCCCGCCCTTGGAGACGCGCATGCGTCCATGCTGCCCGCCGGCTTTTCCTCCTCCTTGCAGCAGCCGGGGTATGGGTTTGTGTGTGTGTTTTTTTTCCCCCCTCCTCCCGCGTCACGTGACGGGCGAGAACGGCATGGCGGCGCCAAGCTCGGCCTCGCTCGCGCGTCGCAGCCCGGTGACGTCAGGTCCGGGCGCTGGGGGCGAGAGGCGGGGCCGCGGGGGTCGACGGCGATGGGGCTCGCTGAGGAGGAAGAAGCGGGCGGACGGCGGCGGCGGCTTCGCGGCTGCTGACCCTCCGCGGGGAGCGAGCGGGGGGGGGCGGGAGGCCTGCGGTCCCGACAGGGCTGGGAGCAGCGGCGGGTAAGGGCGGGCCTTGGCGGTGACAGGCCTCTTTCCCCAGTGGGGTCCAGGGCAAGGCCTGGCTGAGGTGAGGGGGGGGGGAGAGAAAGCGACCCTCAGCGGCCTCCTCCGCCGACCGTCTGCCTAGGCGGGCCTGGCCGCCTTGTGTAAGAGGCCCGAGACGGGGATGCCCCCTTGTCCCGTCTCGAAAATCCCCTGAGGCGGGCTGTGGAAGGCCTCGAGGTCGGAAGTGGGGCCGAGAAGGGCTGGGAGCCTCTCACGGTGGGGGGGGGGCGCAGAACAGAATTCCCCCACCTTTAAAAATGGTAGTGATTTTTTCTGAGGGGCAGAAGCGTGTGGGACCTCGATCTCCGCCGGGGTGGCCGAATCCCCGTCGAAGGGTCTTTTAAAAAAAGGACGTCGAGGCCTGAATAGGGGGACGAGCTCAGTAGGGTGGAGGGTTTGGGATGGGAGACCACGGAAAGATCCCGGGGAGATAGCTTGGATGGGGGGGGGGAGTTAGAAAGGCTGTTCCCAACTGTCAAGAAAGCTGCTTGGATGGCGCCTTTTATTTCCCCAAAAATATGAGCTCTTTAAGGATGGGGTTTTTTTTGGGGGGGATATCCGAGGCCCTTAGATGGGAGGGTGGATTTTGTGAGAGTTTTTGTTTTAAATAAAACCTAGAGTTAAGGCAAAATAGCGGGGGGGGGGGAATACTCCTGGAAGAAATCACCACCCTCCTTCACGTTTCGTGGTGCATAGACTGTAATTTCATACAGAATTGACATCCAATTTCAAACACGGCATCTTAAAATCTTGTCAGATAAGCGAGGTTCCTCTTGCTTGTTAACCTCTAGTTATGTCAAATTTTTACAGTATGGAATAGATTAGTCTACAGGTAGCCCTCGACTTACGACCAGAAATTGAGCCCCAAATTTCTGCTGCTAAGCGAGGCAGGTGTCAAGTGAATTTTGCCCCGTTTTACAACTTTTAATCGCCAAGGTTGTTGAGTGAATCATTGCAGTTTTTAAAGTTAGCGACACGGTTGTTAAGTGAATCTGCCTTCCCCCTTGACTTTGCTTATCAGAAAGTTGATCGCATGACTTCAGGACACTGCAGCCGTCAGAAATAGGAGTCAGTTGTCAAGCATCTGCATTGTGATCATGCGGGGAAGCTGCAGTGGTTGTAGGTGTGAAAAAGGGACATAACTCACTTTTTTTCAGTATCGTAAGTTCGAACGGTCACTAAGTGAACCATTGCAAGTTGAGGACGACCTGTAGTCAGCCCATAGGGAAATCTCTTTGTCCTGGAGTATGTTGATGCTCTATTAAACTATAGCAACATCTGCTTCAATTTCATTATTGGCTCGATAAGACATATTCGATATAGGTGTAGTGATCAATTCATAATTGAAATGAACACAACAGAATTACTCCATAGATGAAAATCAACACAGGGAAACGAAGCAATAGCCTAGTTTTTAGATTGGCCACAATCTGAGAATTCTCTGTACTGTATGTGTTAATCTGGGATAAATCCTGTTTGAATTCATAAGACTTGACAGAAATAGGCAGTCCTCCTTGTTTCGTACATCTAGACTAATGTTGTTTTCTTTAATCAACAGATAAACATATGAATATGGCACTGTGGTTGTACATGAACAATCATAAAGTTAGCAAGCAGTAATAGTTGAGCCACCATTCATTTTTACATGTTTTGGGTACTTATATTGCACCATAGTACAATTTTTGGTTTTATGTTAACATGCTATGAAAATGCAGTTATTGGATTTGATAACAAAAATCATTCGAAAGTTTTCTTTAATTCCAGGAATTTTTTTTCTCTTTCTTTGTGTAGCAAACAAGAAGGATAAATTGAAGATTATCAAAATGAGCAGAAAGCCTCCACATCGTCCCGGGATCACATTTGAAATTGGTGCTCGTCTAGAAGCCCTGGATTATCTACAAAAATGGTATGGAACCTGATTACAGCTGATCCTCAGTTTATGACCACATTTGAGGCCAAATTTTATGTTGCTAAGTTAAGAGACATTTGCAAAGTGAGTTCTGCCCCATTTTATGACCTCTCTTGCCACAGTTATTAAGTGAATCACTGCAGGTGTTAAGTTAGTCACACCGTTTTTATGTGAATCTGGCTTCCTCATTGACTGGTTGTCAGAGATTCACAAAAGATGATCACATGACCCCAGGACACTGCAACTGACATAAATACATGCCAGTTGCCAAGCCTCTGAATTTTGATCATGTGACCATAGGGATGCTGCAGTGGTTGTAAGTCTGGAAAACTATCATAAGTCACTTTTTTCAGTGCTGTTGTAACTTTGAACGGTTACTAAATGAACTGTTGTAAATCAAGGACTACCTGTATACTGCTGGCTTAGTAGAAGACTATAGGATGCATGATAGCTCCACGCCAGTACATTGAAATAGTTTCTAAAAATACTTAAAATGCTTAGCAGTTAAAAGACCTTGTCCAAAAAATAACTTTTTAAAATTAAGAAATATTACTTTGATACACAAAAAAGAGAAAAGAAAATAAAAAGAACAAAAAGAGAGTAGAAAAATACAAGAAACAGTAATATATTCCAAGTAAAGAATGTAGTGATTAAGGCATGAGGCTAGGAACCAGGCATCAGTGATTTCTAGTCCTGTCTTAAGTGTGAAAGCCATCAGGGTAACTTGGGGCCACTGACTCTCTCAGCCAAACTCATCTCTCAATTTTCGTTGTGGGGAAACTAGGAAGAGGAAGGTGTATTAGATATGTTTGCAACCTTGAGTTATTTATAAAAATAATAGAGGTGGGATTAAAAAGAAATAAAATAAAAATAAAGAATGTAAGTAAACTGAATTTTTAAACATGTTGTGAAACTTTGACTATGTGTAATAATAAAGCCTTTACTTCAAGAGATGAGTCAATTCATAAACAGAATATGAATTTACAAGATTATAAATCTTTATAACATTGAAAAATACCATTTATTACTATGCCCCCGTTCTTTACATTTACGTCTTTAAATGATACCAGTGATTGTAATACTATATGAACAAATTTACAAAATTTAAATCAAAATATGGCAATAGACAGAGTAGCCTATATCAAATGGGCTGGCTTGAGTTAAATTTTAAATTGATTTTAAATTGGGTTGTTTTAATTTACGGCCAAAATATTTAATTATTTTAAATTGCTTTTAAATTTTGTATGTTCTGTTTTTTACTCTGGCTGTTCACCTCCCTGAGTCCTATTGGAGAAGGGCGGTATAGAAATGGAAACAAATAAATAAATAAATGAGTAATTTAGTCCCTTCCCCATTGTATGCTTCCAACATAGTGAGCTGACATCCTCACTTTTTAAGCATTCTCCAGGGCATCCAGTTAATATTAAAATGTTTAGTTGAATATGTTATCTTATAATCATAAAAAGTGCACTTAATATTTTTAGGATTTTCTTTGTTTAATACATGATAATCCAATTCTTTGCTCTAGAGTTCTGGCAAATAACTGACATAGCTTCTGTCAGTTCTTTTTGAACTTCTTTTTGAAACAACATTTAACCAGGTAACTTGTGAATGGCTTTCATGGTTGAGACTGTCTAAGTCTCACTGAAAGAGATTTGAAACATTTTATTTAAAAAGGTATCGTTGTAGATCTCCAGCAGTACAGTTAATCCTCAATTTACAATCGGTTGAAGTTACAGCAGACCACACAAAAAAATTATAAGATGGATTTGGCCAAGCCCCTTCCGATCACCTGATAGTATTTTGGTTGCTCAGCAACTGGCTCACATTTATGGCCATTTGCAGGATCCTGCAATCATGTGTCTTGATTTAAACCTTTTTTATTTTTTTGCAGGAAACTGGCATTTATTTCTTGTTTCTGGCAAAAAACGCCCTTTGGGGACAATGGGTTGCTTTAACGACTGCTGTGTTTGCTTTACAACCACTTTGTTTGCTTAATGACCTCTTTAAAGAGGTAGTAAAATTGGGCATGGTCATGTGATGGCCTGCTTAATGACTGCCATGACTTATGATCCTAATTCCAAGTTCAGTTACAGTCATAAATTGAGAACTGCTGTATTGAAATAAAGAACTCAGCATACATCATATACCACTTTCAACGTAACCAATTAGTGTGGAAGCTTTTCCTGTTTCTGCATGTAGACATAGACAGGCAGACAGAAGTAATCACACACACAAACACACATTCTGTAACAACAGTCAATTTTGCATTACATAATCAAGAATGAAATTTAAAAACATCGCTAACTTAATGAGTCAGAACCATATATGTTACTGTGGGTAGCCTTAACAGAACACACAATGGATCTTCTGCCCGATATAGGACCAGCCCCAGTTCTTTTTACTTTTCAAAAAATAGTTAAAAACTGGCTTTTTCTCTAGGTGCTTGGGTTGTGTCAGAAGTCAGGGAGAGGCCTCTTGTGACTATTTTAATTATCCTGTTTCGTTTCCAATTTTAAGGACTGAGTATTATTTTAATGAAGTATGGCATGTGTTCTTAATGTTTATTTGTGTTATATGCTGCCTAGGGTCACATTCCTTGTGTTGGGCTTATAAATGCTTGAAATAAATAAATAGTTGCAAGTATTTCACTTGAAAGACTCGTAATATACCAGGTGTTTCATCTTGCTCCAATTAGCTGTGTGTTGTATGATTCAGTTGACTATTTTGCTTCAGAGGCACAGTGGGAATAAATTTCTTTTTTTAAGCTCTTATAGTGTAATAGCTTTATATAATTTTGATGCAGGTGGTCTTGTGTTTATGCTAAAAGCTCTTTAAATTTTTTCCTCAGTTTTCCTTTTTTAAAAAAAATCTTGAACTTTGCACACTAAGATGGTCATCTATGATTCCTAGACATCCACTGATTCACAGAATATCTTTTTATAAGGAGGGAAAAGTCATTTATTTTGTAAAAATGGATCTTTACATAATGCCACATTTAAATACAATTTAGAGAATGGAATAGAATAGAATAGAATAGAATAGAATAGAATAGAATAGAATAGAATAACAGAACAGAACAGAACAGAACAGAACAGAACAAGAAACACAAACACCAATGCCTTGGACATATTCTAGACCAAATCTGATTTGGATCAGGAAAAATATGGTCTCTTGTAAAGTATATAAAAGTCACCAATAGACACCCAAATTAAGAGATTCTTCTCCTGTCAAAATACACAATTTTCTTGTATTAAAAAAAAAAGGATGTTCAGAATTTAAATTAATTAATGATAATAAGTCTCTCTTTCCACTTGAAAGAATGCTTTTATATTCCCCAATCAGCATCAGTGCGCAAGAGACTTTTTTCTGTTCACTAATTAATAGAGCAAAAGCTAATATTGTCGTTCAGCTTGGGAGTTATCTGAAGTTGTAATTCAGGATATTGCTGTAACAAAATGGAAGTCACTCGCTCTTAACACCTAATCAGCTATAGATGTACCTGTCTGATTACCTTTGAGCAAATTCAGGTTTTAGTGCAGTGGATATACTCCACCCCCGTGGATATTCCATTAATACAGGAAATACCTGTTTTACCCATTGTGGAGAAAATACTTTTTAAATATGGGATAAGGACATTTGATAGGCTTGCTAGCATAGAATTCCCCGCTAGGTATTTTCATGGGAAATTGTTGCCCTGCCAAGGAACTTTTGTTGCAGATTCTTGGATTGCAGTATTCCCTGGAATTAAAAAATAAAAATATTTTCATTTTTCCTTGCAAAATTTCTCCCATCAGGGATTTTGCAGGTAATGTAGAAACATCATGGCCTCCGTGCTTATTTATGGGGTTGTTGCATTTTGGAAACAAAAGCATATAAAGCACCTGCTTCCTTGCAGAGGCTTTTTTTTAAAAAAAAAGATGCCGTCTAAACTGTTAAGAGATTGTAAACTTTTGTCAGTTCTCATTCCAGCCACATTTGAGACACTGCGGTACAGGCAGTCCTTGATGTGACCCCAATTGGAACTAGAATTTTCATTGCTATGCAAGGCAGTTGTTAAGTGAGCCATGTCTGATTTTACGAACATTTTTACCACAATATTGCCAATTCACTTGTTAAATGAATCACTGCCATTATTAAGTGAATCACATGGTCATTAAGTGAATCCCTTCCAAAAATTGACTGTGTTTGTCAGAAGCTACCTGGGAAGGTTGCAAATGGACCGTGGACTCTGAAACCATCATTAATATATGCTGGTTGCCAAGCACCTGAATTTTGATTACATGATCCTGGGGGTGCTGCGATGCTCATAATAGCAATAGCACTTAGACTTTTATACCGCTTCACAGTGCTTTTACACTGTGTAAAAGGCCGAGTCAGCCTTGAGCCCATGAGAATCGAACTGCTGGCAGTCAGCAGAATTAGTCTGCATTCTAAGCACTGCACCATCAGGGCTCATCATATGGGAATTGACATGTTTTCCTTGTTTTGTTTTGGTGACCTGTGGCCTGAAGCACCTATCATCCCCTTCCTGATTCCGATTCACTTATTCTAGCAATGTAAACAGAGTAGCATAATGAACCCCAAACATACCTTACTGATATCAGTCTTGGATTCAGTTTTCTGAAGATGATTAAGTTATCTGAATGGTCTTCATGTAGCAGTGGCAATAGCACTTAGATTTAGATACTGCTTCGTAGTGCTTTCCAGCCCTCTAAGCCGTTTGCAGAGTCAGCAACAGTCTGGGTCAGGGGTCAGCAACCTGCGGCTCTGGAGTCACATGCGGCTCTTTCACCCCTCTGCTGCGGCTCCCTGTCACTCAAAATAGGCATCACAACCGCCAATGTGCGACACCTGCCGGGAAGTGATTTATTGAGCTTTTCAACCCCCGGTAGGCCAACCATGGATAAATCCAAGAAAAGAAAAGTTTCAGAAGAAAACAGAATGTTTAATTCAACTGCATATGCTAGTTTTGTGGCTGCTCAGGAAATAGTCAGGCACGGGAAGGGTTTTGTGGCTCCCAGTGTTTTCTGTGGAAAACGGGTCCAAATGGCTCTTTGAATGTTTAAGGTTGCAGACTTCTGATCTGGGTCCTCATTTTACCAACTTCGGAAGGATGGAAGGCTGAGTTAACCTTGAGCCAGTCAGGATTGAACTCCTGGCAGTCGGCAGAATTAGCCTGCCATACTGCATTCTAATCACTCTGCCACCACGGTTCTAAGGGCAAGGGCCAGTTGTAGGTCACTTTTTTTCAGTGCCATTGTAACTGCACCGTTGCTAAACGAATGGTTCTCACTTAAGGACTACCTGTATGATCAATACTACAAGAGGAGTATGAGTCAGGCTCATCAAACTTAAGAGTTCTGCCATACCTTTTCCTCTCCTTTGGATAAGTACTTCTCTAGAGGGTGTTTTACTACATTTTGAACATGTTTTCTAGGACTCAGTATTGATAACACCAGGAATGAGGAAGAATTGTTGATCATCTTTACTGTAAAGTTAAAATATGCCGCTGTGGCAGGGCTGGAGAAAAAAAAGCAAACGAAGGGGTTAAATAGCTTGTCTTGTTAAATAGCTTGTCTGGACAACCTGCTGAATGTGAATAATTTGGGTAAAAGTATTTCATTTTGTTAAAACTTATCTTGAATATGTTATTTTAAAATAACTGACCAGTACGTTTTTAAAGAGTATTTTTAATAGCTCCAGATAAAGCATCTTATATAATTAATATCCTTTCTCTATTGCTGTATCGATTTCACTGTTCTTCTTTTTACGTTTTAACCTTATAATAGGCAACAGTGCTTAGATTTGATGCCGACCTAATGCTTTCTTTGGCATGTTTGTGGCTCCAAATAGCTGTGGCTTTTATGGTCTTTGCCTTCCACAGTTTAGAAGTAAAATTTCATTTTAGAAAAATTAAAAGCACTGTAATTGTGAAGCAGATGGAACACCTAGGCAGGAGAAAGCAGCTACCCCTGGAATTTTTCGGATACTTTTATTATCTTCAATTTGTAAGATTGATCATAAAGAGAGTAGAGTGATAGTTCATAGCAATGAATGATCTGAAAGGGCGATTTAAAGCTGTCTGATAAGAGCCGGTTTATAAATTCTCATGCTCTGGTTTTCTTCCTTGATAAAAATATCTCATCCCTTTCATGATAGCATATCTTATTATCTCAAAAGTAATTTGTAGAAATGTTACAATGATTAAAAAACTAACCATTGCTCTATCGCTATGCCAAACTTAATCCTTTTCTATCTTCCCAGAGTCCTTGTGTGTGTGTGTGTGTGTGCACTCACCTTTGAAGTTAGCCTTGACTCCTAGCAACTGTCAGGACTAGTCCCTGCAGTTTTCTCTACAACACTGGTGTCAAACTCGCCACATCATGTTGCCATCATGTGATGTTTGCGACATTTTTCCCCTTCGTGGAGCTGAGAGGGCGTGGCCTGCATGCGACGCATCCGGCCTGCGGGCCGCCAGTTTGACACCCTTGCTTTACAAGGTTTTCAGAAGTGGTTTGCCATTTTCTTCTCTTGAGTGCTGAAAGAGAGTGACGGACTAAAGGTCACCCAACTAGATCTGTGTCTAAGATGGGACTAAAATTTACAGTCTCCTAATTTTTAGCTTGGGGCCTTAATCAGTAGAACAGATTAGTTTTTCTCCAGCATTCTGGCTCTAGATAAGACAGTATAGCAATGCTCTTGAATGTATAGCTAAAAGCTATGTTAAATTGAATATTTCAGATTTAATAAATAGAATCTCTGCCCATATCTTGCTCTTTAAAAATAAAGGAAATAGGAGAATGTTGGATTGGCTGTGCCATGATGATAATTCTAATAAGAAATTGGACTAAGTTATTGACAAGCCATAAACTGATAGGGAAAATAAAATGCAGCACTTATGGAAAAATGTGGATGTGAACATTTATTTTTTCTGATTATTTTGGAAAGAAAACAGCAGAACCTCACTAAATATTGAATCAGCTAACAAGTAAAATCAGAATGTATTCTCCCTCTCTCTCTCTTTCTCTCTCTGTGTGTGTATAAATATATATAAATATAAATATAAGACTCAAATCAAGCAAACTGGATGGCCACATAAGGAGCAGAGAATAATAAGCAACCCTATGGTGGTATGATAGTAACATTGGATCCTGAAGTGGTTCACACATGTTTAACATCAAATATTAAATATACTGGTTGTTGAAATGAAAGTACTATATTATATTACACTAACTATACTACACTATGCAAGTCTCTTAACATTAAGTTGAGCTTCTAAATAACTGTTCATATGACTATTTACCTTTGGCAAGATTTAATTTAATTTAATTTAATTAATTAAATTTATATGCCGCCCCTCTCCGAAGACTCAGGGCGGCTCTCAATACATTTTAAAAAATAATTTTAAAAATATTGAAAAATTAAAAACATTAAAAACTCATTCACGCCATTCATGGCCGGATCTCGCCAGATCACAAGACGAGATCAACGGCCCCAGGCCTGCCAGAAAAGCCAGGTCTTCACCGCTTTTCAGAAGGCCAATAGGGTGGGGATGGTTCCGGACCTCAGGAGGTAACTGGTTTCAGAGAGCTGGGGCCGCCACAGAGAAGGCCCTCCCCCGCAGGCCCACCAGCCGGCATTGTTTAGCTGATGGGACCCGGAGGAGACCAACTCTGTGGGATCTTACCGGTTGCTGGGAGCTATGTGGCAGAAGGCGGTCTCGATCAGCAATATAAAATATTTACACTGGACATTTTCCCCCCTAATTTATTAACTTAAGCATACAGTTTAGGAAATAGACTACGGTAGTTTTATTATGAATTAATACCTTCTGTTGATCAATTCTTGCACAAAAACCACAGCTTTCCCCCTTTGCATTCTTATCAGTGACTTCCACAGAGGATTCATGATAACACCTCTTGTTAGGTGCTGTGTCAATAAGATTTAGAGGTTGAATATTTTTACCTTTGGTGTTCACGTTATTAGCCAAGGAACTGATTAAAAACTGTTCAATTTTGAAAACAGTTAATGATAGGGGTGTTTGGAGTAAGAAATACCTGGGCTATTTCTGTATCTATGTGGCTTCAAGGAAAATAGCTAATCCATATCTTCTCAGTTGTTAGAAGAACTAAGTGGGGGAGTCTTAATTTGGAGCAGCAACTAATACCCTATTTTATATACTGTTGCATTTCCCAGCTTTGAGTTTTCTGATTGGATTTGGATATATTTGAATTCTCCAGCTAGCAAAGCTATTATATGAATTTTTAATTCTTAAAGACAAGATGTTGGGAATAGCTAATATTCTGTGTTTTATTTGTTATTACACTATGATCTTGCACAGATCCATTCAAAAGTAAACCCCAGTTTGACCTACCCAGACCTGTGTGTGTGAGAGATCACCGTGCTTTGTTTTCGCTTCCAGTTAGTAGTTTATTTAAATTACAAATGCTTTTAACTGCTCATGGATTTTGGATACATGACAGAGTGTTTTGAACAAAGTCCTATGGAAAAGTTACAAGTTTGTAACTTTTGAATTATATATAATGAATAATTAAAAAAAATAATTTTAAGAAGAGACTAGACAGTCACTTATCTGAAATGGTATAGGTTCTCCTGCTTAGCAGGGGACTGGACTAGAAGACCTCTAAGGTCCCTTCCAGCTCTATTCTATTCTAATTCTAATATGCACAAACGTGATACAGGTAGTCCTCCACTTACAGTTCACTTAGAAACTATTCCAAGTTTGCACTGAAAAAAAATGACTTCCGACTTGCTCTTTCACTTTTACACCATTTCAGTATCCCTGCGATCATGTCAGATTTGGGCACCTGGAAAACTGGTTTGTGTTATAATGGTTGCAGCATCCCAAGGTCATATAATTGCCATTTGCAACCTTCCAACAACCCAAGTCAACAGGGAAGCTGGATTCACTTAACAACCATATGAGCCTCTTAACAACTGAGTCACTTAATAACTATGGCCCAAAAAGGTCATGACACTGGGCATGACTCATTTCTCAGCTGCCTTGCTTAGCGACAGAAATTATGGTACCCAATTGTGGTCGTAAGTTGAGGACTACCTGTATGATCCCATCATACGAGGGTGCAAGAATTCAGGCTATTTATGAGTTACTTAGAAACCATCCCTTCCTCCTCCTAGCCTTTTAATTCACAGTACTTCAGGATTCACATAAACGGATTCACAGTACTTCAGGATTCGCATAAACGCTCTCGGTGATCGGATAACCATTTGTCTGAAATGGTATAGGGATTCCTGCTTAAGCAGGGGGTTGGACTAGAAGACCTCCAAGGTCCCTTCCAACTCTGTTATTCTATTCTATTGCAGAGAGGACGCCGTTGAACTATCGTTTTTCTGTTTGTCTTCCAAAGGTATCCTTCACGCATTGAGAAGATAGACTATGAGGAAGGAAAGATGCTTGTCCATTTTGAACGCTGGAGTCATCGTTACGATGAATGGATTTACTGGGATAGCAATCGATTGCGCCCGCTCGAGCGGCCTTCGCTGAGGAAAGAGGGCCTAAAAGATGACGAATTTATTGTAAGCGTTTCTCCAGTCCTTACGAATAATGGCTTTAAGTGGAAGTCACGGGCCATGATCGCAAGCACAAACGGTCGCCGAGAGCATAGAAAAATGAAACCCTTTAATCCCATACACAAATTGGGATCGGAATTTCTGTCGCTAAGAATGAGGTTGTTAAGTCAGGTGCCCATGACTTGACAATCTTTTTTGTCACAGTTGCTAAGCAAAATCACTCCAGTTAATCACATAGCGTGCCTTAATGCAGGGCTCTCCAACCTTGGCAACTTTAAGCCTAGTGGACTTCAACTCCCAGAATTCCCCAGCCAGTTTTGCAAAACTCTGGGAGTTGAAGTCCGCCAGGCTTAAAGTTGCCAAGGTTGGAAACCCCTGGCTTAATGAATCCAGCTTCCCTCATTGACTTCGCTTGTCGGGAGGTTGGCTGGGAAAGTCACCAATGGCGATCACATGACCCTGGGGATGCTGCAACCATTGTAAATACATGCTGGTTCCCAAGCAACTGAATTTTCACCACGTGACCATAGGGATGCTGTGATGGTTGTAAGTGCAAGGACCAGTTGTAAGTCACTTTTTCCCCATGCCATTGTAACTTCAAACAGTCGCTAAACAAATGGTTGTAAGTTTGGGACTACCAGTAATATTTGGATAGTGGATTTTTTTTTTTCCAAAGCTAGGCTTGAAGTTACTTATATTCCCTCACTTTGTTTTTTTACAACAGGATTTTAAACCAGGAGAAGAGGTTCTGGCTCGTTGGACAGATTGCCGATACTACCCTGCAAAAATTGAAGCAATTAACAAAGAAGGTTTGTATCAAGTAACAGATACAGATTAACAGAAGGGACCTTGTAGGTCATCTAGTCTAACCCCCTGCCCAAGCAGGAGACCCTACACCATTTTCTGACAGATGGCAGTCCAGTCTCTTCTTGAAAGCCTCCAGTGATGAAGCTCCCACAACTTCCGAAGGCAACTTGTTCCATTGGTTGATTGCTCTCACTGTCAGAAAATTTCTCCTTATTTCTAGGTTGAATCTCTCTTTGATCAGTTTCCATCCATTATTCCTTATTTTCCAAGGCACCTGGCTTTCAGGTGCCTTGGAAAATAGCTTGACCCCCTCCTCTCTATGGCAGCCCCTCAAATATTGGAACACTACTATCATGTCTCCCCTGGTCCTTCTCTTCACTAGACTAGCCATGCCCAGTTCCTGCAACCGTTCATCATATGTTTTAGCCTCCAGTCCCCTAATCATCTTGGTTGCTCTTCTCTGCACTCTTTCTAGAGTCTCAACATCTTTTTTATAGTCAGGGAGATGAGCCCTTTCCAGCTGAAACACCAAGAATCCATTCAGTCTAGTGGCTTTTTGTAACAGCAATTAAGGTAGACTCCTCAGAGAAGCAGATGAGCTGGATACAAAGACAGCAGCTTTTCTCTATCCTTCCTTAGAAGTATATAAATAACAAAACTTCACTTAAATTGTTATGGCTTGATAGTTGTAGATAAACCTATTCTCAGATGTTTTTTGGCAACTGTCGTATTCACTCAACATTTCAAGGTTTTTCATTGCACAAATGGAGGGTTATGGTAGCTTAGTGATTAAGGTGTTGGGCTAGAGAGAGAAAGTCCCAAATTCTAGTCCATCTTCATTTATGGATGACTTTGGGCAGGTCATTTTTCCTAGTCCAGCACTGCTGTTGTAGGAATAGATTGGAGAAGAGACCACTACCAAAGCTGGAATATAAATCTAATAAATAAAATGTAGGTATCGGGAGCTTATTTTGTACTTAGCACAAAATTAAGTACAAAAAACAAAAATTTGGTATTTGGGGGGGGGGGGGTGACATGATAGTCCTTTCCAATACTTGAAGGGCTGTCACAGGAAAGAGAGTGTCAATTTGTTCTCCAAAGTACCTGAGGGCAGGACAAGAAGAAATGGATGGAAGCTCATGAGAGCCTAATCCAACTTGGAAGTAAGAAGGGACTTCTCATCAGCAAGAATGATTAATCAGGGGGACAGCTTGCCTCCTGGACTTATGGCTGTTCCATTGCTTTAGGTTTTCAAGAAAAGATTGGACGTCCATTTGTCTGGGATGATATAAGGACTTCTGCCTTGGGAAGGAGTGGAAGACTTCCAAAATCGTTTCCATCCCTATGATATGGCATACAATTAAAAGTCCTTCTATTTTGGAAGTGAAGGACCATGCTTGTATTCCAGTGTGTTGGAGAGTGGAATACATTTCTAGCTAATACTTTTAGGAAACCAACTCTTCTTCCCAAATAGTTACAGCAGTGAAATGTGTACTGTACGTAAGACCCAAATCCAGTTGTTAAATCAATTTCAAGGGTGCTCTTGAAATGTTTTAATATGAACTAAACTGCAAGTAATATGTGGAACTCCATTGTGCAGTTCATTTTAAAATGGTTTTAAAGCTGTATCCTAGAAATATTGAAAGTCAAGTGCTGAATTTAACTCTCGAAAAATATACACACAGTTCTGCTATCAAAGCCTAAGGGACAGTGTAATTTAGTCAGGATGAGACTCTGAAGCCAAAAGTCATCAGTTCGAACATTATATGTGTAGACTCAGTTAGTCAAACAACAGTTAATTTAGGTTAATCTCGTTGCAGTATGGAACACAATAAAAATGTGTATGAAATAGTTTTTTTTAAAAGGCAATATTGCCGTCATTTGATTACTGCATTCCCCTTTTTTCTTAGGTTACCCTTAAAAATGCCTTGAAGTTGCCATTTGTGCAAAACCATTGTATAGCTTAAGATCTGCACGGGTTTGCCGGCTGCTTACCAAGCGCCATTTAAGGCGTTGGTATTAATTTGCAAAACCTTAAATGGTTTATGATCTGAGCTTCTCCCAGCATGAGTGTCTCCATCTGATAAGATTTTTATGCAAAGCCCAATATACACCTGAATAAGAATTTTGGCTCACAGTCTAGAAACCTCTTCAATATGCCTTTTTAATGACAGGTTTATCATTGTAGGTATTAGTATCACCTTGCTTTTATATGTATAGGTTCTGTTTCTACTATATTTTATGCGTTAGGTATCTTGAGTAGTCAGTCCCTAAGGCAGAAGATATGAGTGTAAATCAAATAAATAACAAGTTAGAAGCTTTAACATAAGTGCCTCGCTTGAGCATTTAGGTAGCTTGAAACAAGCAGAAGTTTTTCAATGTGCTGATTGAGCTTTTTGATCATTTATTCACTTAAAAATGAATTCTGTGTATGTTAAATTGTGTGTAACATTACTTTGAAAAAAATGCAGTTTCAAAATTGATATTTATTTTAGATTTTTTAAAATCCTGCCTTTATTATTTTTATGAATAACTCAAGGTGACAAACATACCTAATACTTCTTCCTCCCATTTTCCCCACAACAAGCATCCTGTGAGATGAGTTGGGCTAAGAGAGAATAGCTGACCCAGAATCACCAGCCAGACTTTCATACCTAAAGTGGGACTAAGATTAAATGTCTCCTGGTGATTGGCCCGAAATCACCCTTTCAGCTTTTATACCTAAGACAGGACTAGAATTCACAGTTTCCTGGTTTCTAGCCTGGTGGCTTAACCACTAGTCCAAAGTAGTTCTCAATATATATTCCCTATACCTCTCAAAATGTTGCATGAATTTGGAAGAAATTTGCGAGCTAAGGATGACATGAAATACCTGAGCTGATATGCAGGTGTGTGTATGCTATTTGTAGAACTAAAGCATCATTTAAATAAGTAAATATAACTTTCTCTTTCTGGTGGTGGTGTCCTAGGAACCTTCACTGTACAGTTTTATGATGGCGTGATTCGGTGTCTCAAAAGAATACATATCAAATCCATGCCAGAGGATGCCAAAGGGCAGGTAAGCAAAGTTCCAATTAGTTTCTATGTTAAGTTACATCTCGTAATTCCTCGTTAATTTAATTCATCTGCATTCCAGTTTGTGTTACATAATTCACATCCACCGACTCAATCATTAAGACTGAGGGCTCAATCAGATACACTTTAATAAGTGTACACGGTAGTCAGCACCACTCCTCTCTGCTCTTGTTTGTTTCCCCGAAGAAAAAAAGATAGAAAACTCAAAACCAAGACATTATGCTAATGGACTAGCAGAAGGAGGAGGAGGATTCATTATTTAATCTTTGGCCTTTCCTATGCCTTCCATGTTAGACTAGGCTCTTAAATTTTAATTATTGCTAAAAGGCTCTCTGTATAAGCAAAGCGTGGTGAAGTGTTGTCATTATTTAAAGGCAATGACTGTTGGGCAAATCTGGATTATAACTCTGTGGACAGGCCACTCTTTTCATGCAGTTTTAGTCCAGGAGTCAGCTTTTTTTGGCGGCTGGGATGGGCGCAGGAGGTCTGCATTTACAGCTTATTTAAGACTGTTGTGGATGTGATACTGCCGAGACATGTTTGTGGACTTGGCAAAGTATTTATTGAATGTCTTTGCTTTTTAAAACTACTTGATCAAAGCTGGATATTAGGCAAAAAATACTGAGAGAGTAGTTTTACAGTGGAAAATATTATTAGGGAAGCTCCTTAATAATCAAGGTTTTCCAGTTTGTGTTGGACATCTACTGGCACAGATACTTTACTTCAGGTTTCTGCACATGTGATGACTCCTTCCAGTTCCGTGGTTTTGGAAATTATTTTGAGTCTCTTTTGGCTTTACAGTATATTTTGGGATGTTTGATTTCAGATTGACGGGAAAATATGCAGCTATTTTACAGCAATTACGGTTGCGGAAGAAGCTTCTGAGGCCACAGAAAAGGGATTTCAGAGTTACATGTGGCCTTGTAGGAGACAAGTAGGCAGAGCTGGGGGTGGAGTTAAACATGTCATCAGCTTAGAGTCCTTACATTGCCACAAACGATCCAAGTCCAGCCCTCTTTTGAATTCCTTTGACTCTTATCCAGCACCAGTTCCGTGCTGACTATTTATTATTTATATCTTGCCTTTATTATTTTTACAAAAAAGGCAGCGAACATACCCAACACACTTTTCTTCTATTTTCCCCACAACTGCCCTGTCAGCTGACGTGGGCTGAGAGAGAGTGACTGGCTCAAGGTACCCAGCTGGCTTTTATGGCTAAAGTGGGACTAGAACTCACAGTCTCCTGTTTTCCAGCCTTAACTTCTAGACCAAACTGGCTCTCTAGGTCAGTGTTTCCCAAACTTGGGAACTTCAAGATGTATGGACTTCAACTCCCAAAATCCCACAGCCAGCCATGCTGGATGGGGAATTCTGGGAGTTGAAGTCCACACTTCTTAAAGTTTCCAAGTTTGGGAAACACTGCTCTAGGTGACCAGATTCTTGAGTATAACTCTTCTATGTTGCAATCTAATGGATGGTCCTGATTCTTTGTACCTAATAGGCCCACATTCTCGGGCTGTTCCCATTGAATGAAAAGATTGTTCAAAGTCAGGCTAGGGAAGAGCTGCCCTTAGAAGCTCTCTGTTGCCAGTCCAGTAATCCACTAAGCCACATGATAGCAATAGCACTTAGACCGTTTCACAGTGCTTTACAACTCTCTCTAAGCAGTTTTCCGAGTCAGCATATTGCCACTAATAATCTGGGTCCTCATTTTACAGACCTCGGAAGGCTGGAAGGCTGAGTCACCTTTGAGATGGTGAGGATCGAACTCCTAGCAGTGAGTTCAGTTAACAGTAGCAATAGCACTTAGACTTATATACCGCTTTACAGTGCTTTACAGCCCTCTCTAAGCGGTTTACAGAGTCAGCCTATCACCCCTAACAATCTGGCTCCTCATTTTACTGACCTCGGAAGGATGGAAGGCTGAATCAGCCTTGAGATGGTCAAGATCGTACTCCAGGCTGTGGGAAGAGTATTGCCTGCAACACTTGCTCTTTAACCACGGTGCCACCAAGACATAATAAACTGACTTTGCTACACAACTGGCACCAGACTGCTCCCTTTGAGTCACCTACAGAAGTGGCACCAGTTCAGTCCCTTAATAGCAATAGCACTTAGACTTATATACCGCTTCACAGTGCTTTACAGCCCTCTCTTAAGCGGTTTACAGAGTCAGCATATCGTCCCCAACAATCTGGGTCCTCATTTTACCAACCTCAGAAGGATGGAAGGATGAGTCAACCTTGAGCCTGGTGAGAATCGAACTGCTGGCAATCTGCAGAGTCAGCCTGCAATACTGCGCCACCACAGCTCTTATGAATGGTCTGATGCTGTAGAAGTCCTCTCCAGTGGAGCACTTGAGGCGGGGGGGGGGGGGACCTGCTATCCTAAGCTATTGATAATATTGATAATATCCTTATGGCAATTTTCACCCTTTGATTAATGGTCATTATGCAAACAATGTAAATCATCATAGATGTCATAACATTAACAAAACTTCTAACTGCTTCATTCAGATGATTTTGGATGCACTGGATTTAACCACTGTTTCCTAAGGATGTTCAGATGGGAATTTCCATCTGATGTCCATTACATTAACTCTATTAAAGCAAGGCTTTGCAGTACTTTCATATTCAGGTTCTCCCTTCAGAGACTCCATTCTAAGTAGACTTAAGAAACGAATATCTAGCTTTAACGTGGCTTATGTAGTTTTTGCTTAAAATGATTTGTGAATCTAAGTGACAAATAGGAAAACAAACCAGGGTTTAACGCAATGTGCAATTATCTGGCCATTGTAGAAACTTGGCTTACAAAGTAGACATTTCGTTTGTTAAATTGTGCAAGGTGTAAATACAAGGCAGTCCTCAACTTATGACCACAATTGAGCCCAACATTTCTGTTGGCTAAGCACAAAACATTTGTTAAGTGCATTTGCTCCATTTTACGACCTTTCTTGCCACAGTTGTTAAGCAAATCACTGCAGTTGTTAAATTAGTCAAATTGTTGTTACGTGACTCTGGCTTCCCCCCCTCCCCCCTTTGACTTTGCTTGTGAGAAAGTCGCAAAAGGGGAATCACATGACCCCTGGGACACTGCAGGAGTCATAAATATGAATCAATTGCCAAGCATCAGAATTTTGATCACATGACCATGGGGGATGCTGCAACGGTCGTAAGTCTGAAAACTTCTTGTAAGTTGTTTTCTTCAGTGCCATTGTAACTTTTAACGGTCACTAGGCAAACTGTTATAAGTCAAGGACTGCCTGTAGTGTAACTGATGTTAGCAATAGTAGTTCCTTATTTTCAAGACCGTGCTTAACTACGTTCATGGGGATGGGAAGTCTTAAGAGTTTAATAAGTTCTTGACTTATGACTGGTCGCTTAGCAACCTGTTGAAGTTATGTATCTCCCTATGAGTGTAAAGCCTGGTTCTAAAGTATTGACCCCATCCCCTGTGGTGTCACATGACCTCATGACAGGCCCTTGGCAAATGTCCCACTGTCACATGGCAGTTTTGTTGAAAAACCAGCATCTACTTCTGGTTTTCAGCAAGCCTGATTCATAGCAAACCATTGGTTAACCACTGCAGTGTTCAATTTAGAACCGCCATAAAAACGGTCGTAAAATCAGGTCAGCCACTTGGGTGACCCAGTTTGCTACCATCACAACTTCATAACCGTGATGGCCAAGCTCCATCAAGGTCGTAAGCCGAGGACTACATACCCTGTTTCCCCCAAAATAAGACATCCCCTGATAATAAGCCCAACTGGGCTTTTGAGCGCATGGCAATAAGGCCAAGCGCTTATTTCAGGGTTCAAAAAATATATATAAGACAGGGTCTTCTTTTCGGGGGAAACACGGCAGATAACGTTTTTAAATGGAAAACTTGCTATTGTTGATTTACATGGTGTGTGATACTAATTTTCTTAGAAACGTTTCTGAGAAACTTCTTCGTAGGTTTTGTAGGTTACTTGTGGCTCCTGATTTTTCAAATGTACTCATGTCTTCTATAAAAAACAGAGAGAGAAATGTCCTCCTGCTATATCAGCGGCCCCCAACCTTTTGGACACCAGGGACCGGTTCCGTGGAGGGAAGTTTTTCTGCGGACCGGTGGGGGCGTGGTTTCGCGTGCTGCCTGCATCCTGCGGATGGGGCTTTGCTTGTTTGCGGGGCCTGGTTTCTGACATGCCACGGACCAGTGCTGGTCCACCATCCGGGGATTGGGGATCCCTGTGCTCCATGATAAGCCTTTGCATGTAGCAGAGAAGAAATCTCCAGGAGTCTTTCAGAGTTGGTAGGTTTAGCACATGCTTTTTAAAAGAAAACACCTGAAGGCTTGGTACCATGTTTCCCCGAAAAATAAGACCCTGTCTTATATTTTTTTGAACCCTGAAATAAGCGCTTGGCCTTATTTTCAGGGAGGTCTTATTATTTTGGGGCGCGTGGAGCAAGATGGGGCTTCTCTTGCCGTCTTACCTGATTTCCAGCTCTGTCTCTCTAACCCTAACCAAATGATGGGGACCGGCTACACATGTGGTTAAATATTTTCGGGGAGGGCTTATTTTCAGGGGACGGCTTATTTTCGGGGAAACACGTTACTTCCAGCTGTATTTCTTTGCAGAGTTTATTGTGTTCTTAAGATTTATGGCATGGTGTTATATGAGTGCTGAAATGAACTCTAATTTCCACAACATTATTTTAAACTCTGCCAAGAGATAAGGTACAGCTATTTACCCTGAAAAATATTCATAGAGTTGAGTAGAGTAGAATAGAGTAGGGGATGGGATGGGATGGGATAGTATTAGAATTTGATATTAGAATTAGAATTGGAATTAGAATTTTCTTTATTAGCCAAGTGTGATTGGACATGCAAGGGATTTGTCTCCAGTACATAATTTTTAGAATTTTTCTTGGTTTCTCACAATATTGTTCAACTACTCCTGTTTGAGAATCCGCCTCCAAATCTTTAAATTTATTTTTAGCAAGATACTATGATTTTCAGAATGTTGTAAGGTTTATTTAGGTTCTTTGGATGAATTCCTGGGATAAAATTCATGAACTGAAGAGTTCTATCGGTGCTCTGTGCATTTGGGTTTCTCTGGGCGCACAACGTTCCTTCTTCAATCCATGCCCAGCGGATGATAATAAATGCCTTGGATTCAGGGAAACAAGTCCTAAAGAAGTCTAAAGCGGTGGTCACAAATCACGGATCCAAAAGAACTATGGCTGCCTGCTTAAGGAAAGATGCACAAGGAGGGAACCTTTGGGGCTGCTGCCACTGACCAGGTCAGGGGTCAGAGAAGCAGCGTCCCAGGCTTATGGCTTCATTGCTTGAGGACCTTTTAAAATCTGTTGCTGGTTTGGAGATAACAGGAGAACATTCAATGGACTTCACTGATATACTGTCCAGCTGGAAATACAGGTAGTCCTCGATTTACGACTACAAGTGAGCCCAACATTTCTGTTGTAAAGTGTCTGATCCTCCGTCATCCAGGTCATGGTTGTCCCAAAGGTGCTTTTTCAAGAGGCAACTGTACTTCCTTGGTTTTTTCCTCAAAGACACATTTGCTTCAGCTCTGGTGTAAAGTGAGACATTTGTTAAGTGAGTTTTGCCCCGTCTTACGACCTTTCTTGGCCTCGGTGCTTAGGTTGAATCACTGCAGTTATTAAGTTAGTAACACGGTTGTTAAGCGAATCCGGCTTTCCCGTTGACTTTGTGGGCCAGAAGGTCACAACATGATTACCCCCTCCAGACACTGCAACGGTCATAAATATGAGTCCCTTTGCTGAGTCAAAAGTCTGACTTTTGATCACATGACCAAGGGGGTGCGGCAATGGTCTTACGTGTGAAAAGCGGTCATAAGTCACTTTTTTCAGTGCTGTTGTAACTGTGATCAGTCACTAAACGAACTGTTGTAAGTCGAGGACTACCGGTATGCTCGTAGCCTGGTTAGATGTATAAAAGGAAGAGCGGCAACAACAAAAAATAGTCAAAATAAAGATGATCTAAAAGTAACTTTTTGAAAGAAATTCAAACCCATTAAGATGTGAAATGAAAGAAGATCGCTTCCCTAGGAGGAATATTATAGTTAGGTGGGTTATTTTTACTCCCTTAGTAGCCATTGTTTTGGCCAGTGGTTCTCAGAGATCTTCTGTTAGCCCAGAGGGCATGAATTTACAATTCTAAAAATGGCTTAGAAGCAGGGTGGATTTGATTTAAATCGAGTTGATTTAAATCACAATTTAAATCATGATTTAAATCACTAGTAAAAAGGCTTGATTTAAATCAACTCGATTTAAATCATAATTTTTAAAGAGCAACTGTCATCTCTGCTACTCCTTTGACCCACCGTTGACTCACCGATAGTCCCAGTGTTGCAGAATATACAGCCTCATGCTACAGAACTAAGCTCCATTTCATGCTGAATAAACTCAATTATTTATGTATCTTAAATAGAAAACTATCCTACGATAGATTTTTACCCCAAAAGTTTTTTATTAAAATAAATTCGATAAAAATCAAAAAAATCCGATTTAAATCAAAAAAATCTGATTTTTTTGATTTTTTTAAAAAAAATCATTGATTTTTATCCACCCTGCTTAGAAGCTCAGATACTATGTTCTTGATGATAATGCAGTTATCAAGCACATCAACGTTTAAAATATGAAATGAGTTGTTTCGTTGTAAGGTAGTGAAGTCCTTTTTTTGATGATTGAGGATGAACCAGGATGGCATGCTTGCCTGAGTTGTCAGCTGGGAAAGAAAGTGAAAAAAGGATTACTCGCACTTGATAAACAAATTAAAAAAAAAGGTTGATACAATGTGTAATGTAATCATCATCATAATGTTTTAATGACCCCGTAATCCCTTGCGGGGTGGAGTCTGGGCAATTGAATGGAGCTAGCAGAGTGTTTTAATGGCCAGATGCCCTTCCTGTCGCGAAGGCGGAGTTTTGTTCAGTAGATATATTCTCAGTGTGCCCAGAGAGAGAAATATCTGCCTCTACCTAGGATCGAACTCACAGCCTCCTGATTGTGAGGCGAGAGCTCCACCTCTAGGCCGCCTCACCACTCACCATGTATAATGCAATGTAAGGGAAAAAATGTATAATGCATATAATGTACGGAAAAACCATAGTGATTCAGGAAACAGTATCTAGAACAGTATATAGAAACACATTTTCTGAATAGTTTTTATCCCAGAGCTATAATTGCACTCAACAATGAACTAAAGGGCCACCATCAGTGAGATGTTGGACAGCATTACTTGGTCTGTTGTATGGATGTTTGGGTGGTTTAGGGGTGGGGAATTTGTGGTGGGTGGGAGTGTGTTTGGGGATTGTTATGTGTGTTGGACCTGGTCTTTGGGTGTCAAGTGAATTTCGTTGTATGGGTATACTGTGTATACACGTACAATGACAATAAAGTTATTTATTTATTTATTTATTAAATGGGCCGCTTAACCTGAAAAATCCCACATAAGACTTTCTATTCTACAATATAATACAGGCAGTCCTTGCATTACAATAGTTCATTTAGTGACCATTCAAAATTACAGCGGCACTGTAAAAAGTGACTTAAGACTATTTTTTTTACGCTAGTGACCGACAGTTGCAGCATCCCCATAGTCACATGATCAAAATTCAAATGCATCCGACTCATATTTATGACGGTTGCAGTGTCCCGGAGTCATGTGATCACCTTTTGCGACCTTCTGGCAAGCAAAACCAATGGGAAAGCCAGATTCACTTAACAACCATTTTGCTAACTTAACAACTGCAGTGATTCACTTAACAACTGTGGCAAGAAAGGTCGTAAAATGGGACAAAATTCACTTAACTGTCTCGCTTAGCAATGGAAATTTTGGACTCAATTGTGGTCACAGGTCGAGGACTTCCTGTAGAGTGAAATATGAATGTAAAAATGCTTATTCATATACTTGAAAAGGATATATGGGACATTTTATAGGCTCTCTAAAATAACAAAATATTTAATATTTGCAAAATTATAGAAATAAGACTACAAAGTTTGTCATTTAGCAACTGTTAATGCTGCAAAGAAACTACTTGTTGCTTTTATCTCTGAATTTTAGCCTGAACATAATGTTGAGTTAGATTTTTCAGAAGAAATAAATATTTTTTTCATTTAGATAGAATATGCTAATTAACTGTCAAATATACTTTTGCCACTACTAGATACATTTCTATCCTGCAGAATATGGTGAGTGGTATAGAAATTTATTTTCGAAACATACTTAGTGTATGTGTGTGCATGTGCACATGGGATTGTTTAATCTTTACAACGCATGCTTATTTAATGTAGGTTTTTTTTTAAAAAAAAAATCTGTAGATATTCTTATTTGAGCTCCTGAGATATCAGGCAGTTTATAGTGTTGTGTAATGAATACAGATTACGCACAAATCAGCGTAAAAAAATAAGATACCAATACTTATCTCCTTTATCTTAGACGTTATAGCGGGTTCCATAATTTGTAGTGACGAGCAGTTGTTTTATATGTGTCTGCTTTCTAGCCTTGAGGTAGTCTTTATTTATTAAACTTGGCTGACTAAATCTTGACTGTAAGCAGAGACAAGATGGCACCAACGTGATTTTGGCCGCAATAGTTTTGCAGCTCTCAGGTGGTTGTTCCCTAAAACGGTTGCGTTTGGGAGGGCAAGAAATTGCGGAAGGCTGGTGGAATGGCGTCATCCAACTGAGCGGCATGTGGTGATAACTTGTCTTTTTGTTTCCATGTTTGTGTTTTATCTTCAATACGATTAGGCGCGCGAGAGGCAACAGATAGCACCGGAGCTGAGATTAGTGACGGATAACGAGCCACGTGAAGTGAGTTTTGTGGGATTGTTGGAAGGAGAGGGAGGGTTCTTGGCACACAGGAAGCGGAAGCTGAGGAGAAAAACCCACGAAAATCTGATGTGGCCAAGACCAGCTGAAGAGGTGTGACAATAGGTGGAAGAGCTCTGAGAGAGAGGGGCAGAACTGTGGTAGAGCCGTGGAAGGTGAGAGCATCAGCCCGTCAGAGTGAATAATGCTTCAGGTGGGCTGTCCGTAGAGTGGACAACGGTCTCGTCTGAACATGAGCAGTTTATACAGGTAGTCCTTGACTTACGACCACAATTGAGCCCCAAAATTTCTTGTCACTAAGCGAGACAGCTGTTGAGTGAGCTTTTGCTCCATTTTACGACATTTCTTGCCGCGGTTGTTAAGTGAATCGCTGCAGTTGTTAAGTTAGTAACGCAGTTTGCTAAGCGAATCTGGCTTCCCCTTCTGACTTGTCAGAAGGTCACATAAGTTGATCATGTGACCCTGGGACATTGCAACCATCAAAAATATGAATAGCACTTTAGTCTTATATACCGCTTTATAGTGCTTTTATAGCCCTCACTAAGCGGTTTTACAGAGTCAGCCTATTGCCCCCAACAATCTGGGTCCACATTTTACCCACCTCGGAAGGATGGAAGGCTGAGTCAACCTTGAGCCTGGTGGGATTTGAACTGCCAAATTGCAGGCAGCCGATAGTCAGCAGAAGTGGCCTGCAGTGTACAGTACTCTAACCACTGCCCCACCGAATCAGTTGCCAAACCTCTGACTTTTGATCACATGACCATGGGTAATCACAACTGTGAAAAAAATGGTCATAAGTCACTTTTCTCAGAGCTGTTGTAACTTTGAATGGTCACTAAACGGACAGTTGTAAGTCGAGGAGTACCTGTAGTTGCTGCTAAAGAAGTCATCGGTGAAGCTAGGAACTTAAGAGGTGGTGGTATGATATTTTAGTTTTGTTTCCTCATGTTTAAAGCTGTAAAATTATGAGGTATGGCTCTAATAAATTCTATCCAGTGAAAACAAACGTTGCAGATATGTTGAGGGTTTGGGCAATAATTCAGACAGTTATGAGATAACTGTTGGCTCGTTTGACGTCTGAGACATCCGTTCTCCAAAGTGAAAAATAACTTAGAATATTTAACAGAGTCTAACATTAACAATAGAGAATTGACCTATAATACATGTAGTTTGTTGGATGTAAATCTGCAGTTTTATATACACACAGAAGATGCTGTCCTTACAGGTATGATTAAAATAGGTGGGATAATAGTAGAAAATAGAAGATGAAATTCAGTAGACCAACCATCCAAGTTTGATGAATATTTCTTCTAGGAAGGCACAACTTTGCATATTAACTTAGAAGAAATTAAAAAGTTTCCTTCCCTCTGTACCTTTGTGTAAGATTGTTTGTCAGGCCTGGAAGCCATCTTCTGTATTGGGCCTGACATTGCTTTTACCACAGAAGACAAAATGCATTTTCTTCATTCATGCCTACAGATTTGTCAGACTTTGAGTGCAAACGTAGACCTGCAATCATATCTTTACATGTGTGTGGCTTTTAATGTACATATGATAGAATCGTATAGTTGGAAATTTTCAATTAAGCCAGTGAATCCAATAACTTGCTCGGTATAGGAATTCTGAATAAAGCATCCATGACAGATGTCTCCCCTGCCTGTATCTGAAAACATCCAATGAAAGAGAAGTCATCCATCATCATCATTTAATGACCCCATAATCCCTTGACCGGTGGAGTCTGGGCAACTGAATGGAGCTAGCAGAGTGTTTTTTTTTTTTAAATTTTATTTTATCTTATACATCCAACAAACATTAAATCTATAGCGGTCTACATCACAACGCAAGAAGGAAATAAACTTGTCCCATTACATATATAGGATAATGTACAAAAGTCCATTACATATACCAATTGACACGCTTATCCAATATCTCTATTTATAGCTCGATTTGAAGTCCAATTATACCATTGACTCCAAGATAAATAGTAATCTGTGTCCCCCCGTCCTTTGAATAACATAGTAAGTTGATCTGATTCTGCACAATTCATTATTTTCTGAATTACTACTTGTTACTAGTAGCAGAGTGTTTTAATGACCGGATGCCTTTCCTGTCGCCAATGCAGTGCTTTGTTCCGCAGATATATTCTTCTTGTGCCCAGAGAGAGAAATATCTGCCTCTACCTAGGATCAAACTCACAGCCTCCTGATTGTGAGGCGAGAGCTCCACCTCTAAGCCACCACACCACTCTAATGAAAGAGAAGTCATTCCCCTCTTTATAACTGATTCCACTATCAACTTACTTCTTTTGATAATCGATTCCACTGTCACAGAAAGTTTTCCTAACATCCAACTAGAACCTAATTTTGTTTTGTCCAATACCGTAATTCTGTGCTATATATTCTACGATGATAGAGAACAGGTCTTGATCTTCTGTTCCCTCTTCTGGTTCTGCTGCCATATTCACTTCTGTCATTTTTGATCAAGTCTGAGAATGCTTAATTTTCTGAGTCTCTCCATGTGAGACTTAAATCCCTGCCCTGGCATCATTCTTCTAGATTCTCTAAATCCTTTTTCTTAAATGTCCAGAATTGGACCAAATATTTGAATATGGTAGTGATTGTGTTACATGAGTTGGAAACTGTAATATATTACTGATGAATTTTTTGCATCCAGATCATAGGGATTCCTATTCATCTAGTGATTAATTACATTTTCAAAATATTTTCCGCAAAAAGTTATCATCAGCCTGGCGTCCTCCACTTTCTAATTGTGCATTTGATTCATATTTCCCCCCTCTATGTAGAGCTCTCCATTTGTCCTTGATTACATTTCATTACATCCCCACCCCTTTTTCTAGCCCATCGAGATCATCGCAAAGTTTGTTTTTTGCCTTCTTAGTGGTCCCACTCAATTTCATGTCGTCTGCAAACGTGGCCTTTCTCTTCGTTTACCATTTCATCCCACTCTAATGAATTGTTTGAAGACTCCTGCTTTTGGACAAACCAGGAAAAACACTTCAGAAAGCATACTCAAATGAGAAAAATCCCCTACTAGGCTGACTTAAACAGTAATCATTGATCAGAGTTAATAGAATTTTTTTTTTAAAAAAAAATGCTTTGTAAAATATGCATTCTTAAGAAAATCTGACCAAATGTTCATCTGACAAATCCACAATGTTGATCTCTGTGAATTTCCGTGGTCCCTAATTATTATTGTTCACTTTGTGACTTATCCTACAATGTACCAATATATGTCAGAGTGACAGCTATGTGTTGTGCATACATTTATGCACAGTAACAGTAACAGAGTTGGAAGGGACCTTGGAGGTCATCTAGTCCAACCCCCTGCTCAAGCAAGAGACCTATACTAGGGATTCGAACCACCGAACTGCCAACCTTTCTGATCGACAAGCTCAGCATCTTAGCCACTGAGCCACCTAGCCAGGCACAGCCACCCAGCAGGTGTTATCTATGTAGCATTTCAGAAACAATGTCCTAAAAGATACATTAGAATTCACAGGTAAAAAACACAACTTGTCTCCATCACCTTAAAGAAAGTATATCTTTGTCAGAATGGTGTCCCAATTCAATTTATTACAGTCCTAGAGAGAGACCAGAGGCCAGAACAAATGCAAACACTCAGTAAATATACAATTACAAATTATGGTACAAAATAATAAATAACAGCTAAAATCTATGATAAAATCCAGTCTGTCAGTTATACATGGTCTAACTATACTAAAGTTATAATCCATAAACTGTGTGGCCCGTAGTCAGTTTAATACTAAAAGGGAAAGGAATAAGCAGTGCAAAGGGTTTGCCACATTTGTTGTATAAAATAGCTATGGTGAATTAGACATGTGTTTCCGATGAATCCCTGGAGCTGCTGTGCAGAATTTAGCCACCTGCGCTGTAATTATGTTCGTCCTTAAATGACGTAGAAACAGCAGAACCTGAGGCACAGCCTAGCCTGATGCATATTAGGGTAATTCTGACTTGGTTTTTAATTACAATAGATATTCTGAGATTTCTGTAGCTATTGTAAAGCAGTTAAGACAATTCAAAGTCTTCTTGGGGTATAAAAGTTTAAAAGATAATGGAAAACAGCTAACTACTTGTTCTGGCCATTTTCCTTTAAAAGACATCCAAAGAATCTGGGCTAAATTAGTAATGGGTATACTAGTGGTGTATGGATGATGCAGTTGCCTTAATAGGATTTTATTTTATTTTTTTCCTGAAGGTTAACCTTGGCAAGCAAAATATTCGTTAATATTTGGAATCAGAGTTGGCACAATTTCCATTTCAAAAAATGGGAAAGATTTCTGCCCAAGACAGTAAAGGGTTGGTTAAATAGATAATTTTATTTATTTATGCAACCTAGATGCCGCCTGATTCAAAACAAGGCCATTCAGATTGATACACAGATAGTCAAATCTGACATGGGAGGTTTTCTGGACAGTTTTATACAGTAACTTCTAAGCTCTTGATGCTATTGCTCACATTTTCACTGCCAAACCTTAAACTGTTAAGAGAAATAAATGGGGGTTTGGAAAGCTATCATATATATGGAAAGTTCCAGAAAACTGCAATGTTCTGTTTTCTCTGTAGATCGCACTGTCTCTCGGTGGTTTTCTAGAAGTCAATTTGGCAAATCTAAACAAGTCAGCAAGAGCTGTTTAGTCTAGAACATGACAACTAGGCCCAAATGAGACATAGAACATTCTAGACTTTTTAACAGCATTTAATTCCTAGAATGAAAGCTTGGGCACCCAGGATTAACTAACCTGTCATCAAAATCCTTGTTTCTTTCTTTTTTTGTGCCATATATATATTTAAGTATCAATTTACAAGAAACATTAAAAATTCAAAAGAGATATTCTTCAGCATGAGCAATTTCCCCTTTATGATACCTTTCTTTTTAACAGTTTTCTTCATACCTGGATTTTAATTTGAGGTGGTTGTTTCCTTTTGTTTTCTCCCTTTTTCAAAGGATTGGATAGCTTTGGTCAAAGCCGCTGCAGTGGCAGCCGCGAAAAACAAAGCAGGAGTTAAGCCACGGACAAGCGCGAACAGTAATAAAGACAAAGAGGAGAGAAAGTGGTTTAAAGTACCTTCAAAGAAGGAAGAGACCTCAACCTCAGCAATTGTCCAGAAAGTCCAGAAGAAAGAAGAGCAGCCCACATCCAGCGAGACATTTGGTATATAAACTATATTTTACTTATAAGGGAAAAACTATGCTTTTCCCTTTAAAATATTTATTGATTTGTTTGTTTGTTGATTACATTTACCCATATTTTTCGGAGTATAAGACGCACCAGAGTATAAAACACACCTTAGATTTTTGGGAGGAAAATAGGGGAAAAAAATTCTGCCTACCAAGTATTCATCTGGCTAGTCCCAGCACATTACTTCGCTTGCTGGTTTTGAGGTTGGGGCTGGTTGGGGCTAAAAAAACATCTTCTAAAGCACAGCTGATCGTCAGAGGAAGCAGCAATTAGAAAAGCAGACAAAGCACGGAAGATCACTTCGCTTGCGTTGGGGCTGAAAAACAGCTTCAAAAGCACAGCTGATCCTCGGAGGGAGGTCCAGTGACTAAAGCAGTCAAAGCGCAGAAGGGGTAAGAGAAGGCAGCAGCTGTTCTGGGTAGGCATTTTGGGCACCGTACGGGGTTTGGAGTATAAGATGCACCACATTTTCAGCCTCTCTTAGGAGGGGAAAAAAGTGTGTCTTATACTCCGAAAAATACGGCATATGCTGCTGTGCTGCCCCACTCACTCACACACACGTCAGTGTGGTTTAGAGAGTTTATTAATGTTCCCCAGCAATTCCCTTCACCCAGAACTGTCCCAAATAAATCCAGCCACAAGCAGGCCAAGGAGAGTCCACAAGCCAATGGCCAATAATCCATAAAACAATGGAAAGTTGCTCCAACCAATAAGTCCACCAAACAAACTTAATCCACCAGGCCAAACTGAAATATACCCACAAGAGCTCACTTGGCAAGAGAAGTTCAAAGTCCAGCAAGAAGCATGAGAAACAGACAGACACAGCCAGAAACCAAACACGTTGTTTCCAGCAATGCCTCCTTCTGCCTGCTGTGATAAATAGCTTTCCGGTGCAGCCTATCAAGATGGGCGGGGCCCAAGTAATCTTTTGCTTCTGATCTCTGTTGCTTTTGACTTTTCTCTGCCTGCGTGCTCTCGGATCCCCCACGGAAGGCAGCTCCTCCTCTTCTTCACTGACCATCCACCCCTACAAACTGTCCCCAGTTGAAGCCCCTTGTAAATCTTTCGGCCAGCTTTTCCGACATGACAGGAACGAGCTCACCCCCTCTTGAGCCGACCTCCAAGGAAGAATCTGAGGAGTCGTCCACACAGCTGCCCATCTCACTGTTGAAGCAACTCTGGGTGGGCATATCAATTACAGGTAGTCCTTCACTTACGACCACAATTGAGCCCCAAATTTATGTTACTCAGCAAGACACTTAAATGAGTTTTGCCCCATTTTACATCCTTTCTTGCCTTGTTAATTGAATCATTCAGTTGGTAAGAAAATCAATGGCTTCTCCCATTGATTTTGCTTGTCAGAAGCCAGCTGGGACAGTTACAAATGATGATCACATAACACACACACCCAGGATTGGGCAACTCTTACCAATATATGCCAGTTGCCAAGCGTCCGAATTTGAATCACATGACCATGGGCCTGCTGCAATGGTCATAAGGGTGAAAATGGTCATAAATCACTTTTTTTTTCAGTGCCGTTGTTACTTCAAAGCCACTAAATGAGTGGTTGTAAGTCGAGGACTGCTTGTTTTAATAACCCATTGACATTAGTCTGTGATCCTATAATGGCGGTTGCTTCTATGCTTGTAGTTGTTTAACAGCGGGTTGCAAGCACAAAAAAAACATCTGCTTTGCCTGATACCACCTCATATTAACTGGGCTTTTGAGAAATGCTTGGATGAATCTATATAAAGTCCCAACCATGATGTGATCAGGAGATTTTAATTCTGTCTTTGTGAAACACTACTACGCTCTCTCTAATACATGAGTAGGAACAAAGATAAGAATTTGGGTGGGCTGCTTGTATTCATATTTTTATCTCCTGCTTGTCTTATGAAAGAGCAGGGAGGGGAGCATTAATTAAGGCTACTGTGGCAAGGATAACAAAGGAAGTGTTGCTGCATTTGTGCCAGGAGCTATCAGTTTGAGATATACTATACTGTTGCCATTGCTGCTCTTGTGATTCTTCTAAGGCTTTTGTATAATTTATTTATCAAATTTTTAAAACTGCCCATCTTACCTCACAGAAAGACTCTGGGTGGTGTACCATAAAAGATAAAAAGAGTATAAATAGTTAAAATTTCAAAAGAGGCAAGATCGATTAAAAATTAGAGAGTATGTGTTGTGTAGCTTAAGAGACCATCTCCCTGCCCAAGCCTCTTATTAAGCTGTGTATCTGAGTGACAATAGTGACAGATTTTATTTTCCTGGGCTCCAAGATTACTGCAGATGGGGACTGCAGCCAAAAAATTAAAAGACGCTTGCTCCTGGGGAGGAAAGCTATGGCAAATCTAGATAGCATACTAAAAAGCAGAGACATCACCCTGCCAACAAAAGTGCATATAGTCAAGGCTATGGTTTTCCCAGTTGCAATGTATGGCTGTGAAAGTTGGAGCATAAGGAAGGCTGAGCGCCAAAGAATTGAGGCCTTTGAACTCTGGTGCTAGAGAAGACTCCTCCGAGTTCCTTGGACTACAAGGCGATCAAACCGGTCAGTCCTAGAGGAGATCAACCCTGACTGCTCTTTAAAGGCCAGATCCTGAAGATGAAACTCAACTACTTTGGCCACCTAATGAGAAGGAAGGACTCACTGGAGAAGAGCCTCATGCTGGGAATGATTGAGGGCAAAAGAAGAAGGGGACAACAGAGAATGAGGTGGCTGGATGGAGTCACTGACACAGTCGGCGTGATCTTAAATGGACTCCAGAGGATGGTAGAGGTCAGGAAGGCCTGGAGGAACATTGTCCATGGGGTCCAAATGGGTTGGACAAGACTTCGCGACTCACAGCAGCAGCAGCAACAACAACAACAACAACCTCTTCAGAAGACTTAGATGAAGATAGAGGCTCTGCAGAGCCTATGACTGATATGAGATAGTTTGGGGAGGGGGGTCCCCAGTGCTTTACTCCTGGGAAATTTGTTGTTCTTGCTGAGGTCATTCTAATAAGGTGCAGTTCAGGATTTCATGGCTTCCACTGACTTCATGCAGATCGTTTTAGAACGTACCCACGTCATGTCCTCGCTTTGGGAGATGTGCAGTTTTTGTACGCTCCTTAAACCCATATTTAAGGTATAAATTGGCAACTTGGCAGTTCTGTAGGGTCCCCAAGTTGACATTGAACAGTCACAGAACATCTGGATCAAAATGGAACTTTCTGTCAGCTTTGGCTGCTAAACCAGGTGGTTCCCTACTTAGAAGAGAGAGCCCTGGCTTTGCCGTGCACTGGAAAGTTGGATTATTGTGGCGCACTGCTCATGCTCTTCAGTCTTCATGCACTCACAGACCACCATCCAGAAATTGCAGATAGTCCTTGGAAGAGCTGGGTCAGAATTGCTCTGAGGAGAACGACAGAACATTCCAGAGCTCTCTAGAATTTACTGTCCTTAGAACAATATCTTTTGCCCAACCCTAATAAAAAAAATTATCTCCAGAGATTTAATTACGATTTCTAATGTTATCTCATAATAGTATATGGAGGTAACTATATTGTAAGTATTTACCCAGAGGAACTTTTCAAACGGTGTTTATCTATCATTTCTTCTTCTTTTATGTAGGATTTCCTCTGGTGGATGTCCCAAAGATTGCCTTTGTACAGGCGGAGAACGCATTAGCACACAAGAGGAAAAACAATCTAGGCAACTCATTTCAAGCAAAGAGGGCTCGTCTTAACAAGATCACTGGTAAGTTCTCATTTCAGATCAGCTGTGATGGTTGTTTAATCTGGCTCTCATCTGAACAGTTGCATGGAACTAAGAATGTCTAGTCTAGTCTTCTCCCAAGCACGTGAAGGCAGGATAAGAAGCAATGAATGGAAACTTATCAAGGAGGGAAGCAATCTAGAAATAAAGAGAAATTTCCTGACAGTTAGAACAATTTATCAGTGGAACAACTTGCCTCCAAAAGTTGTGGATGCTCCAACATTGGAAGTTTTTAAGAAGAGATTGGACAACGCTTTGTCTGAAATGGTATAGGATCTCCTGCCCGAGCAGGGGATTGGACTAGAAAAGGGGTGTCAAAATTGATTTCATTGAGGGACGCATCAGGGTTGTGTTTGACCTTGGGGGGAGCATGGGGTGTGGCCAGGTTGGGAGTGGCCAGGTTGACGTCACTCGTGTCAGGAGCACCTGTGGTTGCCCCAGCTCTGTTTTCGCTGGCAGAGGGTTGCAGGAGGCCGTCGCAGCCGAAAACAAAGCTCGGGGGGGGGGGCACACATGTCCCTCCCGAGTTCCATTTTTGCTGGCAGAGGCACCGTGGGATGGTCCTTCGCTGTTTCCAGGGTGGCCCTGTGGGCCAGATCTAAGGATCTTGCGAGCCGGATCCGGCCCGTGGGCCATTAACAATCCTGGACTAGAAGACCTCCAAGGTCCCTTCCGACTCTGTTATTCTGCTCTGAATAACGTAACTTCTGACTAATAACAGAGTTGGAAGGGACCTTGGAGGTCGTTCAGTCTAACCCCCTGCTCACACAGGAGACCTGTACTAGGGATTCGAACTGCCGACCTTTCTGATTGACAAGCTCAGTGTCTTAGCCACTGAGCCACCTAATCAGGCAATTTTTGCAAGATTTGTTGCAAGGAAAAATAAAACTGGGTTACAGAATCTCAAAGCTTGTTAACTCTCTACTTAAGAAGAAATACAAACAATGTAACTATTTGCATCATAAAACCAACGAGCCAATTTGGTTTATTTATTTATTTTATTTATTTATTTTATTATTCATATTTCTATGCCGCCCACTCTCCGAGGACTCTGGGCGGCTTACACCAAAGACAGTATACTAAATAGCATATTGCCCCCTAACAATCTGGATCCTCATTTTACCCACCTCGGAAGGATGGAAGGCTGAGTCAACTTTGACCCGGTGAGATTTGATCCACTGATCTGCTGAACTAGCAGTCAGCTGAAGTAGCTGCAGTACTGCACCCTAACACTGCGCTACCTCGGCTCTTACCGAGGTTAAATCTTTAGTGGTTAAATCTCTATAACCTAGAAATCAGGAGAGCATGAGTTCTAGTCCCCCACTTAGGCGTGAAAAACCAGCTGGATGGCTCTGAGCCACTCATTCTCAGCCCAACTCATCTGACAGATTTGTTGCTGTGGTTGTTATTCTAACTTACATGGTTGCCCACCTATCCTAGAAACTCTTGGCAGCAAACAAAGTAAAAACATGGCATTCCATTAAAACAAAAGAGAGGGAAAAAAAGACCAAAACCATCATAAGTACATGCCAGTTGCCAAGTGTATGAATTTTGATCATGTGACTGGGGGATGCTGCAACAGTCATAAGTGTGACTAAAGGTCATAAGTCACTCAACGAATGGTGGTAAGGGGGGGAACCACCTTTACTGAGAATAAGTACTTGGATCTACCTGTAGGATCATCATCCTTGACCAAACGTCATGGCGGTTATTTCAAAAGAGTCCTTATTTTTCTGCTCTTTTTTTTTTCTTGTAGGATTGTTGGCATCCAAAGCTGTCTGGGCTGATGGTGCTGAAAAGAAAGAAGACCGCAAAGAAGCAGCTCCAGTCTTGGAGCAGGTATGAAATTGTAGAGTTGATTCTTTTCCGAGGGCCATTCTGGAACGTACTATGGGAAATACCAGATCTGTGATGTGAATATTGTCTTGCTAGGCAGAATCCGAGAGGGGCACTAAAGAACGCTGTGTATGTATATAATATACCTCTGCATAAATGAAGGTCATGAAAGTAAATCTGTTGCTCCTAAGGGTGCCTAACTCCAGAAGCCAGTTTGAGATTCTGTCTGGATTGGACTTCTGCCGTTTGCCTTTTAGGTCAGAGAGTTGGATGTCTTAATTTATGGTTACCTTTCTTTTTAACCGTTTATGGCAGGGGTGTCAAACTCACGTCGTCATGGTGGTGTCACGTGACGTATCGGGACTTTTTTCCCCGTTCGCTGAACCGGGCATGGCCAGCGCATGATGCATTCGGCCCCTGGGCCGGGAGTTTGACAGCCCTGGTCTATGGAGATTCTCAGTCATCCAGGTCATAGTTGTCCCAAAGGCGCTTTTTTCCCCAAAGGCAACTAGACTATCTTGGGTTTTTTTTTCTTCTTGAAGACGTTTCTCTTCTCATCCAAGAAGCATCTTCAGTTCATGAAGGACAGAAGCTGCTTCTCGGATGAGAAACGAAACGTTTTCAACAAAAAGCAAAAAGTCCAATTGCCTTTTGAAAAAAAGCACCATTGGGATTTTATTTTTAATTTTCATTAGCAAAACATTCCGAGAATCAAAACAAAGAAAAAACTGGATGTCTTTTCCCAAATACTGTTACACTATAGTTGAAATAGTGCCAACAAGTGACTTAAAAGACCCTTGATGCAAATTGAAGTTGTGCTTTCACACAGGGGTTTTGACATCTACCAGAACTTCTTCATAGAGAAGTTTCCTTTCTGTTGTAAGAATTGGTGGTTGTGAACGTATATGTGTTTATGGAACTGTTCAATGAGCCATATTACTAACCCTCCTCCTCCACCTTCTCCTTGGGTTAACCTCTAGATTTTTAAATAAATATTTAAAAAAAAGGAAACACATTAAAAACCTCTTGGGGATTTGGTTTTAGTTCACATCTAAAGCAGAGATGCCTGCATTCTCTTTCATTTTTCTGCTCCATTGGATTTTCTCTGCCTTGCATTTAATGCATAACTATGACTTCTAAGAACAGGGCTAGATAAGTTGAGTCTACTAAGAGGATAGTTTGCTACTCTCAGTACATTGGAGTGTTTCCCAGGAAGTCACACCAATGTTGAAATATGAGTTTTGCAGATCTTGTTTGTAAGCCACATAATGTAAAAAAATTATTTTTAAAATTAAACGTGGTTCTAACTTGTAGACTGTTCTTAACACTAGAGATTTAACATCTTATAAAATACGGATTGGAAATGATAGAAAATGATAGGAAACATATAACCAAAGAAAATTGGTACAGAAAAAATTGGAATTTGAAATGGAAAGAAATTTGTTGCCTGAATGAAAGAAATAATAGTTGATTAATGAGAAGTCAGAAAAATATAACATTTTTTTTTTAGCTTTTAGCCAACCATGGCATGGCTCCATCCAAGTATCAGTTATAGGTCTTTTAAGTTATACATGCTTAGACAAAACTCTAGTTCTTTTTTTAAACCTGAAGTTGTAACCATAATTTAAGTGGGTTTTCAAATGATGGTTATAAAGAAAATACATTTGGTTAATACCGGTGTGTGTAGAGCCCAAATCATGGTTTATTCTGGGAGGACCCAAAATCTGGGTTGAAAATTTGTTTTCTAAGGCATAAATAATTTTTTTAGGAATCAGTGGCTTCATAATGCCAGTCTGCCTGCAGCTAAACATTGATGGTTAAAAAGGCATAATGAAAAGAAATTCAGATTGTCTCTTCTGGTTGTTAATTTCTCTTCCCGCCTTCTGGTTTACAATATCTTAAACCTAAACCCTCAGGTTACATGTCACAGATACAGTAGTCACTTAATTGTGTTGTTAGGATCCAGCCTTGTGTTTACTTTTGAACAATATCTGCTTAGATTGACTAATTTTCATTAAGGTTCTTTCTCATGTTTAATTTTGTCCTTGTTAAAAGAGGTTTAAGCACCTTATTAGAACAAGTTTTCAAAACCTTGTTTTAAATAATTTTGTAACTTTGAAAGTAATGGTTTCTGTAGTGATGTCTTTCACACGTGAAGATGAACAATAAAATCATTTATTTACAAGCTATGGCTCTAATTAATTTCTGGCAATTTTCTTACCAAGCTTTAGCTATGGTTCTAGAGTCTTCCAGTTGTTTCACATGAACAAATGATGCTCAGTGGACATGCATAACTGGTCCAGGGATAGCATGGGTGACAATTGAATGGAATGTTTGCTCCACCAGTCCTTTACATCATATTTCCATTACATTGAACGTAGCAAGGACATTGAACCAAAACCACATTCTGTCTTTATCAAGCACAACACTAATCCTATTGTGATTGGGGCAGTTTCTTTGCATAATCCATGCACATGGCTATGGCTGTTTTGCCTTCTTTATCTAGTCACCCGTGCCTAACATCCATCTTTTGATGTAAAAAGTTCCAGACTGGAGAACACGGTTTTGCTCATGAATTTGATTCTTATTATGAAAGAGTGCTTGTTTTGTTTTTAATGCTTCCTGAATTTCCCCCAACGCTTTAATGAAATGCTTCCTGGCACAATATTTATCTCTGCTAGATGAAAATGTTTTGAACTGTCTGTGTGGGATAGCTCTCTAGACATGTATGTCAAATGCTGGTATTTGTAAATTGAGGTCATGTTGATGTGACAATTCATGATGTGTGTTGAACAAAACAGATGTGGGGGCATTACATTTTGAAAAAAAAATATGCTTTGCTTTTCTGACTTGATAAGATGACGCTTGTTTTGTTATTGCTTTTCATTGACAAAATTTTGTGATGCTTATGACAGCTCATGTGTAGGTGATATCCAGATTATGTGCTAAAATACAGAATGTAGTCGACGGTTTAAAAAAAACAACGAACAGACTAAAGGGACCCTGCCAGCCTCTTCATGTCTTGTATTCAGACTGACCTACATACGTGGGAATTTGTGGATTTTAATAATCACTCATGTAATGCTAAGATTTTGAATCTAGCAATCAGGAAGTTTTATAACACATCAGAGATTTATAATCGCAACCGCTTTATTGTGCTTTTTAAGAAATATTGTAGAAATTCCTGATATGGAAATATGGCAAAATTTGGTCAAGTCAAACAGATAATTAGTATGTTTGGAAGAATTATGGTGCTCAGTCAGTAAGAATGAAGAGAGGTGTATGGCTTCACATCCCGATCCAGAGATCAACATAAAGAATAAATTGCAGATGGAAGGATTTTCTTCAAACATGGAGGAAATCCCCTTCTTTTCCACCTGCTGATGTTCAAGAACATTATTCCTCTGTGAAATGAAGGGGGAGATGTTGACAAAAGAAGCCTACAACATGTCACATCTCTCCAGCTTCTGAGGAGATCACTGGATTGGGATGATGGTCTTTGGCCGAGTCCCTTTTTAAATATTAAAATGCTTAATTTTTAATTTTTCTTTCCTTCTGAAAAATGTTTAAATGCTAAAGTTGCTTTTATTTAAAAAACAAAACAAAAATAGAATGCAAGAGCTGCAGTGAAGAAAATGCAATAAAAGTATCAATTTCTTATTATTTATTCAGGAGATATCACCTAAGCCTCAAAGTCAGAAAAAAAATGAAGCTGATATTAGCAGTTCTGCCAACATTCAGAAATCGGCACTGCTGCCCTCCAACTTGTCTTCAGGAAAGTCTCGCAGCAAGAAATGCAAACAAGAATCTGGAGATTCTGCAGGGTGTCTAAAGCCCCTTAAAACACCATTTTCCCCAGAGTTAATACAAGTGGAGGATTTGACCTTGATCTCCCAGCTTCCTTCTTCTGGGATAAATAAAACTAGTGAGCACAGACATTTTAAAACATAACCGTAATTGAGAAGTCATCATTGGTGGGTGGTGGGTGTTTTGTTTGAATATGGCTTGTTGATCATGAGTAGATTTTTTTTGAAAAAGAAAGAAAGAAACGGGACTTCAAGGAAGGTATGTCATGGAGTCTTTAACAGTATTGTAATTCAATTCACCAGAAAAATATATATGCAAGAAATAGAGATTTCTTGTACCTTTAAACATCTGAGGAACAGAAGAAAATTCAAAGCAACCAACTGATCTTCCAATTTGAAAGATTTCCTTGTCCTGTTGACTGGAATCCTATCCTCTCCTCTCCTCCCCTCCCCTCCCCATCTCTCCTCCAATTTGAAATATTTCTTTGTCCTATGGACTGGAATCCTCCCCTCCCTCCTCTTTTTCCTCTCTTTCCCCCTCAGTTTTTCCCAAATTATAGCAGGTGACTGGTTTCAAGACTGTTTTTTGATTTTGTTCCTCTTGAGCACACAGTATGAAATTGCAGGGCAGAATTCTTCTCTGCAGTGACACAATGCCTCAACAAACTGCACAGAACAGCAAAACCTTCGTGATCTGCTGATAAAAGAAAGAGGAAAAGAAGGAGGGCTTTTCCTATCTTTTTGTAGCCCATCCTATATTCTTCTAGCACGACGAGCCAACTCTTTTGTTTTCTCCATTACTGATTAACAGGCAGCAGTATTCCGCTTTTGAGATAAAGATCCCAAAGTTGCTTTCTGAGAAAAGACCCAGGAATGTATCCCTTGAAATCTCTTTACCATTTTAGAAGATGTTTTAAGCATGTTCAGCATCAACAAAAAAGGAGGATTTTTTGGGGTGGTTCCCTTTCTCGTGTCCAACTTCAGAACACCTTCCCTTATTTAATCCTTTCTCCCCTATAGATTATAGGATGTTGGGAAAGGAGGTGGTTTTTTTTTTTTTGGTTTTGTGAAATAGCAGCCTAAACCTTTTTACTTTGCTCCCCCCAAAAATGGTAAAATGAAGAATCAGAAGAGCTGTTTCCTTGGGCTGCCTTCTAATTGGCACACACTGAAAGAAAACTCAGGATATGATCCAAACAGAAGTATCTACAAATCCAATTGATTTGGAGAGAATATTTTCATTTAATAGGGTAGGGAATAAGAAACGGCTTAAGTTATCCCAAAAAAATATGAGAAAACATTCATTGACTATCCCCAGTAGATACAACATCACATGAATCTGTAAGTAACTTTTCCTGAGGATGATTTGAGTCTATTTTAAATAGGGAAAGGGAGCGATTAAAAAAAAAAAAAATCCATTTAATAATTAAAACTTCTTTTGCATTGGATGGTTTCCACTGCTTCCTCCTTTCCTTTGATTCTTTGTTTGTTTTTGTTTTGAAGTCAAGATCATTTTTAAATAGTTTCTGGCGTGAAACTTTATGGGCCATATTTCATTAAGGGGAAAAAAACACTTTTATTTGGAGTGCTTTGCAAGTGTGCTTTAAGCTTCAAACAATTTGAAATGGGATGCTCTGTATGCCCTTTTAAATAATAAAACATCTTAGCTTCAGTAATTAGGGACTGCAAGGTACACCTCTGAAGTGATTTTCATGACTGCACATGCATGAAAAGTAACTACTTCCCTTTGAGTCTCTCCAAAAGCTTCAGGTCCAATTATATTTAGTAGAAGGGGCAAACCCTAAAATTAATGTGATTTTGTAATGTTTAATTTTGCCTGGATGAAACTCTTAACCACAATCATAATTTCTTTCTCCCCATAGGCAAATTCTAGAAGTGTGTTGTCTGTCTCTAGGGGGAAAGAACTTAAGAATAACTTAAATAAATAAATATTACTTATAAATACAGGTGGTCCTCGACTTACAAGCACAATTAAGCCCAAAATCTCTGTTGTTAAGTGAAACATCTGTTAAGTGAGTTTTGACCCATTTTACGACCTTTCTTACCCTAGTTGTTAAGTGAATCAGTGTAAGCCGGTTGTTAAGTGAATCTGGCTTCCCCATTGACTTTTGTTTATCAAAAGGTTGCAAACATGACCTTGAGATACAGCAACAGTCATAAGTCTGAACCAGTTGCCAAACATCTACATTTTGATCATGTGACTATCGGGATGATGAAAAGGTCGTAACTGAAGAAGGTCATAAGTCACTTTTTTCAGTAGCGTCGTAACTTTGAGCGGTCACTAAATGAACTGCTGTAAGTCGAGGACTACCTGTACAAGTTCATATCAAAAAATTTAGTAGGTATTAAATGTTGCAACAGTTCACAGCTATGCTACGAAAGACCAAATACTGAAAAATATCATAGCCAGCAGTCCAATAATTGATTTTGCTGATAGTGATTTAGTCATTGCAAAAGATGCCAGCTGCTTAAAAGCTGAAGGTAATCATGCATCAGGTTACAGCTAATAACTTAATTTGTTGAATATAGCTAAATGCTGAAGCACATTGGAGGCAGTTCATCAAAATAAACACTGAATGCAACAGAGGAGTAATTGAAAAGCAACGATTAAAACATCTAATATCCATAATATAGATTTAAGCAGTATAACAGTAATATCCTTATTGACAGCTAACATCCTAGACTGTCTACAGTCTGTCAGCAAAATGATTGATTAACACACACACACACAATGCTTCTAGAAGCCCTGCATTCAGCATACATAGTTTTTTTAAAAAAAAAATTGGGTCTGGATGTGTATCATTCTGTCCTTGATTTGGTATGCTGGTAAAAAGGATATGCATTGTTTTTACAACATCCTTCAGTTTCATCCAAGAGTTAAAAAGAGAGACATTTTATAAACCAACTAGATTAGATATCTTCATACTACCCATGGCCTTTTGTATCAACCTGGCTTCAGATAATCTTATTTTCCTGTGATTATTTTCACAAATATATATTAGTGATTGCTCCTGTGCTATTACTCTCAAAAACCTTTCTAGTCAGTTTTATCTTTCCTGCCACTTTTTTTTGTTTTTAAAGATGTGAATTATAGACAGATCAGAACTATTTCAAACAATGGCCTGATGATAATACCCTTAAAAAAAGATGATAGCATGAGACATCTAGTTGTGTCTGCTTCAGCGACGACATTGCAAAGTCTCTTTTTAGGTGGATCACAGCCAGTGAAGATCCTTAGATCCTTCAAAAATAGCCACGGGAGACGAAGATTTGCAGCACTTAGAGACAGATTTCATTGCTTCCTGATTCTCTAGAAAAAGGTCCTTCTCTCTCTCTCCAGTCATTCATGGTAAAGGTTCTCCATCCATGCCCCAAATGAACCCACGCTCGTTAATGGAGGGTAATGTATTTCCTTGTTAATCCAGAACCAGACAGGAACCAAGCATTTAAAATAATGCCTTCACAAGAAGTTGCCTGTCCTAACAAGAGCTGGCTAGTAAGCCAGGCCTTTGCCATACTAGGGGTATAACTTAACAACGCCTAGAACACAATGCTTGTCTGTTAACACTGCATTCTTTCTTTTGTGTAGTTCCCAATCTTGCTCATGTAACCCTTGAGAAGCATGGACTAAGTCTTCCTCTTGACTTAAGCAGTAACTTGGATGTTTCAGCCCTGTTCCCTGGGGAAGCTGCCCTCTATAGCAAACAGCCCAGTCAGGAGAAGGAAGAGAACCAGATTATTAGATGCCATCTTTCCAAAACAGGAACGGATGGCAGAATAGCTCCGGTGGCCCCAGGTAAAATAATCTGTCAACCTTTTTCAAATGTATTAAACGTGCATGTGCATTTTCATGGACTCTTTGATATCTATATATGCTTCAATGCATATCTAGAAAATGCAGTGTGTGCGTGTATGTTTGTTTGCAAACTTCTGTATATGTCCAGTTCATTTCCCAGGAAACACAAACAGTTTGAGGGGATATTGGTGCCCAAATCCTTGTATATTGTTCTGTAAGAAACAGATAGTTATTTTAATTTGCAGTTGTAAATTGAGATTGGACAACACTGTTGTAGGTAGCCTTCATCTTCCTACTGTATTCAGTTCTATGTGGAAATAACAGTATTTAGATTGTTTTTAATTTATTTTAGTCCTTGATTTTATGTAGATTTTCCTAGAGTTAATAATGCACATTGGTTAATAATGCACTTTTCAGGTCCAAGATGTATAAATGACCTAATCAAAACATATAGATTAGGTTCAACATATAAAGGTTGGTTTGGGTTTAACATGCTGTATGATTTCACAACAACTTGGATTATACACGATATTTTGTGGTTTGGTGTGTTGTAACTCAAATCATGAAAGTAGGTCTTAATGTGTCAGCTTCTTATTATGAGATAGCAAGGAATCATTGCCAATCTTTCCAGAAAAAAAATAATCATTGAACAGAAACTACATTTTATTTTTGGAAATAATATGGCTAAAATTTAGATGCATCTGTGCCATCTTTGACTCTACAGGAACACTGAAAATTGAGAGGAAATCAAAATTGGAAGAAAGAGCCTCATCTTTACTTGGTATGAACATAAAATTAAGAACGTTCATGGTAATCTTTTTTATCTTTTTTTTTAATTATCTGTATCACTTAAAATGACCTGTTTATAATTATTGGTGGCATGATTTGATAGTTTTGTTTCCTCAAGTTATTTTTGAGGCGTTGAATCATATTAAAGGGAAATTATTCCCTTTGGAAATAATTCCAAAATTGGTTCAGTTGCTAAATAGATATGATTACTAGTTAATAGACTTGTATTTTTTGATGCCAAAATGCCACTGAAATTATGTCTTTTATATTGAATTCATTCACCATGACGTTCTTAAAAAGCACCAGTTTTGTGCAGACATATATGATGCTAAGAGAAAAAAATGAACAAACCACATTAGAGCTTAGTGCTCTGTATAAATTGGGCTATTTTTATACTTCACTATATTTTACTGCACTATAAATCTTAGTTCCTAGATTAAAATTTCACATTTCCCTTTTTTTCCCAGTGCCTCCACTGCTTAAATCCACTTTTATTCACTTGATCAATTAGTTTTTGTTTTGTTTTTTCCCAGGCAGGATATTGATATTAGATGACAATTGTTTTAAGTGAGTTAGATTCTTTCCAATTAAAACCATCATTTGCAACGCAGGTAAAAAAAAGGAGAAGGAGAGGAAAGAGAAGAAGGAAAAAGATCTGAAGTCAAAACAGAAGAAGAAGAAAAAGAAAAAGAAGAAAGCGAAACAGCATGGTATACCCAACAAATATAAACAAATGAGCAAAACGTATCCATGCGGTTGCTCCTATATGATGATGCGTTAGTTTTTAAAGCAGGTGCTCATAAAATTCCCCCAAACGTTGCTTTAAAATGTGCTTGTTGGCTCTCTTCAGGTACAACCTGCTGACTAGTTTTACCTGTTTTCCAATGTGCACCTTGTCCTTTTTCTTTGACATTTCTTCTCTGAACAGCAATGAGTGCTCCTGCGAAAGAATGTATGATTTACTTGACTGGTTATGCAGTATGTAAAGGGCCTCTTGTGCTTCTCTCCTGAAATCCAGATATTTATTATATTCGACGTTCTCTTGACATCTGCTCTGATTGTAAGAAGCTTATAACATGTAAACCTTTGAACAGCAAGATGGCAGTTGGCATGTCCCAGAGGTCTGTTGTTATTTGAAAAGCATGAACAGGGAAGTGAGAATCGATTCAAACTTCCACCGTTTGTTAGTTCTTTGAATATAAATCACAAGACAGGCTAAGCTGTGATTTGATGAGACCTAGCATGTCTTTAGCAGGCGAGCCATACTTTAAATCAGGTGAAATCCAGCAGGTTCTGACAGGTTCTGGCGAATCGGTAGTGGAAATTTTGAGTAGTTCGGATAACCGGCAAATACCACCTCTGGCTGGAACCAGAATGGGGTGGGAATGGAGATTTTGCAATATCCTTGCCCCAGAATGGGGTGGGAATGGAGATTTTGCAATATCCTTGTCCCAGGAGCGCGGTGGGAATGAAGATTTTGCAGTATCCTTCCCCTGCCACGCCCACCAAGCCACGACACCAGAACCGGTAGTAAAAAAAATTCGATTTCACCACTGCTTTAAATGGTGCTTAAGCCAGAACTTCAATTGTTACGCATGGTTTGGAGAACATTTTCATATTTAACCAAGGCTTTGTGTATGATGGAGATTGAGATTTCCCTGTTACTAACTTCCTTTTTACAGTTTCTGGACCAATAAACAGGAGATAAGACATTTCTGCAAAATGAGACTTCTATAACAAAGCCACGCTGGCTTTTTTTTTTTTTAATTTTCCTTGAGGTTCTTTATGGAGATTCTTAGTCATCCAGTCATGGTTGTCCCAAAGGTGCTTTTTTAAAAGGCAACTGGACTTTCTTTGCTTTTGCTCGAAGACATTTCACTTCTTATCCAAGAAGCTTCTTCAGAACTGAAGAAGGGTTGTCTTGCAGTTGTGCACAGTCAGGAAATTAGAACACCAAGAGAAGAGGAGACCCAAATTTCTCCATGAATGGCGGTTCTGATTGTGGACCACTGCAGTTTTTGTCACTATTTTTCAGTACAATTTTGAGAGAGGGAGGGAGGGAGGGAGGGAGGGAGGGAGGGAGGGAGGGAAGGAAGGAAGGAAGGAAGGAAGGAAGGAAGGAAGGAAGGAAGGAAGGAAGGAAAAAAAGAGTCACTCATTGCCAAGATGGCAGGATATTGGCCACCAGGAAGGAAAACTGGGAAGTTACGGCTGATAGGATCCAATCTGGGTCAGTCACCAGGACCAGAAGTTTTATCTTCCGAGCTTTCGGACTTGTGCTGGAGCCCATCTTCAGGGAACTTCTCTCTAGCCTACAAAAGATGGGCTTCAGCATGAATCCAAAAGCTCAGAACCTCCGATTCCTGTGACTGACCCAGATTGGATCCTACAACATTATCCTGGGACGCTTATATTCGCCTCCATTCTATGGCTGATAATTGTTTACTGTGCCAGTATAAGGCCAGGATTTGGGCCACGTTTGGTTTAGCCTATAATGATGTGGGTTGTCAGCAGGATGAGTTGATTTAAATCAACTTGATTTAAATCGTAAGTTTTAAAGAGCAACTGTCATCTCTGTCTCGCAGCAGCTCCCCCTCCTGACTCACTGTTGGCTCACCGACAGTCCCAATATTGCAGAATATACAGCCTCATGCTACATAACTAAGCTGCATTTCATGCTGAATAAATTATTAATGTATCTTAAATAGAAAACTATCTTTAGATAGATTTTTACTCCAAAAGCATTTTATTAAAATAAATTTAATTAAAATAAAAAAAAATCCAGTTTAAATAAAAAAGAAAAACATTATTTATTTATTTATTTTAAAAAAATCATCGATTTTTATCCACCCTGATTGCCAGTTAGTGGGAAGTTACTTGACTTTCTGCCCCATATTTTGCTCGATAAATCACTTCAAAGCCAACCGATGCAATATCTCAGGCGTTTGTGAACATTCAGGTTGAAAACATTTAAAGTTGTATTTTTGTTCCATATACCATCCCTCTTACAGCTGCACCCCTGTGGTTTCCTTTGCAGATTACTCTGACTTCGAGGATAGTTCCCTCGACTACTTCGATAGGTGCTCCTCCCCCTTCACTAGGTCTTCTGGCAGCTCGCTGACCCTCCGCAGCACCACGACGGAGAAGAGCACGTCCTATCAGTACCCGAGGGCTATTTTGTCGGTCGATCTCAGCGGGGAAAGTAGGTCTGCTTTGCTCTGCGATAGTTTTTAGAATTGACTTTTCCTTTTTTCCTGTTAATGTAATCATTCCACTTGCACAGAATGGTTTCCAAGGTCCATCGTGCTTCATGCAGACTTCGGTCATCCTGTTGTAGCCTGCCAGCATCCAGCTGGCGGCAGACTCGGACAATGAGGAGGTTGGGGAGGAACACGGGCCAGTCCTGGAGTCTGGGGAAGGCTCCGATGAGTGCCAGGGTCATCGGACAATTATCAGCTACCTTCGGAGTTGGAGATAAGATGGGCTGAAGAACAGCTGGAGCCTGTTCCTGATGTGTGCGTGCGCAGAGCTGCCAGGAGAAGGGAACAGTTAAAGAACAAGGGCTGACTCGGGAGTAAAGGCACAGGTGGTCAGTGAATGGCTCCTCCTATAGGGAATAAGGTTGACTCAGCCTTCCATCCTTCCGAGGTAGGTAAAATGAGGACCCGGATTGTGGGGGCAATAAGCTGACTTTGTATAAAAAAGAACACTGCTTAGGGGAGGCCGAAAGCCCTACTAAGCAGATATATACAAAAGTATGAAGGCTATTGCTTAACGCATTGTAAGCAGCCCTGAGTCTCCAGAGAAGGGCGGCATATACATCGAACCAATAAATAAATAAAATAAAATAAAATAAAATAAAATAAAATAAAATTAAATTAAATTAAATTAAATTAAATTAAATAAAATTAAATAAAATTAAATTAAATAAAATTAAATAAAATTAAATAAAATTAAATAAAATTAAATAAATAAATAAATAAATAAATAAATAGGAGCGAAAGTGGAGCGGAGTTTGCAGGAGACAATTAGTTCATTTCATTGGTGTGAAGATCTGTTCGTGACTTTGAATGGTCACTAAATGAAGTGTTGTAAGTCAAGGACTACCTGTAGTAACTACTAATCCTTAGCATCCTCTGGATCCCTCCTGCCACCCCCAACTTTATAGAAGGACTATTTCATAGAATTAGTTTACTTATTCATTTACATTTCAAGGTTTCCTGATTCCTCAACAACTCCAGGTGGCTTAGAAATAAAAGAGGAAAAAATACATACAAAAAGAAGAACATTGCTGATCAGAATACCACCACCCAGTCTTAAGTTAAACTGAACTAGTGGTCCAGTCTAGTGGTTAAGGCACCAAGCTAGAAAGCAAGAGACTGGGAGTTCTAGTCCCACCATAACCATAGATCAGAATTTGCAAGGTTTAATTATGTTAGTCTTACAATATAGTCCAGAAAGGCAGCACAACCAGACAGAGCTGTTTACAAGATGCTGGATTTTTGTTTTTGTTTGATAGTTTAGTTATGGATGAAACTTTTTAAAAACATTTCTTCTTCCTTTTTAATTTGATTGGTTGGAGCATAGTGGTGGTTTACTGCTCACCTGGAGTTTTACGATTGTTTTAATGGTGGCTGTACTTTTCGCCAGCTGTTTAAAGTTAAAACACTAATCCATCTTATTCCTGTCAATCTCTTTTTGACTATTTCTAGTTATTTCTACGCGCCAGCTAAAAGGTTTCTGAAAGAACAGTGTCCTAAATAAGTTTAGGCATTTTTGTTAATACAGTATCTGCTATGCAGAGAAGTATCCAATCTTATCTATTTTGGGTATTAAACATAAACCAGTCTCACATCAGAACATTGTTCTGAGTTGGAAGGGACCTTGGAGATCTTCTAGTCCAACCCCCTGCTGGAGCAGACCCTATACCATTTCAGACAAATGGCTGTCCAGGCTCTTCTTGAAAACCTCCAGTGATGGAGCAATCACAACTTCTGGAGGCAAGTCGTTCCACTGATTAATTGTTCTAACTGTCAGGAAATTTCTCCTTAGTTCCAGGTTGCTTCTCTCCTTGGTTAGTTTCCATCCACCGCTGCTTATCTTGCCTGTTTTGGAGAACAGGTTTTCCCTTTCTTCTTCGTGACAGCCTCTCAAATGTTGGAAGATTGCTCTCATGTCCTAGTCCTTCTTTTATGTTCTATCTTTTTTTTTTTTTGTAAAAATCTTATTTATATATATTTTTTTATATCTGATCGTCCAAACCCCCTCCAAATCATCTTGCAGACCTTTCTGATATGGAGTTTTTGGATGACTCTTCCACCGAGAGCTTGCTGTTGAGCGGCGATGAATATAATCAGGATTTTGATTCGACCAATTTTGAAGAGTCCCAAGACGAAGAGGACGCTCTGAATGAAATAGTCAGGTGCATCTGCGAAATGGATGAGGAAAAAGGCTTCATGATTCAGGCAAGAACTCTGCTGTTTACTGTCAAATTTTCGTTGCAGAAAATTTTCACCCAGTTCTACATGTCACTAGGCCAGAGTAATTTAGTCCTTGTTGGTAGATGAATTTCAGGCTGGATTGATCCAGCAGATTTCCAGTCGGCTCACAGATGTTATTCCTAAAACAGTCACGGTTCAGACTGTGGCTGCAAAAAAGAATAGAATAGAATAGAATAGAATAGAATAGAATAGAATAGAATAGAATAGAATAGAATAGAATAGAATAGAATAGAATTCTCTATTGGCCAAGTGTGATTGAACACGTAAGGAATTTGTCTTTGGTGTATATGCTCTCAGTGTACATAAAAAGAGAAGATACATTCATCAAGAATCATAAGTTACAACACTTGCTGATAGTCATAGGGAACAAATAAGCAATTGAATCATACTAGGAAACAATCAATATAAATCGTAAGGATACAGCAACAAGTTACAGTCATATAGTCGTAAGTGGGAGGAGATGGGTGATAGGAACGATGAGAAGATTAATAGTAATAGTTATAGTAATGCAGACTAAGTGAATAGTTTGACAGTGTTGAGGGAATTATTGTTTAGCAGAGTGATGGCGTTCGGGAAAAAACTGTCGTTGTGTCTAGTTGTTCTGGTGTGCAGTGCTGTATAGCGTTGTTTTGAGGGAAGGAGTTGAAACAATTTATGTCCAGAATGCAAGGGGTGTGTAAACATTTTCACAGCCCTCTTTTGGGAGGGCTGCCTCAATGGAAGGCAGGTTGGTAGTAATTGTTTTTTCTGCAGTTCTAATTATCCTCTGAAGTCTGTGTCTGTCTTGTTGCGTTGCAGAACCAAACCAGACAGTTATGGAGGTGCAGATGACAGACTTAATGCGAATGAACTTGTTTGCTTATTACTATGAGGTTAGGGAAGCCAAATCTTTTCATTCAGCCAGGCATAAATGTAAGCCAGTTGCCAAGCACCTGTATTGCATTCTGGGGACCACAAATGTTGTGCAGCGGTCATAAGCTTGAATACAGGTCGTAAATAACGTTCCCTAAGGTTGTTGAACTATGGTAAAACAAATGGTCATAAGTTGTAGAGTATCTGTACTAAAAGGACACTTGACAGGAAGAACTACAATTTGAATGCGCATGATGGAGTTAAATCTTAATTGTGTATATGTTACGTATGTCTTTTTTAATATTTATATTCAATAAAAGCTACTTTTAATAAATCTTAATTGATGCTTGATTATGCCTTTCGTCTCCTGCATTCATTTCTCTTTATTTTTATCATCCTGACAGTGTGAAGAGTGCTTGTGTTGGCAACACAGTGCTTGTATGGGATTGTTGGAAGACAGCATTCCCGAGCAATATATCTGCTACATTTGCAGGGATCCACCTGGTAAGGACACATTTTCAAGTCCTTTTCAAACTGATTTCCAAGCTTTGCATTTCACGTTAATATTAGTATAAAGATCACCGTCTACAAATGAATTTAGAGTATGCTTAGACAATTAAGCCTGCTTTTATTGTTGTTTTCCCGGGTGCACTTGCAAAATAATTTGGCAACTCATGTACAATTTTGCCCTAATCTACCAGCCTAATAAGCCTCTAATTACTGTATCCTGCCACCATGTGCGAATAAGACAGTGTTTGTATTCTTGTGATATTTATAATTTGCAATGTAATTTGAAGATTGGTCTAAGTTTTAAAACGTAACCATGCCACTGAAACAGAATAAATGTGCAGTAGGAAAATCCCACCTCCTATTTTAGCTTGACTTTGATTTCCCATACCCTCTAGAGTCCTAGATGGAAATTATTTGACTTTCAAAAATGTGGCGGCAACATCTGAAGTCAGTGGTCTCTACAGCCATACAATTTTGTTAAAGGGGCACCACTGAGTGATAATAAATGCATGCTGGTTGCCAACCAACATAGATCACGTGATTGCAGAGATGCTGCAATGGTCATAAGTGTGAGAACTGGTCATAAGTACTTTTTTCACTGTCATTGTAACTTTGGATAGTCATTAAATGAATGGTTGTAAGTTGAAGCTTATCTGTTTTTGAAAGAGAACATATTTCTTAAGCTTTTCAAACATCGATACATGTTTTGCTAGTGTGTGTATCAGAGGTGGGTTTCAGCAGGTTCTGACCAGTTCTGGAGAACCAGTAGTGGAAATTTTGAGTAGTTCGGAGAACCGGTAATAAAAATTCTGACTGGTCCCGCCCCCATCTATTCTCTGCCTCCCAAGTCCCAGCTGATCAGGAGGAAATGGGGATTTTGCAGTATCCTTCCCCTGGATTGGGGAGGGAATGGAGATTTTACAGTATCCTTCCCCTGCCACATCCACCAAGCCACACCCACAGAACCGGTAGTAAAAGAATTTGAAACCCACCACTGGTGTGTATGTGTTTTACATTGTATATGTTCATATATTATTGACAGTGCAGCCTTTTCTCCAAGATTTGTGGTTATAATTTTTTGAATATTTTTCTTGGGCTCTTTGTGCTACTCTACTGTGACCTCCACCCCTGTCTTTGTATTTAGGGAACTCCTCTGGGTTTTAAACATTGAATGAATGTATCATAAATGTGTGAATGGACTTATGGGTGTTTTAAATCCTGATAAATAGAGAACTTTCCATTGTTTTAACAGCTTTTGACAGTTCGTTAAATAAACGCTTGCTTCCCACTTGTACATTTTTCCTACTGGAATTTGATCTCTTTTAACTATAATTGGTCCGGAATAATTTTCTGGGAATTGTGGTAATATAATAAAAATCTCACTCTCATGTTTTCTCCAGGTCAGAGATGGAGTGCCAAATATCTCTGTGACAAAGACTGGTTGAACAATGGCCACATGTGTGGCTTGTCATTCTTAAAAGAGAATTATTCCCATTTAAATGCCAAAAAGATTGTGTCAACGCATCGCCTTCTGGCCGACGTCTATGGTGTTACAGAAATATTACATGGACTACAGCTGAAGATTGGAATACTAAAGTAAGCGTAACTTGTGGTTCTGTAATTTCTACGTAATTTTGAGGATTCTACGTTGATATTACAGAGGATTTCCCTTTCAATCAATTATTTCTATTAATGACAGAAAGTATTCAATCTGAACAGTACATGGGCACTTTAGATCAGTGTTTCTCAATCTTAGCAGCTTTGAGACGCGCGGACTTCAACTCCCAGGATTCTCCAGCCAGCACGGAGAATTAAGTTGCCATGGTTGAGAAACACTACTTCAGATGTTTCATCAGGAAAACCACTCATTGTAATTAACATTTCATTTTTTAAACTAAAATCATAGGCATTTTTTTAGGGGGGGAGGCTTCTTTTCTGTTCAGACAGTGCTTGTATCAGAGGTCTCCAATCTTGGCAATTTTAAGACTTGTGGACTTCAACTCCCAGAATTCCTCAGAAAGCTTTGCTTGGTGGGAGTTGAAGTCCACAAGTCTTAAAGTTGCCAAGGTTGGAGACCTCTGGCTTATATGACTTGGTGCTTTTATTAGTTTCACCTGAATTAATCTTTTTTAAAAAATTTTTTACCTCAGAAATAAGCATCACCCCGATCTTCATCTCTGGGCTTGCACAGGTGTGCGGAAGGATCACGACCAAATCACTGTTGGAATAGAAAGAAGGGTCGTAACTGTGCCCGAAGCCGTTAATCCTTCGGGAAGGACGTGTCATAGTCAAAATCATAAAGAGCCCCCTCGCTTAGCTCCAAAGATGGAAGAAACGTACATCAGAAGTGAACACAGTTACCAGAAACCGAGTTTTGGTCTGGATTGCAAACCGGTGGTTGATCCCACCAGCTCGGAGGATGATGATGCCAGCAGTTTTGAACAGAACCAGGAGCGTCTCTTAGAAGAGAAAAACTGTTTACAACACTCATCCACAGAAGATGGTTTGGGCCATCAGGTAAATCAACCTGTTCATCTGTGGCACCTTTTAGAATTACAGCGACAAAAAAATAAGAGCCTTCTAAGCCAGGGAAACCCAGGAGAAGCCCCGTTCACATTGTGTGTGCCATGGCATTATCATGCCAAATGAAGCACATTATGGGATTTGCATCATTTATGTTATAATGCCATGACAAAATGATATCTCTCATATATATATATATATATATATAAATAAGGTTCCCGACTCTAGGGGGTGGTGCTCATCTCCGTTTCAAAGCCAAAGAGCCAGCGCTGTCAGAAGACGGAACACTGTTACCTTCCCACCAAAGGTGGTCCCTATTTTTCTATTTGCATTTTTTACGTGCTTTCGAACTGCTAGATTAGCAGAAGCTGAGACAAGTAACGGGAGCTCACCCTATTATGCAGCACTAGGAATTTGAACCGCAGAACTGCCGACCTTTTGATCGACAAGCTCAGCGTCTTAGCCACTGAGCCACCTGCATAGATAATAGATAGATAGATAGATAGATAGATAGATAGATAGATAGATAGATAGATAGAAGAGAAGTTCTTAGTGCTCTCTGAGTTTGGTTATTTTCTTGCAGATGATTCATAATCCAAATTACATAATATCACCAGTACTATTTTTTTAACAAAACTTCAGTATTTTTTTTCAATTTTTTTTGTTTTTTTTTACTGTAACACACTAGTTGCATGAAATATGCTGATAATGACCTTGGAAAGAAGAACTGAAGTCATGCTTCCTGTTGTCTTCCGAGGGTACAATATAAATCAGAAATTTCATTGTGCAAAGAAATGTGTTCCATGTAGATAGATGTGAGGAATCACTCCCTTAATTTTGGAAGCATTTATGAACAAAGTTAAAAATTCCTCATCTTGAAAGGTTGGAGGAAGAGTTTAAGGGTGCTTCTGGTTTGTCCTCCGGGGAAGAACTATCCAAGAAAAGAGATTTTGTCACTCCTGAGCAAAAGGGCTATTTTCCAAATAGGACAATTTAGCTTGTAAGGTAGTCCTTGACTTAAATCCATTCTTTTAAGTGACCATTTGAAGTTACAACGGCACTGAAAAAAGATGATTTATGATAGTTTTTCATTCTTATCGTTGCATACCCACAGTCACGTGATCAAAATTCAAGTGTTTGGCGGCCGGCAGGTATTTATGGCGGTGTCCTGAGATCATGTTATCACCTTTTGCGACCTTCCAACAAACAAAAATTAAAGGGGAAGCCAGATTCGTTTAACAACTGTGTTACTAACTTAACAACTGCAGTGATTCACTTAACAATTGTAGCAAGAAAGGTCATAGAATGGAGCATATTTCACTTAAAGTTAGGGTCTTGTCTTGGTTAGCAACAGAAATGTTGGGTTCAGTTGTGGTTATAAGACGAGGACTATTTATATTCTTGTGCTTCGTTTCTGTTGTTTCTGTGTTCAGTTGACGATCAGAGGCAAAAGTGCGTTTAGGCTCCAGGTATGGCTACTCCAAAGTGGTCTGTAGAAATGGGCTCATCCATAGAATCCCTTCCACCTAGGGATCTGAATTTAAAAGATGATCGAACTTTGGGATAACTGTTCTGACCTAGGCTTCCTAATATAGTAAAAAGCACACAATTACTCCCAAAAACCCTTTTTAAAATTTTGACGGCTGTGAATTCCTTTCATTCACAGCACGTGCTGATTCACCAAGAGTTTATAAATAGTCCAACGGAAGTCTGCCAGAGTCCTTGGGATAAGGCTGGTAAACACCCACCTTTATCTTTTTTGACACACTGCCAAAGACCTAATTGGCAATTATCTTGGCAAGGCCACACAGCAACACAGTCAAAAACGGAGCTTCAAAGTACAGACTGTCACCATCCACAACGTTGCTTCCTGCAAAGGTCCACATGCCTTTGCTCTTCCTTTATGTCTTATGGGAGGGGCCAATCGTCTCCAAGCCTTCCTCCCGAGTCGTCCCTTTTGTTTTAACTGTTCTTGCCTTCTGGCAGCTCTATGCATGCGTGCACTGGGAACAGGCTCCCCATGATCCTCTGCCTCTCTGATGTCCGACTCTGGAGGCTCCGGAGGCATCACATGACTCCCAGATGGCCCTGGCCCCATCTCTGCCTCTGACGCAGAGCCCTTGTCCGAGCCTTCCCCAGACTCCAGGACTGGCCCATGTTCCTCCCCAGACTCCTCACTGTCCGACTCTGCTGCCAGCTCCGCAGGCTGCTGGTGGACCACAACAATAACTTAGTTCTTAACATTTTTTTGGTAGAAGCAGAAGCCTATTAGAGAGAGGTTTAGCTCTGCCCCATAATAAGATTCACCAGTATTTTTAGGTCAGTCACCCATAAACCTTTTCTAAGAATTCATTCCTTCAAGTAGTAACCAGCAAAAGAGGAGTGCACTTCAAAGGTCTTCTGCTGGACCATTCCTTTTATCGCCATGATTTTAAAATTTCCATGCATGTATCTTTCTTCATTTATTCCATGGTGGTTACCATCCCAGGGTAAAGGAGATGGAGAACTTCTTTTGTTTTGTTTTACAGTAGACTTTTATCATTCACGATGGTATTCTGACATAGCTACCTTTGATCTTGCTAGATCAGGGGTGTCAAACTCGATTTCATTGAGGGACGCATCAGGGTTGTGTTTGACCTTGGGGGGGCAGGGGGGGGGGCGTGATCAGCTCGACATCAATTGTGTGTGTGGGAGCCGGTGGTGGCCTGAGTGCTCTGCCAGTGAAAATGGGCTCCCGAGATTTGTTTTTGGGTGCGACGGCCTCCTACAACTCTCTGCCAGCAAAAACGGAGCTCAGGGGAACATGTGCGGCCCTCACAAGCTCTGTTTCTGGCTGCAACCACCTCCTGCAACCCTCTGTCAGCGTAAAAGGAGCTCGGTGTGTGTGTGTGTGTGTGTGTGTGAGAGAGAGAGAGAGAGAGAGTTTGTTGCAGAAATCACATCCAGAAAGCACACACAGATAACTGATACAGCAGGATTCATCAACTTCTTTATATACAATATAACATATGAAATAGACAATACCAACAGTGGTTCTTCCAACAGGGTAGCAGAGTTACAAGCAAAACACAAGCAGAGTACAGCAGACAGACTAGTTTCAGTTTCAATTCTCAGCACAACACAATGAGCTAAGCCATGCCCAGACTCCAAACTGTTTCAGCTCCCATTGGCTGACTTAGTTGCTATGCCTATTTATTGGCTGATCTTGTTACCATGTCTTCCCAGTCATAAATATTCTGACCCATGCATGCAGCCCTCCCAAGTTCTATTTTCACTGACGGAAGCACCATGGGTCGGTCCTTCACTGTTTCCAGAGCGGCCCCGCGGGCCAGATCCGGCCCCCGGGACTTGAGTTTGACACCCCGTTTTAGATTTTTCACTTTGTGGCCCACATACTTCTGTTGTTCCTCTTGCTTTCATTCTGGTCTACAAAGTCCTCCTTGCATGTTCCTTTTGATCATAAAGGATATGCACTTGTAGTCCTATCTGTGTGGCCTGTGTAAACGAACTTATGATTGCAAAAACGCACATCCTAAATTTTTCTTCCGTATCAATCCCTCCAGACAACTGGTGGGAGCAGGTTATGTTGTAGAATTGGTACAAGCAAGCCTTCTTCTATTCATGAATCTGGCCTTGGGATGGGTGTGTGTGTGTGAGAGAGAGAGAGAGAGAAAATGAATATGAATCAAAGAATGATTGATGCTCTTTCTACATTTGATTGGGCATTACAGAATTTAGTAGAAAGCTTGAGGAGTGCTGGGCATTTGGGTCATCATTTTTTATATAACTAGAATGTTGAGAGGGACCCCTTCATGAACCTTGACAATCAAACTGCTCCCATTGTATTGTTTCCACATGGTTGGAGATCTGAATTAGCAAAACCTTGGATAGATTTCTTATTTCTGTCACTGTTCACTGGTATGTGAAGAGCCACTACAGTCAGCAAGAAATTCCTGCGGCTAATATTTCTGAATAACAGAAAAGGTGCAAAAACCATCTTGTTCTGCTGTCGTTCTATGGGCTTATAGGTAGCAGCTTTAAAAAAGGACAAAAAAATGTTTCTATATATATATATATATATAAAGTAAAGGTTCCCCTCGCACATATGTGCTAGTCGTTCCCGACTCTAGGGGGTGGTGCTCATCTCCGTTTCAAAGCCTAAGAGCCAGTGCTGTCCGAAGACATCTCCATGGTCATGTGGTCGGCATGACTAAAGGCCAAAGGCGCACGGAAAGCTGTTCCCTTCCCACCAAAGGTGGTCCCTAGTTTTCTACTTGCATTTTTTACGTGCTTTCAAACTGCTAGGTTGGCAGAAGCTGGGACAAGGACCGGGAGCTCACCCCCTTACGCGGCACTAGGGATTCGAACCGCTGAACTGCCGACCTTTTTCTAGACATGCTCAGCATCTTAGCCACTGAGCCACCACATCCCTTTTCCATATATGTGGTGAACTTTAAATAGCCAGTTGGTCTTCAATTAAGCATCTGCATGACTTCAGGAAATATTGAAATTGGCAGAGGATTCATTTTTTTTCTACAATATAATCGGAGAGTTTTGGTTGTCAACCTCATTTGCTGAGAAATCCCCGGGGTCTTGAAATCTTACAATTTCTAACAAATACTATAGGCACAATTGAGCCCAAAATCTCCATTGCTACAAAGGCAGTTAAATGATTTTTTTACCCCATTGTATGGCCTTTCTTCCCACCATTGTTAAGCGAACCACAGCCATTGTTAAGTTAGTAACACAGTTCTTAAGTGAATCTGGCCTCCCCATTCACTTTGCTTGTCAGAAGGTGGGAAAAACATCCCGAGGGTGTGTTCTTTTTCTAAAAAAACAACTGGATTTTGTGCTTTTTTTTTCCTTTGAAAATGTTTCGCTTCTCATCCAAGGAGATTCTTTCATTCTTCAGTTCTAACTGAAGCTTCTAGCTTCTTTTAACTGAAGAAGCTTCTTGGATGAGAAGCGATGCATTTTGAAAGGTGGGGGGGAGAAAGACACTAAAAAAGTCCAGCTGCCTTTTGGAAAAAACACCTGCAGGACAACCATGACCTGCAAAAGGTGATCATGTGACCCCAGGACCCTGAAACCGTCATAAATACATGCCAGTTGCCAAGTGTCTAAATTTTGATCACAAGACCACGGGGATGCTGCAACAGTCATAAGTGTGAAAAATGGTCATAATCTATCACTATTGTATGTACACTGAGGGCTTATGCACAATAGACAAATTCCTTGTGTGTCTAATCACACTTGACCAATAAAGCTGTTATTCTATTCTATTCTATTCTATTCTATTCTATTCTATTCTATTCTATATAGTACTGTTCTGTTCTTTTTCTATTCTATTCTATTCTATATTCTGTTCTGTTGTATTCTGTTCTGTTGTATTCTATTCTATTCTATTCTATTCTATTCTATTCGAACAATTATTCAGTGGAACAACTTGTCTCCAGAAGTTGTAAATGCTCCAACACTTGACGTTTTTAAGAAGAGATTGGATAACCATTTGTCTGAAATGGTATAAGGTTTCCTGCCCTAAGCAGGAGGTTGGACTAGAGGACCTCCAAGGTCCCTTCCAACTCTTCTATTCTATTCTATTCTATTCTATTCTATTCTATTCTATTCTATTCTATCTATTCTATTCTATTCTATTCTATTCTATTCTATTCCATTCCATTCCATTCCATTCCATTCCAGTTTTTGCAGTGCCATTGTAACTTCAAACTTTCTCTAAACGAATGGTTGTAAATTGAGGACTTCCTGTACTGTGCTTTTATCATTTTTATTATGAATGCCATTAACTGCTTCTCTTTGCAAGGGAGGAATTGCCTTAGCTGACCCTCCGTTTCTGCTGAGTCATTCAGAAGCAGCAATTCTCTTTCATTCTCCCTGCAAAGGCCACTTGAGGCTCACCAATGTTGTAGAACTGTTTTGATAACCTGATTCTCTTTTGCGGTCACTGCGCAGAAGCATTCAGCCGAAGGGAACACCGTGTTTGTATTCAACGAAAAAAGGGGAGCCGAGGAACACGTGGACACTCGTCTTCAGTGGCAGCTAAACCTCCTTACCCACATAGAAAACGTGCAGAATGAAGTCACGAGTAGAATGGACCTGATTGAGAAGGAAGTCGATGGTAACTATTTTAAGGCTGAGCTTAATGCTGACATTGTCTTTCCCAAACTCTTTTATTTGGGTAGCATAACAAGTATAAAATGTGCCGGACAAAATAAATTTGGGGTTTTTAGCTCGAGACCCAAAGACGCAGATGTGCCCGAAGGGTGGTGTTTGGTGTTTGCTAAATTCCCTATCCCACCTGGCTTTTACATTTGGAAAAGTCTAGCTGTAAAATTCCTCATTTGATTGTTATCTCATCTTTATTGTTTTTCATATGTAACTCAAGGTGGCGAAAATATCCAACACACTTTCATTTTCCTTTTTTGCCCCAAAACAACAGTCTTGTGAGGTGGTTTGGGCTTTGAGAAAGTGACTAGCAAGTCACCCAGCAGCTTTCATGGTTTAGGCGGGACTAGAACTTGCAGTCTCCTGGTGATTGGCCGAAGTCCCTTAGCTGACTTTCATGCCTGAGAAGGAACTAGAACTCACTGTCTCCTAGTGATTGGCCCAAGGTCACTCAGCCAGCTTTCATGCTTGAGGAGGGACTAGAACTCACTGCCTCCTGGTGATTGGCCCAAGGTCCTTGAGTAGGCTTTCATGCCTGAGGAGGAACTAGAACTCACTGTCTCCTGGTGATTGGCCCAAGGTCACTCAACCAGCTTTCATGCTTGAGGAAGGACTAGAACTCACTGCCTCCTGGTGATTGGCCCAAGGTCCTTGAGTAGGCTTTCATGCCTGAGGAGGAACTAGAACTCACTGTCTCCTGGTGATTGGCCCAAGGTCACTCAACCAGCTTTCATGCTTGAGGAGGGACTAGAACTCACTGTCTCCTGGTGATTGGCCCAAGGTTACCCAGCCAGTTTTCGCACCTGGAGAGGAACTAGAACTCACTGACTCCTGTTGAGTGGCCCAAGTTCGTCCAGCTGATTTTCATACTCATAGTTTCCTGGTTTTTAAACCAGCACCTTCACCACTACACCAAACTGTCATACCAAAGTGGTTGATGCTGGAAAGGCACAAAGAAAAGCACTCGAATTGCCTTCGTTCCTAGGAACGTCTCTAGAGCCCAGAAGTGTCCTCTTGAGGAACACTGGTATAAGGTGGTTAAAATCTTCTTATTGGTCTGTAAAAAAGGTGAGGCCACATAGCTACGATCCTCTCTGTGTGTTTCAAACACAGAATTCCAGATAGTCCTCGACTTAAAACCATCCAGGGTAGCAACAGCACTGAAAAAAGTAACTTTGCAACCAGTCCTCACTATTACAACGGTTGCAGCATCCCCTACAGTCGCATGATCAAAATTTGGAGTCTTGGCAACCATATATTTCTAAAGGTTGTTGCGTCTCGGGGCTCTTGGAATCACCGAATAATCTTTCCGGCTGGCTTCCCACAATTACAGGGCGTCCTCAAATTAGGACCACAAAGGAGCCCAAAATTTCTGTTGTTAAGTGAGGCATTTATTAAGTGAAGTTTGCTCTGTTTTGTGAACTTTCTTGTCACTGGATTGAAAAAACACTAGAGTGTGCAGAAATGGACAGATTGACATTAAAAATTAAACAAAAAGAAGAGACGGAATATTATCAAACATGGAATCTATTTTATCAATGGTTGGGGAAAAGGGGTGGAGATATGTATTGTTAAGCAAACTAAATACCCAGACAACACGATGTTCATTAAGCACTACCCTGTTTCCCCCAAAATAAGACCTCCCCTGATAATAAGACCAATCGGGCTTTTGAGCGCATGGCAATAAGGCCAAGCACTTATTTCAGGGTTCAAAAAAATATAAGACAGGGTCTTATTTTCCGGGAAACACAGTAATAAATGTAATTAATAATAATAATAATAATAAAAGAAATTGGACATGACTCACTTAACTGCCTTGCTTAACGAAAGAAATTCTGGCCTCAATTGCAGTCATAAGTCAAGGACTATACCCTGTCTCGATGATTCTAAGTCAGGGGTGTCAAACTCGATTTCATTGAGGGCCGCATCAAGGTTGTTTTTGACCTTGGAGCGGCCGGGGGGGGGGGCATGGCCAGGGTGGGTGTAGGCAGCTCGACCAAGTGCTAAGGCAGGACTTCCCTCAGAGCCTCCCTCTCATCTTCCTTCCTTCCTTCCTTCCTTCCTTCCTTCCTTCCTTCCTTCCTCCCTCCCTCTTCATTCTCCTTTCTTCTTCCTTCCCCTCTTTTCTTATTTTTCCTTCCTTGCTCTCTTCCCATCTTTTTCTTTGTCTTTCTTGCTCTTTCTTCTTTCCCTTTCTCCTTTCCTGTCCTTTCTTGCATGCTCAAAAGCAAAAGGGGAAACATTTCTTCTTTTGTTTTTAGTTTGTTTTGATAGCCCTCTGCCAATGAAAATGAAGGGTGGGGGGTGGGGCTGCATGCACGCGGTCCTCCCAAGCTCCATTTTTGGGGGCAGAGGCACCGTGGACCTGTCCCACGGACCGGATCTAGGCAATCCCACGAGATGGATCCGGCCCGCGGGCCTTGCGTTTGACACCCCTAGTTCTAAGTCCTAGAGTAGATCAAGAGATCACCGTGCATAATAGGCTTTTCATATCTTTTTTCTTTTTGCCCCCCCCCCCCCCCCGTACAGTTTTAGAAAGCTGGCTTGATTTCACCGGAGAATTGGAGCCCCCCGACCCCCTCGCCCGTCTGCCTCAGCTCAAGCGCCGCATTAAACAGCTCATCTCCGACATGAGTAAAGTCCAACAAATTGCCACCCTCTGCTCTGTATGACAAAAGGAAAGACGAAGGAATGCACACAGGCAGCCGGGGCTCCGACGATGGGTTTTCTTCCGTTTGACAAGACTCACAAAAGGGTACTTTTTAAAAAAAAAACGAAAAAACTGAAGCCTGAACGCTGTTCCTTGTTCTCTGCCAATTCTCTCATTAGGCTGAAAACGGCGCATGATATGATAGGGTATAAAGGGAGAAACCTCCCTCATCAAGGAAAGATTCGTACCGGTTTGATCTGAAAAAGCAGGGAAATAAAAGAAGGTTGTGTCTTTTTTTCCCCCACCTCTGAGGGTTCGGAAACCTCAACCCAGGCATGTTTTCCTACCTTTTCACACGCCAATATCACGGAAGAAGCCCCACAAACTGTTCAAAGCGTGATCACAAAAATAAGAAGCCCAGCCAAAGCAATCTGCATTGGAAAAGAAGGAACAAATTTTACATGGTTGAGTCTGGACAGTAGGAGGAGATTTGGTCCCAGTTGGTCACTTGAAAGTTGAACAAATGCCTGTTTTCCATAGTACTGTAGAGATCCAGGAAAATGAAAAGAAAAAAAAAAAATTAAAATTCTAGCTTTCCTTTTCAGGAGAAATTGTTTTTTTTTAAATGGTAGCCTCTCTATGAATATTTTTTTAAGCCAAGCCTTCCTTGCATATTGAATCTTATGCTCCGTTTTTAGAAACCAAACCTGGGAAAGTCATAGTCAGAAGTGCCAAAAAAAAAATGTTTTAACAAACAACAACATTGAAACGGGAGTGTCAGTTTGTCCTCCATATTGCCAGCATCAACCAGGATTGCATCAAATCCATATTTGGGCAAGCTACAATTAAAAGTATTGAGGGATGTTGTGTCTATAATGGCTGGGTCTGAGCTGCAATACCCACTTTCCTCAGCTGGCTTGAGGAATCAAAAGAACATCCAAAACGCCAGGGATTGGCTGTGAAATGGGTCTACTCCCTACCTTTTTACTCTCTGTAACATGAAATGAAAGGAAATAATATGAAAGTTGAAAGTTGGTTTTTATTCCAGGGAGATAAACCTATGTGCGCCAAAAATCTCAAAAATAATTGATCAATTTGCAAAACATGGCATGGTCTGTATAATCTCTCGGCGAATCCCAAATATAAGTTAGGAGCTCCCCTTCTCGAAGGGGTACAATGCAAAATACATTTCCTGTTAAAGGCATTCGCTTATGATTTGGCAAATCATTAACGAAACCAAAGTCCATTTAGTTAGCTGGGTTTTTAAATAAAATTCTGGGCCAAGCTCAGTTACTTTTAGTTTTATCTGCATTATCGCTGCACCCAGTGCTCTAGTATGCCTCTTGAGGTATGCCCATATGTCTTTGTGTGCGTGCGGATGTGTGTATGCATATACACAGATGTGAATGGGTGTGCTCATACACACGTTGCATTCTAGAGACATATTTATATTGACAAGTCTAGTTTTTCTTACAATAAAAAAGAACCTTGGTGACAAAATATTTAAAATGTTACCTTTTAACAAGCTGTTTCTTAAAAAGGGGAGATGGAGAGAGAGAGAGAGAGGAAGAGAGATTTAAAAAAACAATCTATGTACAGAAATTTGTAAAAAATAAATAAATAAATACTTTTTTAAAAAAAATACTAACTCTTCAAGAGAGGCTGCATTATTGAGGGTAGCAAGAGAATATCAAGCTTAAAGCCTCCCAGACTGTTTCAGTGCTGGCAATATGTATGAAAGTGTGAGAACTACATGAAGGACAATAAACTTGAACCTCGACGGGATAGAGTACAAGCCACTGTACATTAAAATGTATTTAAATTTGCAAATACACTGTCTATATGTAAGGTACTGTATGTAAAGCTGTTTATTAAACTATTCTGCATACCGCATCATCTTTCTGTCTCGTCAGTTTGCTTTTCAGAGGGTTGAATAAATCCTGAGCATTTCAAGGCGGGCTTTCGGCATGTGCTGCCACTGGGGGCCTTGAAGACCACCCTCTGGGGTTTTGGCGGGTGTTGTGGCCCGCCGGCAGCCAGCGGAGCTGACAGTGAGGAGGTTTGGGAGGAACTTGGGCCAGTCCTGGGGACTGGGAAAAGCTCAGACAAGGGCTCTGCGTCGGAGGCAGAGAGGGAGCTAAACAGCAGTGAGGCAGAGGAACAGCTGGAGCCCGTTCCCAGTGTGCACATGTGCAGAGCTGCCAGAAGACAAGAACAACTAGGGAAGCAGGTCGACTCGGGAGTAAAGCCACACCTTGGAGGTGATTGGCCCCTCCCATTGGAAACAAAAGAGGAGCGAATGGGGAGGGGGCTTTTGCAGGAAACAATTCGTTCATTCCATGACTCAGAGACTCTGTGCCAAGTTTTGCCTTGTACTGCAGTTGGAAACAAGTTACGTGGCAGCTTGCCAAACGAGATAAGGTGTGTTGAGAAATATTCCTTTGAAAAACTGTTTGGACAAACCTTGGCTGACTGTGAATGAATGTAATTCACAGTCGTGTAAATAAAAGAGGTTGTGCCAGGACCTAATTCCTGCCTCCTGCTTGTTAAGGGAGCCTATGTTCTGCCCCAGCTACGGACCCAAAGAACGCAGCACACACAAAGTCCGTACAACCCTTAGTTTACTAATTAAAGACTACTAATGAGCTTTCTTAGTAGTTGTACAAACGCAAGTACAGTTTAAATCAGTCTTTTCTGAACAAGGGCTGTTAATTTAACTTCATTAACAGCCGACAAGAATCCAAAGAATAATAACTCAATTCTGAGGCACAGTATTTCAGATAACCGTAATCTTACTGTGGTTGGCAGAATGCCCAGAAGCAATCTGCAGGAAAACTGACAGGAGAAACAAGAGCCGAATCAAACGTTTCTGGAATCAAGACTCGAAGGAATATGAACGAAGTTGTTTCCTGCAAATTGCATCAGTTGTCATCCTTCCTTAAATAGGTTAAGGGAGTGGCCAATTAGCCCAAGCCTTACTCTCGAGGAGATCTCCTGAGGAGCCACTCCTGCCTTTTAACAGCTCTACATGCTCGTGCATCGAGAAGAGGCTCCTCTTCTTCCTCTTCACTTATGGAAGCTTCTGGAGGTTCTGAAGGCCCTGGCTGAATCCCCGCCTCTGGCACCACATCTTCACCAGCCTCCTCATTGTCCTACTCAAGTGCCAGCTGTACAGGCTGCTGGCACAGCACCACACCAGCCTCCTCGCTGTTGGAATCAGCTACTAACTGCACAGGCCACTGACGGGCCACAAAAGCCTAGGTCAGAACAGTGGGAAGCAAGAATACACCACAGTAATTAGGTACTAGGATTAAATGAAGTCCTCAGTTTGTGACTATAATGTAAGTTTGCCCATTACTGTTCCAAAATGGGTCCATTGTTTGACCGACCCAATTTTACAGCATTTTTTTTTCAGTTTTAACATTTATAAAATATTGTAAAATGACAAAATACAAAAGTAAATAAAAAAGCAGTGGGAGGAAGAAGGGGGGAAGAGAAATAAGGAAGAATAAGAAAAAAAAAAGAAAAAAGCATTGACTTCCAACTCTCTCTGTTGCAGTAAAATAAGGCGTTAACATCAAATCACAACTTTTGTGTTTTTTCATAATAGTATGAACAAGACATTTCTGTAAAGATCTATCAATCTACTAGGTTAAAAACCCAAAATTAAACTTTCATTCTTTTCCACTTCAAGCACAAAGTTCAGAAGCGGTCTCCATGTGCAAACAAAAATACTTATATTCTTTGTCTTTAATCAAAAGTCAATTTTGCCATTTCAGCCAACTCCCATCAAATTCCAATTTTACAGCATTTTTTTTTTTTTTTTTTGGGTGGTCAAGGCGGCCACATCAAGTCATTGGGTTGTCAATCTGAAGCAATTTCCAGCTTTTTGCAAAATCATTATAAAACATGGTGACGTGATTGCAGGGTGCTTGCAAATGGCCATAAATGCGGTTATGTCGCTGAGCACCCAAAGTAGTCACATGACAGCGAGAGAGGTGCCTGACCACCAGAAAATCAGATCCGGGTTGTAAATCCCGTTATTTATTTATTTGTAAAATTTATTGACCGCCCATCTTACCTCAAGGTAACTGGCCGGCTTACAATGGGTAGGTCATAATTCAAGGAGTACCTGTAACCCATACCTAGAGCACAGTTCTAGGCTGCATAAACAGAGGGATCACGTGAAGTGTTAATACCACTTGATAATGCCTTGTTAAGGCCACACTTGGAATACTGCATCCAGTTTTGATTGCCATGATGTAAAAAAGATGTGGAGACTCTAGAAAGAGTGCAGAGAAGAGCAACAAAGAGGATTAGGGGACTGGAGGCTAAAACATATGAAGAACGGTTGCAGGAACTGGGTATGTCTAGTTTAATGAAAAGAAGGACTAGGGGAGACATGATAGCAATGTTCCAATATCCCAGGGATTCCCACAAAGAAGAGGGAGTCAAGCTATTCTCCAAAGCACCTGATGGCAGGAGAAGAAGCAATGGATGGAAACTAATCAAGGAGAGAAGCAACTTAGAACTAAGGAGAAATTTCCTGACAGTTAGAACAATTAATCAGTGGAAGAACTTGCCTCCAGAAGTTGTGGATGCTCCAACACTGGAAGTTTTAAAGAAGATGTTGGATAACCATTTGTCTGAAGTGGTGTAGGGTTTCCTTCCTAAGCAGGGGGTTGGACTAGAAGACCTCCAAGGTCCCTTCCAACTCTGTTATTCTATTCTATTCTAACTCGTAATAGCTATGGTTCATAGGCACACACATACCTGATCAAATTTGCACACACACAAAATAATTCCATTTCTCTGCGTGCATTGCATTAGGGTAAAGAGCTGCCCCAAAACAAATGTAATACAGAGAAACTCGACTTACTAGCTTTACCTGCACCTTCAGTGTGGTTGTTGGACTTCAGAAGATCAAGACTAGGATCTTTAAAAAAACAAGCATCATCCTCTCATTCAGATGATCATAGATGCTTTGGTTTAAAGGGAGGTTCCCATGGTAGGCTAGACACTAGTTTTTTCCTAATACTGAGCAAAATTTAACTAAAGGTTATGATCTACTGTTACCATTTAGCTGTCCAGTGTCGTCATTTACAGGAGGCCTTGCTTACCATCAAACATGCCTTGGTCATCTCCCATCTAGATTACTGCAATGGGCTCTACATGGGGCTGCTCTCAAAGACCTGGTAACTTCAACTGATCTAGAATGTGCTAGGTGCACAGTAATGGGGCCCCCTAGGTTTGTCCATGTAATACCTCTTGCGCAGGATTCGGACTGCATTGGGCAATCCGGTAGCGATCGTCGCAGTTGGTTCGGCGATCTGATAGTGATGGCAGAGCAAAGCTCCGCCCATCCACCCAGGTCTCGTTACTTCCTGGTTTTAACCAGGAAGTAATGTGTTTTTTACCTTCTGCGCATGTGCAGAAGGTTTTGCTCATGCACAGAAGGTCTGTGCGTGCACTTCCGAACCGGTAAGGAAGGTAAGTAGATTTCACCCCTGTGTCAAACTCGAGGCCCGTGGGCCGCATCTGGCCTGTGTGTTGAGGGTAAAACTGCCCTCTGCAAAGCGGTGCAACCGAGACAGACAGCGAATAGATACGTTGCTAAGCAAAACACACAGATACTCACAGACTCTGAACGTTTAAAGAAAAATAAACAGTCTTTACTTGTAGTAAAAACAAACTTGGCTTCTCAAAACAAAGATAACACTTCTTCAAATAATCATGGTTCAACACAAAAACAGTTTGCTTACAATTCCAGTTCTCTTCAGTAACACAGACACAGTTCCTTTCAGCAGTTCAACCTTTTAATAGCAGGAGCAGAAGTGAATGAACTTCCTGCCTTCTTTTGTGTCTGCTTAGCACAGCCAATTAGTCATCTTGTAGCAGTTAAAGTTACAGAACATAGTTTTCTATATATTACCTACCCAACCGTAGGATAAGCATCCAACACTGTGCTTAGATCTGGCCCATGAAGCCACCCTGGAAACAGTGAAGGACCGGCCTATAGTGCCTCTGCCAGCGAAAACGGAATTAACAAGGGCTGCATGCAGCCCTCCCAGGATCCGTTTTCAGCTTCAACAACCTCCTGCAGCCCTCTGTTAGTGAAAACGGGGCCTGGGAGGGCCACACACAGCCTTCCCAGGCTCCATTTTCACTGGCAGAGAGCTGCAGGACATCAAGCTGGCCATACCCACCCTGGCCACACCCACTTCAGCCACACCCACTCGTCCCCCCAAGGTCAAACACAACCCTGATGCAGCCCTGAAATCAAGTTTGACACCCCTGAATTAAACTGATTTATTGCCAGTTATGTCTATGCACAGGAATCTTCTCAACCAATAGTCAGTCAGAACCTGTTTGGGTCCATGGAATTCAAGGGAGATTGACTTGGATCCCTTGTGATTATGTAGGGATTCTAGATTAATCCCTTGTTTAACTCCGCCCCCCCCAGGTTCTTTCACTCTTCCTATATAGGTAAATATGCATTTCTTGGTCTTATATGTACAGGTAGTCCTTCAATTTACACCATTTATTTAGTAATTGTTCAAAGTTAGAATAACACTGGAAAAAAAGTGACTTAGGATCATTTTTCACACTTAACGACCACTGCAGCTTTATGGTCACTTAATTCAAATTTATACTTCAACAACTGTCATGTATTTTTGACGGTTACAGTGTCCCACAGTCATGTCATCCCCTTTTGTAACCTTGAGACGAGCAAAGTCAAATGGGGAAGCCAGCCTCACTTAACAACTGGGTTACTAACTTATCAACTGCACCGATTCATTTAACAACGGTGGCAAGAAAAGTCACGAAATGGTGCAAAACAGCTGCAGCAATTCACTTAACAACTGGGGCAAACGAAAGGTCGTAAAATGGGGCGAAACCTGCTTCACAACGACCTCGCTTAGCTGTGGAAATGTTGGACCCCGTTGGGGCTGTAAATCGAGGACTATCTCACCTGTCATTACATAAACGGAAAAGAGCAACGGAAAAAGAAAAAGCAAAGACATTTAAATGGGGCTAATTGCGTAACCCAACTCAACGGCTCTTGAAACGGCCTGCGTCACTAACCTCCTTGAGAGCCCAGTCTTCCATTTCATAAGTGAAAAGTTATTTGAGGGGCAGCAGCTATAAAATACTGGCTTGAGAACTTCCCCGAGTGTAGGTTGGAGGCCTTTCCCTCACGAGGGAGACAATCCTCCTGCATCCCAAAATGAGGTCCTTGCTGTTCATCGCCCTTCTATGCTTTGCCGATAGAGCACTCGCCAGCATCTTTGGTAAGTAAATACCTTTGTTTGCAGAACGCGGTGGCTCAATGGCTAAGACGCTGAGTTTGTTGATCGAAAGATCGGCAGTTCAGCGGTTCGAATCCCGAGCACCATGTAACAGGGTGAGCTCCCGTTACTTGTCCCAGCTTCTGCCAACCTTGCAGTTCAAAGCATGTAAAAAATGCAAGTAGAAAAATAGGGACCACCTTTCGTGGGAAGGCAACAGCGTTCTGTGCGCCTTTGGCCTTTAGTCATGCCAGCCACATGACCACAGAGACGTCTTCGGACAGCACTGGCTCTTTGGCTTTGAAACAGAGATGAGCACCGCCCCCTAGAGTCGCGAACTACTAGCACATATCTGCGAGGGGAACCTTTACCGTTTACCTTTACCTTTAGAATAAAACTAATAGAAGCCTAGAATCGGAAGGGACCATAGTTATCATCAGGTCCAGCATCTTGGTAAGTGTGTCTTGTGATTAAGACCCAAGGAGCCAATTAATTGGTCGCGTTGGTTGATGATCACCTTTAAAGCGCTCCATGGCTTAGGACCTGGTTATTTATGGGACCGCCTGCTACCACCAATAGCCTCCCACCAGCCAGTACGCTCCCATAGCGAGGGGCTCCTCCGGGTGCCGTCGGCCAAACAATGTCGGCTGTCGGCCCCTAGGGGGAGAGCCTTCTCTGTGGGGGCACCTACAATCTGGAACGAGCTCCCCCCAGAGATGCGTAGGATCCCGGACCTGTGCACCTTCCGCCGCGTGCTTAAGACTTTTCTATTTTATCAAGCTGGCCTGGCCTAAATCTTCCCCCTTTTTAAATGTGGAAATTTTAAATGTGGAAATTTTAAATTTTAAATTTGTCTTATTTATAGGGTTATGGGTAAGGCGTTTTAAATTGGGGAGCCATTTTGGATTTAATTCTGTTTTAAACGTATTTTAATGTTTATATTGTATGTTTTTAATTTTGACTGTTCACCGCCCCGAGTCCTTTGGGAGAGGGGGCGGTATAAAAATCTAATAAATAAATAAATAAATAAATAAATAAATAAATAAATAAATATAAGAATATCACACTCCCCACCTGAAAATTTCATTGAGGTTCTATTCTGTTGGGGGGGGGGGGGGGGGGAGGAAAGTACCAATTATCTTTGTCCAACTGAATGAGAGCTGGCTTAACTGAAGTCCAACTGAATGAGAGCCCTGGTGGCGCAGCAGACTAAAGCACTGTTATTAACATCAGCTGTCTGCAATTACTGTAAGTTCAAATCTCACCAGGCTCAAGGTTGACTCAGCCTTCCATCCTTTCTAAGGTAGGTAAAATGAGGACCCAGATTGTGGGGGCAATAAGGTGTATAAATATATACAAAAGTATGAAGGCTATTGCTTAACGCATTGTAAGCCACCCTGAGTCTCCGGAGAAGGGCGGCATATAAATCAAATTATATATCTTTCATAAAAGTTATTGCATTACATTCTTGATTAAATTATCTTTCCATTGATATATAATTTTATGGTACTACACACAAAAAAAGTGGTGTTATTAGCTAGTTTTAGAAAATACACTTTTCCCAAAAGGTTTCCACAATTTTGGCCAATACTGTATATCCCCCCCTGGAGATTTGCACTGGTTCCACAGTTTTGACTGTTCTCAAACTGCTACAGCTCTGCTTGTCCTTTTGAGCCTTGGGATAGGATGATGGTTGAGCAGGGGTGGGTTCTACTTACCTTTACTACCTGTTCGCAACGGGGCCGCATGCATAGAAGCTTCCTGATGACGTCAGGGTCGGTGGGCGGAGCTTCCCGCCGGTTTTACTACCGGTTCTTGCGAACTGGTCTGAACCAGAGGCAACCCACCACTGTGGTTGAGCCCTTTTCACTTAAAATTTTGACTGGTTGTTGAGCTTGGTTGTTTTCTTCCAGATCTTTCATTACCCAACTAGGTAACTTCATCAGTGCTCAAAAGCACTGGTGCAGGGTTTTCTCTCTGTTTAGAGTTTTTACTTTTTATTCTGTTTAGTCTTCTTAGTTCTGTAGTCTGTTCAATGGTTTTCTTTTTCTTGAAATGTTTTGTTTTCTTTTAACTTTTTATTTGTGGACTTTCCAGAGTCATTGTAGACTCAAGAATCCCTCCCTCCCTCCATCCATCCACTCACCCATCCCAGAGGTTGGAACAAGAGAGATTTTGGCTCTTGCTTCTCCTCTTTTGACATTTGATATGTGTTATATTCTTACAGTTCCGAATACAGAAGTCTGCCCAGAAGGGAAAGTTTAGTTGACAGAAAAAAAATTAAAAAGAGATACAAGATTACATGAGAGAGAGATAAAAGACTGATAAATAATAATAATAATAATAATAATAATAATAATAATTATTATTATTATTATTATTATTATTATTATTATTATTATTTTATTTCTATACCGCCCTTCTCCCGAAGGACTCAGGGCGGTGTACAGCTAATTTAAAAACACAGGACACAACAATGATTAAAAATTAAAATAATTAAATAAATTTGGCCGATTTAAAATCCCAAAAATTAAAATACCCCAATTTAAAATTATTATATTGATAGCCCTGCCTGGCGGAACAACAGGGTCTTCAATTCAATCAATAAACGATGGAATTTTAGAAAGACAAAGAGATGATGGATAATGAGAAAATATATTAATAAAATGGGGAACCCTCAAAACCCCAATAAGTTTTAGGTTAGTAGATGGTAATTTAAGACTGGACAATTTAACTGAAGTACTAATATTAACAGTGTGTTAAAAGTTATTGTGAATTTAAAATATTAAGGATTAGAAATGGTGGGGACTTTGAGATACACTCCTGGGATGGATTGAATATTGTTAATAATTGGTGTTATTTGTAATCCTATACATTTGGAATATTGATGTTATGGTGGAATAATGACTGATTTTTAAAATATTGAATGATAACGAATATAAATTAAGGGATAATAAACACAGGGTGTGAAGAAATGTTACTTATGCTTAAATGAATTAAAGGGAAAATGTAAAAGGAATATGAAATGAGACTAGTATTGTTTGAACTTGGATGATTACAATTCTACATACTATTTGTATTATTATTGTTAACGTTGTATAAAAAAGACCCTGACCCAACCAATATATACTATATATATATATAGAGAGAGAGAGAGAGAACAGTTCTCCTGAAAACGCGTTTTCATTTGTGTGTCTTTCTTCAGTCCTTGGGATAAAAAGTTAAAAAAGAGCAAAGAGAGGTTAGGATACGAAGAAGGGATTTGCTACCATAACTTTGCCTTCTTCTGAATGTAGAGTATGAGGCTGAAACCCAGCCTCTTCGTCCATGTGAACTTCAGAGGGAGAAGGCCTTTCGTGATGGAGAAGACTACATCCCTCAATGCTCAGAAGATGGACAGTTTAGGTAATGTTGGCCCAATTTCCAATTTCTTGGAAGAATGGTTAACCGCTCGGGAGAAAGATGGGGATTTTGGTTCAGCAAATCTGAAGTGTCATAGTTTGCCCATCATCATGGCCTCCTAAGAGAAATCAGATATAACCAGGGCTAACTTATGTGATGTTGATCCATTAAACCAGGAGTCTCCAATCTTGGCAACTTTAAAACTTGTAGACTTCAACTTCTGGAATTCCTCAGCCAGCCATGCTGGCTGGGGAATTCTGCAAGTTGAAGTCCATAAGCAGAGGTGGGTTTCAGCAGGTTCTGACCAGTTCTGGAGAACCAGTAGCAGAAATTTTGAGTAGTTCAGAGAACCGGTAAATACCACCTCTGACTGGTCCTGCCCCCATCTATTCTCTGCATCCCGAGTCCCAACTGATTGGGAGGAAATGCGGATTTTGCAGTAACCTTCCCCTGGAGTGGGGAGGGAATGGAGATTTTATAGTATCCTTCCCCTGCCACGCCCACCAAACCACACCCACTAAGCCATGCCACGCCCAACCACACCCACAGAACCGGTAGTAAAAAAAATTTGAAACCCACCACTGTCCATAAGTCTTAAAGTAGCCAAGTTTGGAGACCCCTGCATTAAACTGCTACCTGAGATACTTCTGATCTGGAAAATGCCCATAAACAAACAAGTCAAGAATTCTGGGAGTTGGTGCACACATTTCAAAGCTGTCGAGGTTGAGAAACACTTGATTTAATTTTTATGGAAGCTCAAAAAGGCATTGGCTCACTTCCTTACTTTCGTTGGCCCACAGGATTAAAGCAATAGCAAATGAGTGAATGTTTGGAAAAATAACGGATGCTTCTTACATACAAAGGTTTGTAAATCTTAATACATGTATAAAAAAGCCTAATAATGTTGGAAATCACTATTTTGTCCACCAGGAACGTACAGTGCAATAAAAATGGGATTTCCTGCTGGTGTGTAGATGAAAAGGGCGTTGAGGTCACAGGGACTAAGCAGTCTGGATCATCTCTGGCTTGTAAGTTCCTCCTTGTTGTGAACTTTTATTTCAAAACACAAAAAATTGTCATCTGCATTTGTGTTTGTGTATGAGAGAGAGAGAGACCACCTCATAGATATATTTGTTTCCTGCATTCAAGATATATTTTGAGATGTTAAAAAGAATAATAGTTGATGTATGCACAAACATTTTTGTTCTTAGTTGCGAAGTCCTGTCTGAATTGCGACCCCATGGACAACATTCCTCCAGGCCTTCCTGTCCTCTACTGTCCTCTGGAGTCCATTTAAGCTCATGCTGACTGCTTCAGTGACTCCATCCAGCCACCTCCTTCTCTGCCGTCCCCTTCTTCTTTCGCCCTCAGTCTTTCCCAGCATGAGGCTCTTCTCCAGTGAGTCCTTCCTTCTCATTAGGTGGCCAAAGTATTTGAGTTTCATCTTCAGGATCTGGCCTTCTAAAGAGCAGTCAGGGTTGATCTCCTCTAGGACTGACCGGTTGGATCGCCTTGCAGTCCAAGGGACTCGTGGGAGTCTTCTCCAGCACCAGAGTTCAAAGGCCTCAATTCTTTCGCAATCAGCCTTTCTTATGGTCCAACTTTCACAGCCATACATTGCAACTGGGAAAACCATAGCCTTAACTATACACACTTTTGTTGGCAGGGTGATGTCTCCGCATTTTAGAATGCTGTTTTTTGTTTTTTTTTATTGAAAAGTTTTATAGGAAATACAAACATTTTCTCCCCTTTTTAGAATGCTGTTGAGTGCTTAAAACATACTTTTTTCTGCCTGAATCCCTTGAAATCATGAAATTTAAACTTCCATAATTCTGATTATGGAAACTGAACAACATACACACACAAAAAACCTGAGTCAAGAAAGTCTGATTTGAAGCCTGAAGTGGCCACCAGAGAGCTAAGCTTCCCAGATTTTATGCTTATATTATGTATGAAATCCCACCCTTTGACCAACATCCTTGATTAGGTGCAATCAACCCAGAACCACCAGCAACCACCACTGAATAATATCAAGCAGAAACTTTATTGTTATTCACCTATGTTACAAGAATCTTACTTGATGGACTACATTTCCATCAGTGATTCTGAGGGATCAGGTCATAAAATCAGGAATGATTCACTTATCAACCTCCTTGCCTAGCAATGGAAATTCTGGTCCCAATTGCAGTCGTAAGTCAAAGTCTACCTGTAAATGCTTCTTCTAACTCCAAGGGACTTAGCATTTGCTATGGTCTTTAAGAAACTATCTCCCTCAGAAAGTGAAAATGCTTTGCAGATGTTCGGAGAACACCTTGCTCTGACCTTACACCCTTTTTACAAGGAGTTGTATTTACTGAACTTTGGAGATTATCAGCATCAGGTGAATTTGGCCATGACATAACAAAGCTGAAAATTGTACTTGTCAGACCTGCTACCACTTAAACCTCTCAACAGAAACGATCCTCGGCTCCATTTGTTGAGAAAGACATAGTTTTATTAGAAGTTAAATTATTGCAGTAGTGCATAGCCAGAACTGAGAATCGTGGGCCAAAATTCCCAAGTTCAACTTTTCCCTCCCTTAACTGCCTCCCATCGCTGACCTTCCCATGATCAATCAGGTTCAAGTAAGATATTTTCAGAATGGTCACTTGGTATGCAGCTGCTTTCTTCTCCCAGCCGGGTGACTTTGAAGCAGCATCTCAGGGAGATACAGAAGTTACTTTCCGTTACCCACAAATATCCCCCCTTCCCTCCCCCCTCCCCAGAGTTCATGGCAGACTCTCACTGCATGGTAGCGAAAGACAAACAAGACAGTGGTGGGTTCCAACTGGTGTTACTACCAGTTTTCTTTGTGCACGCACTTCGTGTGCAATCGCCGCGCTCATGTTCGCTTCCGCTCGCATGTGCGCCAAATTTGCGCTCCGAGCAAGCGCGTTAGGTATCTGCCCAGCTGAGGTGCGGCAATCCACTCTGCCGCACCTATCAGCTGGGCTAAACAAGAAGAAATAAAGGTAGGAATAACGTGGGGGCGGGCGGGAGGGCCCAGCTCCCAGACAAAGAGAACTGGTTCGGTGACGTCACATCGTCACCGCTACCGGCTTGGCGGACCGGGCCGAACCGGGAGGAACCCACTATTGAAGCAAGAGTGAGGTGGCAGCTGACAGTACTTTGTGTTTCTTCCTGCTGTAGGTTTGTCCTTCTGCCAGCTTCAAAAGCAGCGGATTCTGGTCAGCCGTTACATCAATAGCAGTGAAACTGCCTACATCCCAAAGTGTCTGGATTCGGGTGACTTTGACCCCGTACAGTGTGACTTGGCTCTGGAACAATGCTGGTGCGTGGACGGGGAAGGGATGGAGATTTACGGGACCAGACAGAAAGGGAAACCAAGGCAATGTAAGTCATTGGTCAGAACATAATTAAGCATTTAAACTAGATTAGTCACGAGATATTTCTTTCCTTTCCTAACCAAGCTCATCCCCCTAAGGGGAACATTCTTCCGACTTCAGTTCAAAAAAGTCTTGCCAACTGTTAAATTGAAAACAGCTTGGTTCTACCTCGAAACATTTTGCACAACCATTTCCAAAAAATGCGTTTACAAAAAATAATGGGAAGATAGTTTCTTAGATATTTTAAGAAAATGATCTCACTGTTGTGGCTCCAGGCCTCAGAGAAGTGGCCTTTGGCACAACAGAAGAAATGGAGAGAAAACCTTCTTTCCTTTGTTTTAAGGGAGCTGAAAAATTGAAGACATCTCTAAGCGAGTTCTGTAATTGACCGATCAAGAACGCAGGTTGCTTTCCTCCAATCAAAGCCTGAGAGGCACATTCGAAAGGGGGGATAATATTCAGAAGCTGTCTATTTTCACAACATGCTGAAACCAAGATTGCACGTGCAAAACATCATCAACCTAATTAGTTTTAACCAGGCTTCCCTTTTGCTGGCTTAGTACAATCTTCAAACCAAGTCGGTCGGCCGGTACGCTCCCATAGAGAGGGGCTCCTCCGGGTGCCGTCAGCCAAACAATGCCGACTGGCGGCCCCCAGGGGGAGAGCCTTCTCTGTGGGGGCACCTACTATCTGGAACGAGCTCCCCCCAGAGATACGGAGGATCCCGGATCTGCGCACCTTCCGCCGCGCCTTAAAGACCTTACTATTTCACCAGGCCGGCCTGGCCTAATTTTCCCCCTCTTTTATAAAAGATTTTTAAAATTTTAAATATTTTTTAGTATTTATATATTCAATTTTAAATTGGTTTTAAAAGTTTGGGGTTTTAAATTTGTCGGGGCCAAAATTATTTAATTTGATTTTATTCTATTTTTTAAATTTTGTATTGTATGTGTTTTTATTGTTTGGCTGTGCACCGCCCTGAGTCCTTCGGGAGTAGGGCGGTATAGAAATCTAATAAATAATAATAATAATAATAATAATTTCAGGGAATTCTTGCTTTGAAGTATTGCACAATGCAGAAAATTGGTTAAATGTTCTGCAAAAATAGTTGAAGAGCTGAAGAGCAAAATACAAAATACAGTTTTATTATTTCAAGTCCCAGTGTCTGTTTTTCCTTCCTTCCTTCCTTCCTTCCTTCCTTCCTTCCTTCCTTCCTTCCTTCCCTCATCTTCCCTTTCCTTCCTCCTTTCCTCCCTTATTCTCCTTCTCTTCCTCCCTCTTCCTTCCTTCCTTCCCTCATCTTCCTTCCTTTCCTCTTTCCTCCCTTATTCTCTTTCCCTTCCCTCCCTCTTCCTTCCTTCCCTCATCTTCCCTTCCTTCCTCCTTTCCTCTTATTTTCCTTCTCCCTCCTTCCTTCCTCCTCCTTCCTTCCTTCTTCCTTCCCTTCATCTTCCCTTCCTCCTTTCCTCCCTTATTCGCCTCTCTTCTCCTCCTCCCTTCCTTCTCTCTCATCTTCCTTCCCTTCCTCCTTTCCTCCCTTATTCTCCTTCTCCCTCCTTTCTTCCTTCCTTCCTTCCTTCCTTCCTTCCTTCCTTCCTTCCTTCCCATCATTATCTTTTTAACCTGTCAGTCATCCTTTCTCTTCTCCAAGTTATTTTATTTTATTTATTTATATTTTATTTTCTTTATTTAGTTTGTCAAACATGTACGAGATAAGAGGTCTAAGTATAAATATGGACATGAACACAGGAAATGAGTACAAATCAATGGGGACAGTAGGACAGAGTTAGAGAAGCAGAGGGAGAAATAGATGGGAAAAAATTGACCTGCTTGGTAAGGAGATGAGACTGAGTATGGGATGGGGGAAAATCTCTTCTGAAAGTTCTTTGAAGAAGTTGCGATAACTAGTATTCTTAAACAAAAAAGCCAGAATCAATGCCATTTATTTTTGCTTCTCAGGTCCCGGCCGGTGTGAGATTCGAGACCGCCGCATTCTGCATGGCATTGGGGAAAAGAGCCCTCCCCAGTGTTCAACGGATGGAGAATTCCTGCCTGTCCAATGCAAGTTTGTCAACACAACCGATAGGATGGTCTTTGATCTCATCTATCATTTCAACAGGTGGGAAAAACTTTTTGCAATGCTTAGTGCCTAGTCCTGCCATTGAGGAAGATAGGAAGACATTCATAGCCCTAGTAAAAGCACCATGGGTGGAGGTAATCTGGACTATCAATGGTGATACATTTGGATGGAGAGCTGAATATAGCAATAGCACTTATAGCACTTAGACTTGTATACCGCTTCACAGTGCTTTGCAGCCGTAAGTGGTTTACAGAGTCAGCATATCGCCCCCAACAATCTGGGTCCTCATTTTACCCACCTCGGAAGGATGGAAGGCTGAGTCAACCTTGAGCCGGTGAGATTCGATCTGCCAAACTGCTGGCAGCCGGTGATCAGCAGAAGTAGCCTGCAGTACTGCACTCTAACCATTGCGCCACTGCGGCTCACGAAACATACTGTAGTTTCAAGTCAAGTGAAATACCCTGATTCAAAGCTGATATTTTCCCCATATTTAATAGGAAAGGATAATGATCTAAGGCCCATATTATGACCCCTTCCACTTCCCAATCCCTCAAAAAATAAGTTGAAGACAATCTATGAGTAAAACAAAGAACCTACAGTTACAGGTTACTTTCTGAAGCATGAAAAGCTGTTTCTTGAAAGGATCATTCTCTGGGGTGTTCATGAGAATATAAACAATAATATGCTAATCATATATCAAAGGAGTGGTCATAATGTTCCTTGCTACATCATGGAACATCTCAAATCTATATTGAATTTTCTAACAGCTGGATTTCTCTTTCAGGTTCCCCAAAGCATTCTTAACGTTTAGTTCCTTCAGAAGTTTGTTCCCTGAAATCAACGGATACTGTTACTGTGCTGACAGCCTTGGGAGAGAACTAGAAGATACAGGTGAGTCTACCTGTCCTGCAGGAGTCTCCTAAAAGTGACAACTTAGCAGGTGAACCCCTTTTGCCTAGCAAAAGGTAAATCTGTCTTGGAACAAGAAGAGATCCAAGACCATCCAAGCCATGACCCTCTTCCAAGATGGGATGAAACAGGACAAGCGAAACTTAAATCTGAACAAAATGGAGGTGCTTTCCATCAGTAGGAAATTGGACTTGAGGATAGACAACCCATTTGGGTTGAGCTCCATCTTGATGTCATTGAATTTGTTGTGGTCCACCAGCAGCCTGCAGAGCTGGCAGCAGAGTTGGACAGTGAGAAGGTTGGGGAGGAACATGGGCCAGTCCTGGAGTCTGGGGAAGGCTTGGACGAGGGCTCTGCATCGGAGGCAGAGAGGGGGCCAGGGCAATCTGGTAGTTATGTGCTGCCTCCCGAGCCTCCGGAATCTGACATCAGTGAGGCAGAAGAACAGTGTGAGCCTGTTCCAGTGTGCGCATGAGCAGAACTGCCAGAAGGCAAGAACAATTAAGAAAAAAAAAAGTAAGGCTTGGACATAAGACATAAAAGAGGAGCAAACGGATGTGAGCCTTTGCAGGAAGCAATTAGTTCATATAATCAATTCAAGCTCTGAGAAGTCCGTTTGACTCTGTGCTCCGTTTAGCCTTGCAAAACTAATTGACAATTAGGTCTCTGGCAGTGTTTCAAGGGAGATAACGGTGGGTGCCTATCAACATTACCCTGAAAGTCTGTGTCATCTCGAGCAGACATCTGTCAGAATCTTCACAGACTGTTTGTGAATCATTACGGGCTGTGAATGACCATAATTCACAGCCGTCTCAATAAAAGAGTTTTTTTGGGACTAAAATTGTGATTTATGCTTTCTCAGGAAGCCTAGGTCAGGACAGAATTCTAGGTGTTGATTGTGCCAAGGAAAGCATTTTTTTTTTATTGAAAAGTTTTACAGAAAAAAAAAGAATTTTCTTCCCCCCATATATTCCCCCCACTCTTTCCCTCCCCTCATCCCACCCTCCCCCCCAGACTTCCCAGAGCAAAATACAAGGTATTTCATTTAACAATCATAAACTAGATTAATCTACTTATCCTCAGACTACTAACTCCCCCCCTGAAAACTTAACTCCACTATAGATAACATAATACTTCTAATACTTAACATTCATTCATAAGCTATTTGATATTTTCTTGTCTGATACTTATTTTGAATATAATCAATCCATCTTCTCCATTCCGATACGTATCTTTCTTGTGTATCCAAGGAAAGCATTTTTGTGAGCCAATACATTAATAGCAATAGCATTTAGACTTATATGCCACTTCATAGTGTTTTACAGCACTCTCTGAGTGGTTTACAGAGTCAGCCTGTTGCCTCCAACAACCTTGGTCCCCATTTTATCGACCTCGGAAAGATGGAAGGCTGAGTCAACCTTGAGCCGGTGATTCTATGCATCAGATGTCTCCAAATCTTCCAACCTTGCACTATCCAAAAGGTGCTTTTTCAAGAGGCCACTGGCCTTTCTGGCTTTTCTTTGAAGACATTTCACTTTTCACCCAAGAAGCTTCTTCAGCAGAGCTGAAGCGAAACAACTTCCAAGAAAAACCAAGGAAGTCCAGTTGCCTCTTGAAAAAGCACCTCTGGCACAACCATGAACTGGATGACTGAGAATCTCCATAGACAACTTCGCACTAATTCTTTGAGTTGTTCTATGCTCTGGACTGTGTCAGCTTTGATGGTGTCCAGCCACTATGTTTTTGGTGGCTCGATTTCCTTTTACCACTAACTCTTCCCAGCATAATTGCTTTCTCCATAGAATTCCTCTGCACGACATGGCCAAAATAAATGAGGCCCTGCTTTTTGACTTTTTCCTTCCAGTGACATAACTGGTGTGATCTCTTCTAGTACTTGCTTGTTAATCCCCTTTGCTGTCAGAAGACATAATTTGTATAAATGCATTTAATATAAGCACGGTCACATTTAATTTTTTAAAAGTTTAGATCTTCTATCCAGTTGATCTTTTAAGCCTGTGAGGATTTAAAATGGAATCTTCCCAACATACCGTATTTTTTGGAGTATAAGACGCTCCGGACTATAAGACGCACCTACCTTTTTGGGGGAGGAAAACAAGAAAAAAAAATCTGCCTCTGCCTCCCAGCAATTTGCCTCCTTGCAGCAAAGAATAAGAATAAGAATAATTTTATTTCTATACCGCCCTTCTCCCGAAGGACTCAGGGCGGTTTACAGCCTATTAAAAGCACAAGACAAACATCAATTAAAATAATTTAAAATTATTAAATAATTCGGCTCAATTTAAAACCCCAGAAATTTAAAACACCCAATTTAAAATTATTATGTTGATAGCCCGGCCTGGTGGAACAGCAGGGTCTTGAGTGCACAGCGAAATACCCGGAGGTCGGAGATCTTATGCACTTCCGGGGGCAGTTCATTCCACAGGGCTGGGGCTCCCACAGAGAAGGCCCTCCCCCTGGGTGTCGCCAGCCGACATAACTTGGCAGATGGCACCCTGAGGAGACCCTCTCTGTGGGAGCGAACTGGCCGGTGGGAGGCTATTGGTGGCAGAAGACGGTCTCGAAGGTACCCGGGTCCTATGCCATGGAGCGCTTTAAAGGTGGTGACCCACATCTTGAATCACACCCGGAAGACCACTGGGAGCCAGTGCAGCTCACGCAGGAGGGGTGTCATGTGGGCACAATGAGTTGCGCCCATAACCACCCGCGCGGCCGCATTCTGGACCAGTTGGAGCCTCCGAGTGCTCTTCAAGGGAATCCCCATGTAGAGAGCATTACAATAGTCCAGCCGGGAGGTGACAAGGGGGTGTGCGCAAGGCGTCCCGGTCCAGAAAGGGCTGCAACTGGCGAATCAGGCAAACCTGATAAAAGGTCCCCCTGGCCACGGCCGTCATATGCTCTTCAAAAGACAGCCGTGCATCCAGGAGGACACCCAGATTGCGAGCCCTCTCTGTGGGGGGCAAAGATTCACCCCCAATAGTCAGCGATGGCACCTGCTGACTATATCGGGACGCCGGAAGCCACAGCCACTCAGTCTTGGAAGGGTTGAGTCTGAGCCTGTTCCTCCTCATCCAGACCCGCACGGCCTCCAGGCAGTGAGACATCACATCAAGGGCATCGTTGGGGTGGTCTGGGGTGGAGACAACCCGTTTCAACTTCAGCTTCAGCACAGCCTGATTAGTACAAGCAGCTGATTGTCGGTTGGATTGGTGTCCCAAAGATCACCTGTTTCAGGCTGCAGGGATTGTCATAGCCTATTGCAGCCTCCGCGCGCCCCATTGCCCGGGGGGTCGGTGGGTGGGCAGGGCTACACTCGGTGTATAACGCGCACCCAAATTTTCACCCTCTTTGGGGGGGGTAAAGTGCGTTTTATACTCCGAAAAATATGGTAATTGCTTTCCCCCCCCCCCCACCCCCCCCCCAATAGCCAAAGTAAATGAGATGCAGTTCTGTGATTTTTGCTTTCTAGTGTCCTACCTGCTGTTATGCCCTCCAGTACTTGCTGATTGGTCACCTTCTGTTCTGTCCCCGTCTCACACACGCACACAAACAGACAGCCGGGGGTTAAATAAACTGGCAGACAACCAATTCTTCCGATAAGAGGCTTGGCAGCAACCCAGTAGCTGCTTGCCAAGAACTTTTTTGCCAAGAACTTTACTCATAAAACAAGATACACACAGTTCAAGAGAATTGTCCAGTTCGTAATTAAATCCCAAGGCAGATAATGCTGTTTCCAAAGATGCAATGTGACTCGATTAGTACTTAGTTTTGTCCGTCACAGAGTCTGAATGGCCACCTCACCCCCTTTTATACCCTGTGGGGTGTAGTCCAGTGACTCAGCTTAATCTCTGGCACGCCTCTTCTTCTGTTGCGCGCCCTCATTACTGTCCACCTGTGTCTGCGTGGACGTGCTTGGCCCCAGCCCTATCTCTTGACCTTCGGTGGACACCAAAGGCATTACCAGAGAGGAGGGTCCTGGAGAGGGAGGCCTTGCCAACTCCTCTCCTTCACTCTCGGAGTCCTCTCCTGCCGATGACACAGGCTCAGGTAACGGAGCCACAACACCTTCGCTGTCCAAGGACCCATTTCATTTATCCTAAACAAATCTTTTAAAGAAGAGGTTTGAGTAGCAGAAGGGGAAGCTTCTGTTGAAGGTGCTCTTCTAAAATGTTCTTTTCTTTCCCAGGTCTGGAAATGTTGCTTGAAAATGTGTACGACACAGTTTTTGCATCGCTGGAACCGGTTCCCACCTTTGCTGAAAGTAGCATGTATAGGATCCTACAGAGACGTTTCCTGGGAGTACAACTGGCAACAACTGGCAGATTCAGATGTACGTGTCAAGGTTCCGACTGAGCACGACAGAGACGATCTGTGGCTCTGGTGGGCGTGGCAGGGGAAGGATACTGTAAAATCTCCATTCCCTCCCCACTCCTGGGAGAAGGTTACTGCAAAATCCCCAGTTCCTCCTGATCAGCTGGGACTCGGGAGGCAGAGAATAGATGGGGGTGGAGCCAGTCAGAATTTTTACTACCAGTTTTGTGGGTGTGGCTTGGTGGGCATGGTATGGCTTGGTGGGCATGGCAGGGGAAGGATACTGTAAAATCTCCATGCCCTCCCCATTCCTGGGGGAAGGATACTGCAAAATCCCCATTTCCTCCTGATCAGCTGGGACTCGGGAGGCAGAGAATAGATGGGGATGGGGCCAGTCAGAGGTGGTATTTACCGGTTCTCCGAACTACTCAAAATTTCCGCTACCGGTTCTCCAGAACTGGTCAAAACCTGCTGAAACCCACCTCTGATGTGAATGAAAACTGGTTGTGTTATACTTTGTGGTTCTTTTCTTTTGAAGGCCCCTCCAAGTGTGAAATAGAGTATTTCGCCGCCACTCGTTTTGAGGAGGATTATAAACCATTGTGTGACGACAATGGGGCCCACAAGCCAACACAATGTCAATTGAATGGAGAATGTTGGTGTGTCGACAGCAGAGGACGGGAGATCTCTGGAACAAGAAGGAGAGGACAGCAACCAATCTGTGGTAGGTAAAGCCAGAAACATGCTCATCAAGGATTTTCATTCCTAGTTTAATGTTATCTCAAGACTGTAGACAAAAATCGGCCAAACATCAGTTGCAATGGAATAGCGGTGAATTTCTCGTTTATGAATTCCTCAGAAATATCTAACCGATCACAATGATAAACAAATGCTAGACCTTGGCCTGATCCAGCAGAATTATTTGTCAGGCCTGGAAGCCATTTTTTTCATTGGACCTTCAGGCCTGCCACATTTATTACTGTGGGAAACTGGGAGGGGGGTTTGTACGGAGCCAGGGTGATATGTAGGCAAAATAACATTCCTTTCTCAGAGAGTCAAGGACATCTTGCCCTGCACCTGGACAATTGGAACTGAGAGGTGTCTCCAGTTGGGATGGTGTTTTGATTGGCCCGTGTGATGGACTTGTGGGTGTTGGGCAGGGATTTGGACTTTCCTTTGGGTGGGGAAAACCTGGAAGCTTTCAGATTAGGGTTTTCCCAGATGTGCTGATATGACATCTCTAATAAAATGGAACTTTGAGGAAACTCAAGCCTCGGAGTTTTCTTTCATTGGGGGTGTTACTTGGAACCTTGACATTATTCTTATGTTTTTAAAATATAGGGAGGTAAAGGTTTAACCCCCCCTCTTTTTCTCATTAGGTTGATGAAAGTATTGAAACAAAATTCCAAGAAAAGAAAGTTGTTCTATGTAATAATAGGCAAATTTAATTTATGGAATTTTGAGCCATATTTGGATGAGCTCCTCCAGTTTAGATGGTTTTTGAAGAAAACAAAATATATTCAAGGAGGATAGGTTATCAATGGAAGCTAATCTTAATGGCTCATTAGCTCCTTGATCAAGAATAGAATAGAATAGAATAGAATAGAATAGAATAGAATAGAATAGAATAGAATAGAATAGAATAGAATAGAATAGAATAACAGAGTTGGAAGGGACCTTGGAGGTCCTCTAGTCCACCCCTGCTTAGGCAGGAAACCCTACATCACTTCAGACAAATGGTTATCCAACATCTTCTTAAAAACTTACAGTGTTGGAGCGTTTACAACTTCTGGAGGCAAGATGTTCCACCGATTAATTGTTCTAACTGTCAGGAAGTTTCTCCTTAGTTCTAGGTTGCTTCTCTCCTTGATTAGTTTCCACCCATTGCTTCTTGTCCTGCCCTCAGGTGCTTTGGAGAATAGCTTGACTCCCTCTTCTTTGTGGCATCCCCTGAGATATTAGAACACTGCGATCATGTAATTTACTTTAAATATCAGGTGTTGGGCAGCATCAACTGAAAGAAGTTTCATTGTACGAGAAGAGCAGATAGAGCGGGGGCTGAGTTAAACGAGTCATCAGCCTAGAGTCATTACAGTCCCACAAATGGTCTAAGTCCAACCCTGCCCCCCCCCTTGGATTCTATTGGCCCTTATTTGGTGCCAATTTAACATTGGGCCTTAGTTGACTAGGTTCTTGTATATAGGCTGAAATAAATCTTCTATGCTGGTATTTAACATACTGTATGATCCTGATTTTTTGTGCCTGACATTCATGCTAGTGAACTTTTTGGAGGAATCTTCTTGGACACTATGTGGCACCAATGTCGGTCTCGATGAACCCTTGGCATGAACCAGTCTCAGGTCTCTTCTTGCGTTCTTTTTTTTTTCCTCCCCAAAATCCATGTACTTTCTTCTCAGTGATGTTTTATTTGATCCTTCGAAACCTTCCTTTAATTTTGATTGTTTTCTTTTTTATATATAGTTTATTTATACATTTTTCAATTAAAATACATAAGTGCCTTGTGAACAGTGCATTGTCTAGCTCAATTACTTTTACAATAATGTTTTCCCATCTCCTAATTTCTACTTCTGTTATCCAACCATTTACAAAACAAATCCCATATTTGAAAATATTCTGTATCTTCCTTCTCTTTTACCTTTAATGTCAATCCATCCATTTCTGCGCAATCTAATATTTTTTTTAGTTACATCTTCTTCTCTCGGTGTTTCCTCATTTTCCCAATACTGTGCAAATACAATTCTTGTATTTGTCTTGCCATCAAAACATTCATCATCATCATCATCATCATCATCATCATCATCATCATTATTATTATTATTATTTATTGAATTTATATACCGCCCTTCTCCCCGAAGGGACTCAGGGTGGTGAACAGCTGAAAATTAAAATAACATACATACAATATATTAAGTACAAATTCCCCTTATTATATTTTTCTGGTACTATGTCTAACAGAAATATTTTTGGCATAATCTAAACACAGTTTTAACATTTTTTCTAACCATATATGTATTTTTATCCAATAATTATTTGTTTTCACACATGTCCACCACAGATGATAGTATGTGCCTGGTGTTTGGCCTCTTCTTGCGTTCTTCGTAATAATTAACCTCCTGTTATCTTTTCCTTTGTCTAGACAAGGAGCCCACCTGTGTCTCTGAGAGACTAGTATCTCTGTCCAGGCTTTTCTATGGTCCCGTTGGACATTTCAGTCATAACAATTTGTTTTCTGCTACTCAAGAGCCACGGAAGATAGCTCGCTCCTCAAGATTTTGTCCCTTTTTATTCAGAGACTTTGTTGTGGGTTCCACGGATCTGTCTTCCCTCTCACGGGAAAACAGCGCCTCTCAGCTCTTCACATTTGAAAGTCTCCTCGGCGAAGCGGTTGGTGGGATGTTTCCTTCACGAGAACTTGCTCAGGTTGCTCTACGGTTCACCAACAACCCCAAACGATTCCAAGAAAACCTTTTTGGTGGGATGTTCTTGAAGAATCTGATCCAGTTTAACTTTACAGGAGCTCTTGGTCCAAACAGCAAATTTAATTTGGACAAGTATTTCCAGCAGGTTGGGATGAGAAGCGGATTCAGTGAACTGGCTGGTCAACTTTTGCAGGGAAGCTCCCAGGAGAAGTTTAATCTGAGCCAATCTCTTGTTGACGGCTTTGGTCGTACGGTCAACTTAGAGGACAATCAGAATGCCATCAAATTCCTTGCTTCCCTTCTTGAAGCCCCAGAGTTTTTCGCTTTTCTGCAACATGTGATTTCTGTCCCAGAGAGTGTCACCAAAGATTTAGGAAATGTAGTGAAGATTCTGTTGAAAGCAAGAGACTGCATGGAAGAGGACAATGATGTTTTCGTGCCAGACTGTACAGAAGATGGGAAGTACAAGGAGATCCAGTGTAAGAGAGGGGAGTGTTGGTGCATAGATTTAAGGGGGAAAGAAATCCCCGGATCCAGAGTACGAGGGACAAACCCGCAGTGCCCTACAACGTGTGAAAAGCAAAGGGCCAGTTTGCAACTCTTATTAAGAGACCAGCCTGCAGGATCTCAGATGTTTGTTCCTTCATGCACCAAAGAAGGAAAATTCCTCCCAGTCCAGTGCCATGGAAAAAACTGTTTCTGTGTCAATTCAGAAGGCATACCTGTTCCAGGAATAAGTATCAATTCTGGAGACCCCATACAATGTAAGTCTCACATGTTCACATGCATTATTATTTTATTTTATGTTGATTTAAGCAATCAAGAGAAATTATACCAGGAAGCTAAATAAAACAAAATAAATCATAAAGATACAAGCAACAAGTTATACTGTAGTCATAAGTAGAAAAGGAGATAGGTAATAGGAAGGATGAAAAGAATAATGGTAGTACGGTCTTAGTAAATAGTTTGAAAGCGTTGTGTGAATTAGTTGTTTAACAGAGTGATGGCATGGGAGAAAAAACTGTTCTTGTGTCTAGTTGTTCTGGTGTGCGATGCCCTATAATATCATTTTGAGGGTAGAAGTTGAAACAATTTATGTTCAGGATGTGAGAAGTCTGTAGATATTTTCGCAGCCCTCTTTTAAAGATAAAGAGACTGTGATTACAGCACAGGCAGCTAGATTCCGTACAGCAGCACTGCGGAATTGTTGGAAACATGTGATTAATCCACCCTAGCTATTTTACCCAACTATTGTACCAAAGTCTTTTGCATGACTATTTTGTTTTGCATTTTAGTATTTAATGACTACAGGCCTCACGGTTCATGGATTGCTATTATAGTATAATTACAGTATTGGCCAAAATTGTGGAAACCTTTTGGGAAAAGTGTATTGTCTATAATTAGCTAATAACACCCCTTTTTTGTAGTAGTAGTACCATAAAATTATATATCAATGGAAAGTTAATTTAATCAAGAATGTAATGCAATAGCTTTTATGAAGGATTTGCTATTAGAATAGCAGTTACAGTATAAAGAAAGAAAAGTGAAACACATAGAAAATACGAGATATGCAAAAATGATCACCATAGAAAAAATGAGATATACAAAAATGATCACCATGTCAGTTAATACTTAGATGGGTAACCTTTAGCATGAATGACGGCCTTACAACGTCTTCCCATGGAGTGAACCAAGTCTTTTAGTTCTGCAGCTGTTATCATGTGAAACCAAGATTGAATGATTGCTTCTATTAACTGGGTTTTATTGCTGGGTTGCTTCTGACTAACAAGTTTCTTTAGATGGCTCCCTAGATTTTCAATTGGGTTTAAGGTCTGGGCTATTCCCAGGCCATTCCAACAGTGGAATAGGATTATCTTGAAACTCCAAAAACCACTGGTGTCATTAGCCATCAAACTTCAAAAATACACTTTTCCCAAAAGGTTTCCACAATTTTGGCCACTACTGTAGGCCATGTGTAACTGACTGACTGGATGCCAAATTGTGATTTTAATATAGATTTTATCCATTATTTATTATTTTATTCTAGGATTTTAAACTGGATATTCATTGAGTGTTTTTATTTGTCCTGGTCTCTGGTCTGTGACTATAATGGATCTGATTTTGATGAATTAAAATGCATTAAACCATTTCAGTTATTCTTGTGGTAGGGTGAAAATCTTAAAGCACCTGTTCTACTGACTTCATATTGATCAAGTTGATTCTTCCTTAGGTCCAAGTGACTGCCATCTTGCAGCTGGTCAAGCTTTTCTAAGAACTGCTAAGCAGTTTCTTTTGAATCCCACCGCTCTGACTCAATTGTCCAGTGTTTATGTACCTCAGTGCGGTCTGGATGGTCAATGGAGGCCAATCCAGTGCAATGGCCCACCTGAACAAGCTTTTGAGTGGTACCAAAGATGGAATACTCAGAACAATAATAAGAATGTGCTTACTATCGCTGAGTTGGCTAACGTACTCCTAGACTACAAGGCAAGATCTCAGCAAAGCTTTGAAGATTTCATCAACATTCTCTATGCAGCGGGCCACCAGAATATTTTCCCAGAATTCTCCAAATACTCATCTTTTGAAGCTGTTCCTCGAGAGCTGCTGGAGGGCAATACAATGCAGTCCTCTGAGAATGTTTTACTGGATCCATTCATCTTTTGGCAATTTCTTCAAGGTCTCCTTAATCATTATCCAGGATCCTACAGTGATTTTAGTATCCCCTTGGGACATTTCGATCTTCGCAACTGTTGGTGTGTGGATGAAAAGGGACGCATGCAAGGAAGCCAAGCCAGCGTAAACCAAATTCCAACTTGTAAGTAACTTGGGCCACTCACCAGATCTTCCTGTGATAAAAGATTAGAACGTAGAATAATAGGGTTGAATTGAAAAGGTCCATGGAGGTCTCCTAGTCAACCCCCTGCCCATGGCAGGAGATCCTATACCATTCTGGAATTTCTTGGGGCTTGATGGAATCATAGAAAGAATAGGGCCTCCACCAAGCAGGAGGCCCTATACCAGTGATGGCTAACCTTTTTGCCATCACGTGCCAAAAGTGGGGGGAGCGCGGGGGGGGGTCATGTGCACATGTGCCCACACCCATAATTCTATGCGCCCCGTCCCCCCCACGCATGCGGGCCTCCCCTGTGCTCCCCCTGCTTTTGGCACGGGAGGCCCAGTAGAGCCGTTTTTCACTCTCCCCAGGCTCCAGAGCCTTTCTAGGAGCCTGGGGAGGGTAAAAACGGCCTTCCTCATCCCCAGAGGCCCTCTGGAGGCTGGAAACAACATGTTTCCTGACTTCCAGGGGGCCCAGAAGGCTCGAAAATCAGCTGGTCAGTGTACGCATGCATGCCGGAGCTGACGTGCCCACCGATATGGCTCCGTGTGCCACTGTGGCACCCGTGCCATAGGTTCGCCATCATGGCCCTATACCATTTCAGTCAAATGGCTGTCCAAACCTTTCTTAAAAACCTCCAACAATGGAGCACCCACAACTTCTGAAGGCAAGCCGTTCCACTGGTTAATTGTTCTAAATGTCAGGAAATTTCCCCTTAGTTCTAGGTTGCTTCTCTCCTTGATTAGTTTCCATTTGTTGCTTCTTCCCTGCCTCCAGGTGTCTGGGAGAATAGCTTGACTCCTTCTTGATGGGATTGAGCAAAATCTGAGCCTAATGAAGCATTTATGATGTGACTAACATTGCACTAAGCCATACATTCATTTAGAATAGAATAGAATAGAATTCTTTATTGGCCAAGTGTGATTGGCCAAGTGTGATTGGACACACAAGGAATTTGTCTTGGTGCATATGCTCTCAGTGTACATAAAATAAAAGATACATTCGTCAAGAATCATAAGCTACAACACTTAATGATGGTTATAGGGTACAAATAAGCAATCAAATCATATTAGGAAACAGTCAATATAAATCGTAAGGATACAACCAACAAGGTTACAGTCGTCCAGTGGTGGAATTCAGCCAGTTCGCACCTATTCGGGAGAACCGGTTGTTAACTTTCTAAGCAGTTTGGAGAACCAGTTGTTTGAAGAAATCTTATTTTGTTTTTCTCCCACTTTACAGGGCTAATCCTGTAAGGAAGGCAGAAAGGAAACATTTTGGTGTTTTTTCAAGTCCAATCTTTATTTTAAAGGAATTTATTTTAAAGGAATTTGTCTTGGTGCATTTGGTTTTAGTTTTCAATTTTGTATAGGCCTAATCCTAGTTTGTAGTCCATAGACGGTGGTTTAGCATTCTGTGTGTGAGCCTGGCCATTTTAACCCAATGAACAAATCAGGTTTAAACTAAACCAAGATTTCTGTTTAAATTAAATTGTAGGAAGTTAGTACCCACCCCTTTCCTAGAAGAATGAAATATTTTAGGAAATATTAAAAAGGCAGAATATTATGTTTCCCTGAATGAGAAATGGAGAAGCATGTTTTAAAGATGAAGCAGCTCCCATCTTCCTGCCCCCACCCTTTGTCAATGAGCCAGAGGCAGAAACTCAATCTTTGTCAATGGACCATCATCTGCAACACAATAGGATCCATCTAGCAACAGAAACTAACACAATAGAACCCATCTAGCAACAGAAACTCACCACATGGCACCTGGGAAGATTACATCAGCCAGCAAGGCTAGCTAAGACCTCCACCCCCTGGGAGTCTGACAACCAATCAGGATACTCTTTCTGGGCCCCAGGAAGTTCAAAACCAGAGAGGGCATAAAACCCGGGGACTCACTGGGTCTGGCCCCTTTTCTGTTCAGGAACTCAAACCATGTGATCCTGTCCACCATTAAACCATCTTTCCAAGCAGTCTCCATGTTTCCAGTGTCTTTTCCCCCACTTGGAGCTGATCTCAGAAGGATATTTCTTCCTACAAAATATAATGGCTATTAACAGATGCTTCCCTAGAGTAATGGGTTTTAGTGGAAAATCTTTTCCCATTATGAAACATCAGCCATTATCACTGGTGAATAGTGGTCCTTTTATAAAATCCACCTTTTTTTCCTTTTAGCTTTTATTCATTTAATTCTCCAAATGCAAGATGGTTGTTTTTTTCTAAGTTGCTCTGACTAATTAGCATTTCCTTTTATATAAGGCTAATGAAGTCCTTCGAGACATTCCCACAACTGAGAAATTGTCTATAAGTATTTTAAATAAATACATGAGGAATTGGGCATAATTGTTTGCAGATGGCAATACTAAGCCACTTTTAAGCTTAGGTATTTAACAATCCTACTTGAAAGAACAGCCCACTGGGATCTAACTCTCAGAATGTCCTATTTCCTCCTGGCTCCAATTTATATATTGTGAGCAGAATTGCTAAATTTATAGTTAAGGCAGTTCAGATATGAACCTGTATACTGTATAAAGTGGGGCCTCATGTAAAGGTAATATATTTATCCAAAGGCTGATTCTTTGGATTTACCATGTATGCATTATATTACTATATTTCCTTATCTGTTTTATCCTGGAATTGGGCCCTGCACTTTACTATTATTATTTTTTGTTTGATGGGATTATGAATAAACCGGTACTCTATTTGGGAGCCGATAATCACACTGAAGCTGAACTGAAATTAGTGAGAGTTTTAATCTGTTTCTTATTCCTTGCTTGCTGCAGTACCAGGCTGAATGAATGAATAAATAAATGGAACTCAGAACTGGATGGGAAGACAATAATTATGTCTCTATATGTTCCAATTATGTCCCATAATGAATATGCACAACTCAGGCAAACTAAAAATCATCTTCATCTTTTTTTATCTGAATCCTTCCCCTTCCCCTTCCCTTTTCCCTCCTCCTCCTCCTCCTCCTCCCTCTTCCCTTTTACCTTCTCCCTTGCCTTCTTTTCCTCCTTCCTCTTCCCTGTCTCTCCTCCTCCCTCTCCTCCCCCTCCCTCTTCCCTTTCCCCTCCTTCCTTGCCTTTTCCTTCTTTTCTTCCTTCGTCTTCCCTGTCCCTCCTCCTTCGTCTTCCCTTTCCCCTTCTCCCTTGCCTTCTCTTCCTCCTTCCTCTTCCCTGTCTCCTCTTCCTCCTCCCTCTCCCTTTTCTCTTCCCTGTTTCGCCTCTTCCTCCTCTTCCTCTTTCCTGTTCCCTGTTTTGCCCTGTTTTGCCTCCTCCTCTTCCCTTTCCCCTTCTTCCTTGCCTTCTGCTTCTCTTCCTCCTTCCTCTTCCCTGTCTCGCCTCCTCCTTTTCCTCCTCCTCCTCCCCCTCCCCCATTAGACAGATTCACCCTACTCTGAGCAAACTTTTTGTCTTCTTGCAGGTCTGGGAACGTGTGAAGCTGCAAAGCGAGAAGCTGCGGAATTCATTAACAAGGTGGAACAACTTATTCAGGAGTCAACCAACTCTCATTTTCCTTTCGGACAAAGCTTTTTAATGAGCCAAGTATCCATGTTGAGAGGCCGAGAGCTTTGGAGTAATTTTTCTCAGCTGGAGAGCACTTTTGCAGAAATACTGTTGGCAGGGAGCGATTATGCCATCCAGTTGGCTGCACAATCCAGTATGTTAATTTTTTTTAAAAATGATTTATGTTTTTTTAGAGGACCGTCAAATGTTGGTGATCCAGTATACTTTGAATCCCTGAAGGAAGAATTAGCATTGCAGGATTTGCGAGAGAGTCTTCAGCAGGGGTCTCCAACCTTGGTGACTTTAAGACTTGTGGAAGTTGAAGTCCACAAGTCTTAAAGTCGCCAAGGTTGGAGACCCCTGCTCTACAGGAAGAGGATCAAAAAGTCACAATGGGGATCACAACTACATGTTTGGAGAACTGGGTATCGATCACACGGTTGTGGCCGCCATCTTAACTTTCTTGACTGCCCTGTGGACAGCTTTGTTTGATTCTCTTAATAGATATTATGGGAGGAGAACCATGTTAGTGTATGGCATTGCTTCTCAACCTTAACAACTCTAAGAGGTGTAGACTTAATGATGGCTGCGTAATTCCGGAAGTTGAAGTCCACACATCTTAGAGCTGCTAAATTTGAAAAACGCTCATCTCCAGTAACCAAAGATAGAATAGAATGAATGAGCTTGAAGGGACCTTGGAGGTCTTCTATTCCAGCTCTCTGCGCAAGCAGGAGAACCTATACCATTTCAGATATGTGACCGTCTAGGCCAGTGGTGTCAAACTCAATTTCATTGAGGGACACATCAGGGTTGTGTTTAACCTTGGAGGGGCGGGGGTGTGTGGCCAGGTTGGGCATGGCCAGCTCGATGTCACTCGTGTCGGGGGTGGTCCGGACACTCTGCCAGTGAAAATGGAGCATGGGAGAACCGCGTGCAGCCCTCCCGAGCTCGGTTTTGTCTGGCAGAGGGTTGCAGGAGGCCGTTGCAGGCAAAAACGGAGCTCAGGAGGGCCGCGTGTGGTCCTTCCGAACTCCATTTTTGCTGGCAGAGGCACCATGGGCCGGTCCTTCATTGTTTCCAGGGTGGCCCCGTAAACCAGATCTAAGCACTCTGCAGGTCAGATCCGGCCCCCAGGCCTTGAGTTTGACACCCTGATCTAGACTCTTCTTAAAAAAATCTAGTGATGGAACGACCAGATCAGATGGAGTCTGGTAGCGTCTTTCAGACGACAGCTTAAGCCTTGTATTAAAATTTGTTAGACGGAAAATGTTTAGTCACCTTGGATTCTGCAGCTTTCGTTATTCCAAAAGAAAAAAAAATAATGAACAAAAATCAGGATCAGCTCAGTGGCATTTCCATGTGTGGCTGTCCAGCCTTCCAAGGTGAACTTCTAAAGCAGGATTGTCCAACCTTGGCAACTTCAAGACTCGTGGACTTCAATTTCCAGAAGCTGGGAGTTCCATCCATGGCTGGCTGGGGAATTCTGGGAGTTGAAGTCTACAAGTCTTTAAGTTGCCATGGTTGCAGGGGTGAAATCCAGCAGGTTCTGACAGGTTCTGGTGAACTGGTAGCGGAAATTTTGAGTAGTTCGGAGAACCGGCAAATACCATCTCTGGCTGGCCCCAGAGTGGTGTGGGAATGGAGTTTTTGCAACATCCTTCCCTCAGGAGTGGGGTGGGAATGGAGATTTTCCAATATCCTTCCCCTGGAGTGGGGAGGGAATGGAGATTTTGCAGTATCCTTCCCCTGGAGTGGGGTGGGAATCGAGATTTTGCAGTATCCTTCCCTTGCCACGCCCACCAAGCCACACCACACCCACCAAGCCACGCCCACAGAACTGGTAGTAAAAAAATTTGGATTCCACCACTGCATGGTTGGATATTCCGGCTCTAAAGGAGCATTTCTTAGCAGGAATGGATAAAAGAAAGCCGTTACAGTGGAGATGTTCTAAGGAGGCATTTGTTTTAATCTGCTGTAGCAAAAACAAATGCTAGCAGGTTTATTTTCAACCCAATCCCCTTCAGCAAAAATACAGAGTAGAGATTCAAGTATGGTACTTTTTTCATATTTTCTTCTTGGGGAAAAGATGATATAAGTAGGGAGAAAACCACATGAAGTCTAGTGGTAAAGCAGGGATTGCATAAATTGTAGAAATAGAGGGATAAGGAGGCTTGGAGATGTTAGTAATGATGAGCAGGGAGAAGAGAAAGTGGGGCCCTTTTACATCTATTTTATATCAGGTCTTACTTTTGAATGATCCACATAATAGATACTTACGAATCAGTAGCAAAAGAGTTCCATGTTTTCTATTCTCTACATCTCTGTGGTTGCCTTCATCGCTTAAGCCATATTTGCTTTGTTGTAGCTTTGCAATTTTATCGGAAGAGTCTATTGGCATCCCCGGACTCTGCTGGGGAGGTTCGGCGCTTGGCATTTCAGCCTTACATCCCCCAGTGTGATGGACAAGGGAACTGGGAGCCCGTCCAGTGCTATGAGAGCACAGGTGAGAAATATCTAGGAAGAAGTTTGCCTCAGTAAATATTGATGGTCTTTCATGGCTGTAGATACTAGCAATTGCATGCAGTAATCTCCTTCTCCTGCTTCTGCTTCTCCTTCTCCTTCTTCTTCCTCTCCTTCCTCTTCCTCTTCCTCCTCCTCCTTTTCTTTTTCTTTCCTCTTCCTCTCCTCCTTCTCCTCCTTCCTCCACCTCCTGTTCCTCTCTTTCTCTTTCTTCTACCTCCTCCTCATCTTCCTCTACCTTCTCCTCCCCTCCTCCTTCTTCCTCCTTCTCTTCCTCCTCTTCTTTTCCTTCTTCCTCCTCCTCATTTTCCTCCTCCTCCTCTTCTTTTTTTTCCTGTTCCTCTTCTTCCTCTTTCTCCATCTCCTCCTCCTTCTCCTCCACTTTTCTCCTTCCCCTTCCTTCCTAGGTTACATAGCAAAAATGAGTCTAATTACTTGCATTATTTTATTTCCTAGCATGCATTTGTATATAAATAATAAATACTATATTTATATTCTGCCTTTATTGTAAACAATCCAAAATGGCCCAAACTCACCCAGTCAGCTTTCATGCTGAAGGAAAGACTGGAAGTCCCAATCTCCCAGTTTCTAGTTCAGCATTTTTATCCATCACACCAAATTTTAGCTCTCAAATTTGCAAAACCGTGAATAAACTTCATCACAAGCACACAGACTTTATAAAATATATCCTTGGATCATTCTTCCAATTGAAGAGGTGGAAAGTACCACTATAACCATGAAATGTGAGTCTTTCAAGAGTTGGGAAAGCCACGTGGTCTTCACAGGATTTGCTTTCTTTGATAAAATGATCAAGAGAGATTTATGTCTGTTCTGATTTTTGTCCTGTGGTGGCCAGTTCAAATAAACTAAATTGCCAGGGCATGTTCAATTCTAGGGGTGTCAAACTCAGGGCCTGTGGGCCACATCTGGCCCATGGGGTGCTTAGATCTGGCCCACAGGGCCACCCTGGAAACAGCAAAGGATCAGCCCACTGTGACTCTGCCAGCAAAAACAGAGCTCAGGAAGGCATCCTACAGCTCCGTTTTCAGCTGTAAGGGCCTCCAGCAGCCCTCTGCCAGTGAAAATGGAGCTCAACCGAGCTCCGTTTTTGCTAACAGTGCACTTGGACCACCACAGGAGCTCCTGAAACGAATGATGTTGATCTGGCCACACCCACCCTGGCCATGCCCCCCCCCAAGGTCAAACATAACCCTGATGCGGTCCTCAATGAAATCGAGTTAGACACCCCTGTTCAATACAATGATTTCCTCTTTACTGAACTATTGTCTAATTCTACGCATGCATTGCAAGGAACATCTCTTTGCGAAGTGGTTCCAAAACGCATATTTTTCTTCTTTGCCTCAGGTCACTGCTGGTGTGTCGACGAGGTGGGACGTTATGTTTCAGATTCCTTGGTGACACGTTCAACACAACTGCCCCAGTGTAAGTCTTATTCTTTAAAGTTGGGCTGTTGCAGGGGTGAAGTGTAAAATTTGTTACTACCGGTTCTGTGGGCATGGCTTGGTGGGGGTGGGTAGGTAATGTGACTGGGTGGGCGTGGCCAACTTTTTTTAAAAACTTTTAAAAGCATATTTTCTACAACCTCTTCGGCTGAAAAAAAAATGCTTTTAAAAGGCTCTGACGATCCCAGCTGAGTTGCCTGATCGTCAGAGGCTTTTGTTTTCTTTTAAAAGCATTGCTTTTAAAAGAAAAAAAAAGCCTCTGACATCAGGCAACTCAGCTGGGATTGTCAGAGCGTTTTAAAAGCTTTCTTTTCTAGAAAAAATGCTTTTAAAAGCCTCTGACGATCCCAGCTGAGCCACACGATCATCAGAGGCTTTTTTTTTTTTTTTTACTTTTAAAAGCATTTTTTCGGCCGAAGAAAAAATGCTTTTAAAAGAAAAGAAAAAAAAAGCCTCTGATGTTTGCGCAGCTCAGCTGGGCATGGGGGGTGGGCAGGGATTTTTGCTACTGGTTCTCCAAACCACCCACTGTCATCGCTACTGGATCGGGCGATCCCGTCCAAACCGGGAGCATTTCATCCCTGGGCTGTTGTCCCTTAACAAGTAGTACAGATAGGCAGGAGAATAGCATAACTTTATAAAATTGTAGGAGTGTCAATGCAGGGTGAGATGTCCAACTCTTTAATAAAAATATTATAGTAATCGTTTTAGGGTACCGAAAGTCAGCTTTGCTTGAAGTGGAGATAGCATGTTGCTTCAGTCAGTTGGAATGATATGGTCCTTACAGAAAGGAGTAATATTGAAAAATACCCTATTTGTTTAAATAATCCCATACAACATCTCTAACATGGATTCTTTAAGAGTAAAGATGAGTGAAAATACAAGAAGTCTAAATCACAACAGATTTTTAGCATTATGAATAGAACTGATTGCAGTTTGGTGATTTATTATATTTGGATCATGGCTATTAATATTCTTTCTTGGCTGAGCTTAGTAACAACTTTCATCTTTTAAAACAATATATACGACTTTCACAATTAATTAGTGATAGATTGGAAAACTATCGCTTCCCTGGCATTTCTAAATCCCTTGTTTATTCCTTTTGTATTTTATTCCTTTATTCCCTTTTGGGAATGGATTTCTTCAGCTGTGTCTTAACTACTAATGTTTTTGGCTGGAGTGAACACTTGGTGGCTTCAAAAATCTGGTTTCCTCAGTTTCTGCAACTGTCTTTAATTAGTCGGGGTGAAGAAATAAGTAGGTCTGAAGACTTGTTTGCTAGCTGGAATACATATTACTCTGGAAAAAAAATTATCTGAATGCAGGTCAGACATCATGTCAACGTTCCCAAGTGAATGGCCAGATTGCCAGTTGGAAAATGAATGGACTGACACAGAACGCAACTTCAGCAGCTCTGTTTACTCCGTCCTGTCTGGAGGCAAGTTGTATAAAGCTGAAAAATGTATTTTGATTATCACATTATTACACTTTTCCTTTTTGAAGGTTGGGATATTTGTATTTTTTTTTCTGGGGGAGAAAGGGGCCATGGTAGCCTAGTGGTTAAGATGATGGGCTTATCGACCAGAAGGCTGGCAGATCGAGATCGAGTACTGCATGATGGAGTGAGCTCCGGTCCCTTACTGCAGCTCTTGCCCATCTAGCAGTTTGAAAGCATGCAAATGCGAGTAGATAAATAGGTATCACTTTGTGGAAAGGTAACAGCATGCTGTGTGCCCTCAAGGTGTAGTCATGCTGAACCATGACCATGAATGTGTCTACTGGCTCCCTCAAGTAGGAAATGGAGATGAGCACAGCCTCCTAGAGTTGAACATGACTACAGAGGGGTAAACTTTCCATTCAGGGTGAAATGTGGCTAATTCCATGACTCCTTCTCCCTCTCCCATCCAATTAACTTGCTTAGCATGAGGACATGCTAGATTCTGTAATTCCTAAATCTACAGAAAACGGGATGATTGATGCATTCCATAATGCCTAGAGGGACTTTTAGGGTTTTAGATATCTTTGAGAGCTTTTCTTAGATCTATCAAGCCAAGGGTGGGAGGTTGTGAGGCAGGGGTGAAATGCTCCCGGTTCAGACCAGCTCGGGCGAGTAGGTAGTGATGGCGGCAGGCAGTTCGGAGAACCGGTAGCAAAAATCCCTGCCCCCAGCCCCCATGCCCAGCTGAGCCGTGTGATCATCAGAGCCTTTTTTTCTTTTAAATGGCTCTGACCAGCCAAGCTCTGATGATCCCAGCTCAGTTGCCTGCTAATCGGTAGCAAAAATCCCTCCCCCTCCCCCCTCAGCTGCTTACCTTAGCTGCTGGTTGCAACGCCTTGCTGTGATCCCTGCAATCCATTGCATCAGCAAGCAACTGAATCTCCCTGCCTGCAATCAAGCAGGCAGGGAGTTGTGGACTTCAATTCCCAGAATTCCTCAGCCAGCAAAGCAAAGCTGGCTGAGGAATTCTGGGAGTTGAAGTCTACAAGTCTTAAAGTTGCCAAGGTTAGAGACCCCTGTTCTATTGGGTAAGATTTTTTCCCCTTTGGGAGCTTTAAAAAAATAGTTAATTGGGGTTTTTTTTAGTTGTTCTTTTTTTAGACTTAGCCATTTAAAGTTTAGGAAGTTTTAAATTTAGCTGCTTTTATATAAAAATAAATTAAAATAAAATAATATTTGTGCAGCTTTCTGAGATTTAGTGTGTTTCTGTAGTGTTTCACTCTAACTACACAAATCTCACAAAGCTGTATGTGGAATTGTGCGTGTGTAAAGTGTGAAAGTTGGTTTTTTGGGCTTTTTGTGGGTGTGTGAGGTTCCTGCTTGTTGCAGGGGCCATTTTGGGTTTAGCACAGCTGCTTTTATATTGTGGGTGAGCCAGTTGTGTTGTGTTGTATTTTGTAGGTTAAAAAAGGGCAAAGAAGTGACATTGACTTGGCCACGCCCACCTGACCAACAAGCCACGCCCTCCCAGTCACCTTACCACCAAGCCCCGCCCACTAATTAAGCCACGCCCACAGAACCGGTAGCAAACAATTTTAGATTTCACCCCTGTTGTGAGGAGTTAGGACTCCAGGCCAGTCTCCTGACATATTCAGGTCAGGACCAACAGATCGCCTTCTGGTGATTTTGGAAAGGGCAACACGGATTTATTTTCACTAGCCTTTCGGGGAGTTTTAAGGATAGGAAGGGTAATGGGAATCTCAGGACCAATAGCTCTCATTCCCAACCTCTCCACGCAAACCTGGAATCTTTGTTTGTTGTTGGCGGTGGTGATTTTTGATGGTTTTTAAAAGTGGGAATGGGAGCAGGAAGCTTCCCATAGGGAAACCATTCCCATTTTAAAATTTCCCCAGACTTTGAAAAAGAATCCAAAATGTCAACGAAATGATCTTGAGGTACAAATGGAATGCTCAAGAGCCAAACATCTGTAGATCACCATCTGTAGACTGTCTATGTCTCAGTTAAGCAGTATGTAAATGAAGATTCCTCTGAATTGAACTCTTGGTGATTACACGGACACAATTGTGCTATTTATTGTCATCAACACAGGTGTACTTTGCTATGGCCCTCTTCGAAGATGGGTTGTTTGTTCGGCTTCCCGACCTACTTCACAAATGGTCATCACACTGAATGCTGTTTTACCTTCTTTGGGATCAACCACACTCAGCTGCTCATTATTATGCTACTCATTTTAGAATGAGTAGTATAATAATGAGATCAAATAGCAGAAAATATGAAAGGTGTTGTGTGTGAATTAGCCAGCCTTTAAATTTTGTTAGAATTCTGGTCCTTTAAAAACAACAATCTTGTACAGAACTTGTGGACATAACCATTATTTATTTTATTTTATTTTATTTTACTTCAGATTTATATACCGCCCTTCTCCCTAGGGACTCAGGGCAGTGTACAGCCAAGTAAAAACACATAAATACATAATACATAGATTAAGAACAGATTAAAAGAAAATATCTCAATTTGGCCCACAATTTAAAAAGACAAACAAATTTAAAATCATTTAAAATTATTTAAAAGGATTTGTTAGGCCAGCCCGGCTTGTTGAAAAAGGAAAGTTTTAAGGGAACGGCGGAAGGCACGAAGGTCTTGGATTCTCCTTATCTCTGGGGGCAGTTGATTATCTATCTATCTATCTATTTTCTATCTATCATCCATCTATCTATTTTCTATCTATCTATCTATCTATCTATCTATCTATCTATCTATCTATCTATCTTATATGCCTCTCTCATCTCCATTCTATTTTAGAATGGAGAGTATGTGAATTTTCAGAAATCGGATTCACAGGCCTGGTGTGTCAACTCGATATCGGGAGAAATAATGCAAAAGAGCGAAATCGATTCTAACGACGAGATTCTTTGTAAGTGTCTCCTATTGCTTTCTAATTTGATTCTCTTTAGGGAATCTGCAGAAGTTCTCCTTTAGCTAATCCTAAAGTGAAGGAGATTATTTGGTGACAAGGACAGGGTGTTCTCATGGCAGCAATAATGTTAGTGAGAGGAAAATGCCATTTTCTGGATACCAAGTAATCAGCATTAGGAAAATATGATTAAAAATTACATTTGAATGTTCCTAAGTTTTAAACCTATGTATATATTATACTTAGAGGGATGGGGTGGCTCAGTGGCTAAGACGCTGAGCTTGTCAATCGAAAGGTCGGCACTTTAGTGGTTCGAATCCCTAGTGCTGCGTAATGGGGTGAGCTCCCTTTACTTGTCCCAGTTTCTGCCAATCTAGCAGTTCGAAAGCATGTAAAAAATGCAAGTAGAAAAATAGGGACCACCTTTGGTGGGAAGGTAATAGCATTCCGTGCACCTCTGGCATTTAGTCATGCCGGCCACATGACCACAGAGACGTCTTCGGACACCGCTGGCTCCTTGGCTTTGAAACAGAGATGAGCACCGCTCCCTAGAGTCAGGAACGACTAACACATATGTGTGAGGGGAACCTTTACCTTTACCTTTATATGTTATAGTCGTGTGTGTGTATATATATATAGTAGTGTATATATTTTTTGATAGGAAAACACTTAATATACACATACATACATACACACACACACACAAACACACAAACACACACATATATATTAGGTGTTTTTCTATCGAGACACCTGGTCTACCCCGGCATGTGGGAGGGAGCGTACTGCATCCCTTTTGCCTTTCAGCTCCAATCCAGGAGCCCTCAAGCAGTCGCATTCACAACAAACCATTTTATACCAAATTTATATTTCGCTGATAAACAAATAAAGGGAGACTAGTATAGATCTATTTCAAGCTATTTAGCTCTCATCAGCTAGCCATACCCTTACTCGGATTCGAACTTGGGCTGCCTGCATGTTAGGCAGTTGTATTAACCTCTGAGCCACAAGTTCTCCTCCCTTCATCAGCTTGAGCCAAGGGAGAGATTAAGTGTTTTCCTATCGAGACACCTGGTCTAGGGAGGAGGCGCGCCTCCTACTGGCTGGCAGGAGGCACATGTGCATGCACGGCGGAGCTGAACTGGGGTGACACCTCGCATGCCTAGAAAGAGGGCGCTATGTGCCACTTGTGGCACGCGTGCCATAAGTTCGCCATCACGGATCTAGAGCAACGCCTTCAGCACTGACAAACACACCATCAGTCACTAATAAAGGAGAACATTTGTAGTTCAGGGTTGACATGAGAGGTCCTTGGTGCTCCCTGAGCTTGCTTGTTTTCTTGCAAATATTTTATTACCCAAACTAGGTCACATCATCAGTGCTAGAAGGGAGTAGAGTTTATAGAATGGAGGAAGAGAGGAGGATTGAGGGGTCCTTGGTCCTCTCGGAGCTTGCTTGTTTTCTTGCAGACATTTCATTACTCAAATTAGATAACACCATCAGGGCTAGACTGATAGCACTGATGATGCTACCTAGTTGGATAATGAAACATCTGCAAGAAAACTAGCAGGCTCAGAGAGCACCACCGACTGCTCACCATCAGTCAATGGCAAAAGGCAGTTTTACTTGGAACAGCCTTCAACTCATGATGATGCTTTTATATCATCAGATAACAACATCTGCCTTTCTTAGTTTCTTGGGAAGGACTTATAGAAGGATAAAAATGCTAAATCCAGTCTAAACATCTGGCAGACTGTGCGATCAGCCCTAATACAGGCAGTCCTTGACTGACAACCAGTTTGTTTAGTGACCATTCAAAGTTACAATGGCACTGAAACATGTGACTTATGACCGTTTTTCACAGTTGCAATCTTTGCAGCCATCCCCATAGTCATGTGATCAATCTTGGTCACTGGTTCAGATTTAGGACCGTTGCTGTGTCCCGGAGTCATGTGATCGATCACCTTTGGCGACCTTCTCACAAGCAAAGTCCATGGAGAAGTCAGGTTCATTTAACAACCGGCCTACTAACTTATCAAGTGCAGTGGTTCACTTAATAACTGTGGCAAGAAAGGTCATAAAATGGGGCAAAACTGCCTTAGCAGATGTTTTACTTAACAACAGAAATATTGGGCTCAATTGAGGACTATCTGTAATCAGTGGTGGGATTCAGCCGGTTCAGGGCGATTCAGGTGAACCGGTTGTTAAATTGCTGGCTGGCTCCTCCCCCCATGCAAAGAGGCCTACTAGGCCCAAAAAAGATTGCGGGGGGTGCGGCACGCCCCCCCCCAAGTCCCATTTTTGCTCCCATGAGGCTGCAGGGAGGCCTACTAGGCCCAAAACGGGCCATGGGGGGGCAGCACGCTCCCAGGGGAATGCAGGAGGCTGTGTGCTGCCTGTCATACCCACTGGCCATGCCCACCATGGCCATGCCCACCTAGCCGGTTATTAGGGCAGAGAACCGGTTGTTAAATTATTTGAATCTCACCACTGTCTGTAATATAAAAGACAGCTAGGAGGACAGATCAGGCAAGAATGAAGCAAAAAGTCTTCGTTCTTCCTTGCTAAAGGCCTGAATGAATAACATGCTTCAGTTGGTAAAAAATGGTTGCAATTTATGGTGGCGCAGTGGTTCGAAAGCAGTATTGCAGGCTAATTCTGCTGACTTCCAGCAGTTCTATCCTGACTGGCTCAAGGTTGATTCAGTCTTCCATCCTTCTGAGGTGGGTAAAATGAGGAGCCAGATTGTTGGGGGCAATAGGCTGACTCTGTATACCACTTAGAGAGGGCTGTAAAAGCACTGTAAAGTGGTATATAAGTCTAAGTGCTATTGCTTCATACCATGCTTGTCCTTCATCATCTAATTCTTCTTTGGAAGGCCCCAGCTACTGCAATTTGGTAAAGTCAAAGGCTCTGGTGCGGGAAATCGGTAGAGGCTACATCCCAGAGTGTGACGAGAACCGTCAGGGTTTCTCTCCGGCGCAATGCAGTGAAGACCAAGCAAGCTGTTGGTGTGTCTTTGACAATGGACAAGAGGCTCCAGGGACAAGAATTAATGGCCAGAGGCCTGCCTGTGAACGTAAGCAACCCTTCGCGAACCAAGGGGGATCTTAATGTTTAGATGGCAGTTTGGTAGGAGAGGATTTCTACAAACACAAATCTGTCTGTAGATGTTGTGGCCCATCAGCGGCCTGTGTGGATTGTAGCTGATTCTGACAGCGAGGAGGCTGGTGTGGTGTTACGCCAGCAGCCTGTGCAGCTGGCACCCGAGTCAGACAATGAGGAGGCTGGAGAAGATGTGGTGCCAGAGGCAGGGATTCAGCCAGGGCCTTCAGAACCTCCAGAAGCTCCTTTAAGTGAAGAGGATGAAGAGGAGGAGCCTCTTCTCAATGCATGGGCGTGCAGAGCTGCCAAAAGGCAGAAGTGGCTCCTCAGGAGGAGGTCTCCTCGAGAGTAAGGCTTGGGGCTAATTGGCCACTCCCTTAGCCTATTTAAGGAGGAATGCCGACTGAAGCAAGTTGTAGGGAACAACTTTAGTTCATTCTACTTCGCGTCTGGATTCTCTGCACATGGCTTCTGGGCTTTCTGCCAACCTTAGTAAGATTGTGATTACTTTATCTTTGGTTTCTTGTAGGCTGTTAAGAACGTTTATTAACAGCCTTTGTTTTGAAAAAGACTGAGTTATTTTAGTAAATTAAGCTTTGTACAAACTTTGTGTGTGTTGTGTTCTTTGGGATCCAGAGCTGGGGCAAAACAGTAGAGATTCTCAGTCCCCCAGATCATGGTTGTCCCAAAGGTGCTTTTTTCAGGAGGAAAAACTGGACTTCCTTGTTTTTTTCTTTTGAAGACGTTTCGCTTCTCATCCAAGAAGCTTCTTCAGCTCTGACAGGATAGTGGGGAATGGAAGGATTTATATTCCTTGCAGACAGCTGGTTATTTGCATCCTTTTTAGAGGGTCATTGAGGCCACTTGGAGGTTTATCTGTGTCCTCAGGGCCACCTGAGTGGTGCTTCTGGTTCCTGTAGCCTGCAATTTTTTCTTCTGGAAATCCATTCCTTATTCCCACACCATTCCAAGGGTGTTCTTGGAATGACTTTGTTCATCATGTTCTTTCAGGTCCACGGTGTCCCCTGTCTTACAACGCTTCTAACCTGACCCACGGTGGAATTTTTTGCAATATCACCGCTGCAAACTCAAAGATTCAGCAATGTCAAGTGATTTGCGCTCCAGGATATCAGGATGTCTTTTCTCAAGGAGAACTTCTTCAGTGTGATATCCAAAATCTTCTCTGGCTTACAAATCCACCTCATTCTCTTGCTTGTCAGAGTGAGTATAGCAGGGGAGAATGTATACAGAGCCCTGTAGTACTGTACAAACTCTTTTTTGATTCAAAATACAGGAAGTCCTTGACTTACAACTGGTGGCTTAGTTGCCCTTCAAAGTTACAATGAACTCTCCAGGGCTACCTATGGCCTGGTTCCAAAGTGCTGACAGCTATCATTCCTGCATGGTTATATGACTACATCAGAGGTGGTATTCAGCCAATTCATACCAGTTCGCCCGAACCGGTAGCAGAAATAATAATATTTTTTTAAAAAATTTGATTTATATGCCGCCCTTCTCCGGAAACTCAGGGCGGCTTACAATGCGTTAAGCAATAGCCTTCATACTTTTGTATATTTATACAAAATCAGCTTATTGCCCCCACAAACTGGGTCCTCAATTTACCTACCTTAGAAAGGATGGAAGGCTGAGCCAACCTTGAGCCTGGGGAGATTCGAACTAGCAGTAATTGCAGGCAGCTGGATGACAATAACAGGCTATTAGTCTACTGCGCCACCAGGCAATAATAATAATAATAATAATAATAATAATAATAATAATAATAATAATAATATAAGAAGAACAACAACAACAATAACAACAACAATAATAATAAATAAACTAGACAAATAATAATTTGTCTAATCTGATAAAAAGAAGGACTAGGGGTGACATGATAGCATCTTCCAATATCTCAGGGGTTCCCACAAAGAAGAGGGAGTCAAAGTATTCTCCAAAGCACCAGAGGGCAGGACAAGAAGCAATGAATGTGAAATGTATGTGAAGAAAATAAGGAGGAAGGCATCTGAAAGGGTTTAATGTTGTTAGATCCTTGGTCTAACCCTGACTTTGTTTGCTTTATGTTTAGGACTGCAGCCATTCCAGAGTGTCCAGATTCAAACCCAGTTTCAGCTCATCTTGCCTCCCAAGAAGACCTGCAGCCCTGACTATTCCGGGTTGCTGGAGACGTTCCAGGTCTTCATTCTGGATGAGCTGAAGTCTCGTGGCTTTTGCCATATCCAGGTATTTTAATGGTGAATCTATGCGAAAGTGAATGAAACAGCTCTATTGTTGTTGTGGCCCGCCAGCGGCCTGCGCGGATTGTGGCTGATCCCTACGACGAGGAGGCTGGTGTGGTGTTGCGCCAGCAGCCTGCACAGCCAGCGTTCATGTTGGACAGCGAGGAGGCTGAAGAGGATGTGGTGCCAGAGGCAGAGACTCAGCCAGGGCCTTCAGAATCTCCAGAAGCTCCTTCAAGTGGAGAGAGTGAAGTGGAGGAGCCTCTCCTCAATGCTTGAGCACGCAGGGCTACCAAAAGGCAGGAGTGGCTACTCAGGAGGAGGAGGTATCCTCGAGAGTAAGGTTTGAGGATAATTGGCCATTCCCTTAGCTTATTTAAGTCACACGCAGTTAGTAATTTCTTGCTGGAAATAACGTGTAATTATTACAGAACATTTTGGAGAGTGAGTGTCTTATCGTATTTTGTTTTCTAGGCTAGTTGCTAACCTTTGCCGGACTTTGTTTATTCTTGGTACATTATAACTTTGATAAGGACCGTTGGTGTGTGTCACAATCCTTGGGAATCCGGAGCTGGGGTAGAACAATTGTGGATTGTGCAAGGCCATCCATGGGTATGATTTGGCCAACCCATAGGAATACACTGATCTCTGACTCTATCATGGTATTACTGCTATAGGTAGTCCTTGACTAACGACTGCAATTGAGCCCAAATTTTCTGTTGAGTGACGCGTCTATGGGAGGGTTGGGTTTGTTGTGGCTCCGTTGCCTGAGCCTGGGCTATCGACAGATGCAGACTCTGAGAGTGAGTGAGAGGAGCTGGCAAGTCCTCCCTCTCCAGGACCCTCCTCTCTGGCAATGCCTCCAGAGGACACCGAGGGCCAAACGATAGGCTCAGAGCCAAGCACGTCCCTGCAGCCACAGGTGGACAGCGATGAGGAAGATAAGTGCTGGCTGGACCCTCGACAGAGGCGCAGGGAGAAGCGTGCACAGCAGAGGGGAAGGCGTGCCAGAGATTAGCTGAGTCACTGGACCACACCCCACAGGATATAAATGTGGGTGTGGTGTCCGGTTCAGTTTGTGACGAGCAAAAACTGGAAATACTCCATGATCTCTGCGTTACTGGACTTTGCCTGCTTTATCGGACTGCATTTGGATGAATCCTTGTATTGTTGACACTCTGCCTGTTTTATCGGAATGCTTGCAGTCTAATCTTTGTTTTGTGTGAGTAAAGTCTGAATTGGCAGCTAGCCACTGGGTTGCTGCCAGCTTTATCTTCAAAGAGTTTTGTCATGTGGCTTATTAACTCCAGGCCGTCTGTGGGGGTGCGTGTGGGGTACGGGGACAGAACAGGGTTCCAAATCCCATTGCTACCGGTTCATGCACGGGCAGCGCTTCTGCGCATGTGCAGAAGCATCCTGGTGGTTGGGCAGAGCCTCCCGCTGCCGCTGCTACCGGTTCACCTGATCCGGTGTTAACCGGTAGCAACCAATTGCTGGTCTATGGAGATTCTCAGTCATCCAGGTCACAGTGCTTTTTTCAAGAGGCAACTGGACTTTCTGGTTTGTCTCTGAAGATGTTTCGCTTCTCATCCAAGAAGCTTGTTTAGTGAGATGTTCGTTAAGTGAGTTTTGCCCTGTTTTCTTGCCACAGTTGTTAAGTGAATCACTGCAGTTGCTAAGTTAGTAACACGGTTGTTAAGTGAATCTGGCTTCCCCATTGACTTTGCTTGTGGGAAGGTCGCAAATGATGATCACATGACATAGGACACAGCAAAGGTCATAAATATGAATCGGTTGCCAAGCATCTGGATTTTGATAAAGTGATTGTGGGGATTCTGCAAAGGTCGTAAGCGTGAAAAATGGTCATAAGATACATTTTTCAGTACCGTTGTAACTTTGAATGGTCACTAAATGAACTGTTGTAAGTCAAGAACTTCGTGTATTATATCCATGTCAGAAGCACTTACCAAGGTGCTTCTGGATTGAAAGGATTAGCTGGTATCACTTGCCCAGGGAATGCTTGAAGGGACTCCCTTCACGTTCTCAGTATTTTCCCACCAAAGTGGTACCTATTTATCTACTTGCATTTTCATGCTTTCGAACTGCTAGATGGGCAGGAAATTGATGAGAACTCATTCCATCACACAGCTGGTGCTTATAGATTAAGAACAGCTGAGCTGTTAACCTCTCAATGGTCTTCTGACTCAGCATCCTAACCTCATGAGCCACCATGGCCCCTATATCATAGTATTAAACTGAGCTGATTCAGAAATCATTCATTAATAGTTGGGCTAAGCTCATCCTCTGTATCCAAGACAATTATATTATTAAAAATTAGTTTGGTCTGGTAGCTAAGATATCAGGCTAGAAACCAGGAGGCTGTGAATTCTCATCCTGCCTTGAGATGAAAGCTGACTGGGTGACTTTGGACCAATTACCAGGAATTTGTGAGTTCTAGTCCCGCCTTAGGTGTGAAAGCCAGCTGAATGACTTTGAGCCAATCACCAGGAGACTGGGAGTTCTAATCCCACCTTAGCCATGAAAGCCAGCTGGATGACTTGGGGCCAATCCTCAGGAGACTGTGAGTTCTAGTCCCACCTTAGCCATGAAAGCCAGCTGACTGACTTTGGGCCAATCACCAGGAGACTGTGAGTTCTAGTCCTGCTTTAGGAATGAAAACTGGCTGGGTGACTTTCGGCCAATTATTCTCTCTCGACCCAACCTACCTCACAGGGTTGTTGTTATGGGGAGAAGGCAGGATATAAAGGATAGAGTAGAATAGAAAATAGAATAGAGGATAGGATGGAATGGAATGGAATGGAATGGAATGGAATAGAATAGAATAGAATAGAATAGAATAGAATAGAATAGAATAGACTGGACCCAAAAATGAATAAAAACCTTCAATACATTATATTGCACATATTTACCACAGCAAGAATCACATTCGCAAAAAATTGGAAACAAAAAAATATACCGTCAGACGAAACTATAATTAGGAAAATTCTAGAATGTGCAGAGATGGATTAAAATGACTATGGAGTTGAAAGAGAGAGGATTCGGACTATTATGAAATATGGAATAAAATGTACAGTTGGCTCAAAAATAGAAATCAGAACAAGAAATGTTTAACTTAATATTGATGAAACTTAAATTAAAGTAACTGAACAATGTTAAATAAAGAGAGGTAAATATAAACGAATATAAATGTGTAGATAAGAAAAATGAATATTATAATGTGTGTGTGTGTGTGTGTGTGTGTGAATAGAATGTTTGTTTAAGGAAATCCTTAAACAAGAGTTCTGACTGAATTCTAACTATCACCACTACCACCAACAACAGAATCTGATCTTTCTTTTTAAGGTCAATACTTTGGAGAACTTGGTGTCTGTTCCAGTCTGTGGAGATTCTGCTGTCCTGGTTGAGTGTGCAGCTGCTGACCGTCTGGGAGTGAATGTCACATGGCAAGCTATGCTCAAAAATGTGCCAGCTATTGCACTTCCCGATTTATATGACATTGGTTAGTTTATTATTTCTAGTGTAATGTGGCTGTTTTGACTAAAATATTATTGGCCCTCATCCTCTTCAAATATGTCAGCGTATTGGAGATCTAATAAAAAAGCCTGCCATAAATTATTGAATTTTTTTTAAAAAATAGTTTGTTTTAACTCCTTGAAAGTTCACAGAACTCTACCATCACCACAAGAAACTGTGCTTTAACTGTGCTTTGTATTGGAATCCTACTTAAATATATTTGTCACAGAAGAAAAAAGAGGAAGGGAAGGGAAAGGAAAGGAAGAGAAAAGAAGAGAAAGGAAGGGAAGGTGAGAGGGAGAGGGAAAGAGGAAGGGAAAGGGAAGGGGAGAAGGAAAGAGGGAGAGAGAGGGGAAGGGAAGGGAAGGGAAGGGAAGGGAAGGGAGGAAGGAGGGAAGGAAGGAAGGAGGGAGGGAGGGAAGGAAGGAAGGAAGGAAGGAAGGAAGGAAGGAAGGAAGGAAGGAACTATTACTTGGTTTTCTGTTTCAATCCTGCAAATTCAGTTATTTTCCCCCAGCTTTTAAAAGCTCTTTCAAAAAAATAAATAAAAATGAATAACACCCCAGCCCCAACACATACCATGAATATTAAGCTTGGATTTCCTTGGTATTAATGTTACCATGTAAAATTTAGGTTAGGTTGCAGTTACCGTTAATGGATTAATAATTCAGCCGCAACATTCTTGAACCCTTCCATTTTCCAGTTTGGAATTCCTAAACTCTGACTGTATCAATCTGTCATTACCTTAAGAAAGGCCAAATCGTAACCACCTCCAGAAGCTGTCTGTGAGGAGAATGGTTATGTGGGCACCAGTTCTGAAAGCTATTTGTATTTATATCCCTTGCATCTGGGATGGATTAAATGGAGGAACGCTCTCTGCTTCCTCATATGTCTGAAATACTTGTAACCATCAAAGGATAAGATGAGTTTAGGCCTAAATGAACTTTTTTTTTTTTTTTCTTTGAGGCCTTGGAAAATTCTGGACCACCCAAGAAATAATTAAGATCTATTCAATAACTGTAGAAAGAACTGTGGTAGGATTCTGTGGTAGGATTCAATGGTGGGTTCATCTGATCTGAGGACTTTCCTGGAACCACCAAATTCCGTCTTCCGGACACTTTGGCACAGCCACTTCCAGGTCTTCTGATTTGTGAGGCGCTAAGTGTCCTCTGAGCTTGGCTGTTTTCTTGCAGATGTTTCATTACCCAACTAGATAGCATGATCAATGCTAGATGGGAGTGGAGTTTGCTTCCATTTTACATATTGGTGGCTTGCCTTGTCAGTGTAGGTGGGAGAGGTCTTGTGGTTTGTTGATTGGGCTCTTGTTTACTGATAGCTTGTTTGTCTGAGTTGGTGGTTCCTTGATTGGGGTATTATTGACTTCTTGGTTGTTGGTCTAATATTAATCTTCTTGGTTTATTCATGGATGACCAGAAGATCTTTCTGTTGGGTATGCTGCCAAATGGAATGTCTTATACCACCTTGAATAAGTCTAATCATCAAAGTAATAAGTCCTTAGGGTGGGTCTCTTCGCTTTGAACTATCCAAGTCTAATCATCAAAGTAATAAGTCCTTAGAAGGGGGTCTCTTCTCTTTGAATTATCCACTCACTTCAGTGGAAGGTGCCCACAGGATGTATCTGTCAGTGTTTTCCCACTGAAATCCTTCTACTTAGTTCCCTGATTTCTATCATTTTCTGATAGAGAAAGCCATGGTTGGTGAGAATCTCCTTGGGCGTTTTGAAGAGCTGATCAAGAGTGGTGGCTTTGTCCTCCACTTGGACAACAAGCAATTCCAAGCAGACACTTCCATCCGTCTTCCTGGAAGAGGAAATTCTGGCATGTCTCCTGAAGTTTCCTTGGGGTGCAAGAATGGTTTCCAGAAAGTCTTAACTACTGGAGAAGTGCTACCAAATTCGCAAGGATGTGGTATGTATCAATGTAGGATAAGGAGTGGCAGAACAAGTAATTAGTTCAACGTCCCTTGAAATCCATTGAGCCTTATCTAATTCTAAGCAGGTGTTAACCTAGCTGGTTGAGAAGATTCCTGTGCATAGGCTGTTTAGCAATGAATCAGTTTAATTAGACCTTTGTATATGGGCCTGGTCTTTTGAGCCTAACTATCATTTGGGTAGTGACACTTGCTTGCTTTTAATTTGTTACTCGGAAAGAGAAAGGGTTTGGTTTTAGCTTAGTCTTACTGAAAGTCTCCCTTAAGAGAAGAATAAATTATTTTATCGGTTTTCATTTTATTAAACAAATTTATATAGCTGCTCAACTCACACATAGGTGACCCCAGATGGCTTATAAATAGAGGAAGAATCTTCATTTAGATATTTGTAAAAGGCCAAGCAAATATAAAGTGTCTACCGTAGTATGTAGCCATTTTCATTGGATGAAGAGATAAGTCTATTTCAGATTTTTGCTGAAAAGCACAATATATTCTTGCTTCACGGAACAATTTAAGAGAATATAATGGGTTGAAATGATTTATCCCCACTCTATACCTACATCACTATTATTAATAACACATTTAGTTAATCTTTGACATGGAAAAAAAAACTGGTTAAATGTGCTAGCTGGCAGAAATGGAAAGCTTACTTTTCAGTATTTTGACCTAGAGATAATTTGAAGTAACAACTTATTTCCATCGTTTGGATAAATATATGTGCACATCTCTTCACTTTCTCTCTCTTTTCTGGAAATAGTAATTTTATTACAGTCACAGACCAGCATTAGAAATAAGAAGCATTAGAAAAAAATAAAATAAAATACAAGATAATATTTAATGATCCAATTAGTGGTGGATTGTCATTGGGCAGTCAAAGTCTGCCTAATTTTGCAGGCGGTATAACAAAATGTAGTTATATTCAAGGAGATTACATCGGACTGATCCAATAATAGCAATTGTACACAGGGCCGGATTTAGATGAAAAGAGGCCCTAGGCTATTCCACTTATGAGGCCCTTTCACCTATAGTGAAAGTGTAATTTTAATTTTGCTAACAATTTGAATGTAGGCCCCTCTTGATCTTGAGGCCCTAGGCTGAAGCCTAGTTAGCCTATAGGAAAATCCGGCCCTGATTGTACATTAAAAAAAGATCTGTGTTTTCCAGATATTTTATTAGGTGAGGTGTTATGAGATGGGTCCATGAGTCCTTTTAGAACATGGGTGTTAAACTCAAGGTCCACAGGCCAGATCCGGCTCACAAGGTGCTTAGATCTGGCCCATGGGGAAACATGCTGGAAACAGTGAAGGACCAACCCTCCCAAGCTCCATTTTCACTGGCAGAGGGTTGCAGGAGGCGGTCGCAGCCAAAAACGGAGCTCTGGAGTCCGTTTTCTCTGGCAGAGCAGTCGGGCCACCACAGGCCCACTGTAATGCTCTCTACATGGGGCTCCCCTTGAGGAGCACTCGGAGGCTCCAACTGGTCCAAAATGCGGCCGCGCAGGTGGTTATGGGAGCGATGTGGCGTTCCCATGTAACACCTCTCCTGCGCGAGCTGCACTGGCTCCCGGTGGTCTTCTGGGTGCGCTTCAAGGTTTTGGTTACCACCTTTAGAGCGCTCCATGGCTTAGGACCTGGGTACTTACGAGACCGCCTTCTGCCACCAGTAGCCTCTCACCGGCCAGTACGCTCCCATAGAGAGGGGCTCCTCAGGGTGCCGTCGGCCAAACAGTGTCGACTGGCAGCCCCCAGGGGGAGAGCCTTCTCTGTGGGGGCACCTGCCATCTGGAACGAGCTCCCCCCGGAGATACGGAGGATCCCGGATCTGCGCTCCTTCCGCCGTGCTGTGAAGAACTTTTTATTCCATCAGGCGGGCTTGGCCTAACCTCCTTTTAAATTGTTAATTTTAAATTTGTTTTAAAACAATAGGGGTGTTTTAAATTGTTTGGGCCAAATTATTTAATGTGCTTTTACATTGTTTTTAAATTTTGTATTATGTGTGTTTTATCTTTTGGCTGTTCACCGCCCTGAGTCCTTCAGGAGTAGGGCGGTATATAAATTCAAAATAAAGTAAAGTAAAGTAAAAGGCACCTCTGACACGAGTGACGTCGAGCTGGCCACGCCCCCCCTGGCCATGCCCCCAGGACCCCCTGAAGTCAAAGACAACCCTGATGCAGCCCTCAATGAAATTGAGTTTGACACCCCTGTTTTAGAAGGTGCAGTATATTAGAATGTGGCCTGTAGTTTTGATAGCCCCTTGTTCACAAAGGTATAGTCTCAGCTCATATAGAATTTTTTAATATCAGCCCTTCAAGACTGCTGTGGAAAGTACATTGCAGCATGCTAAAGTTAATCCCTTTGGAGTCTGGGTGTCAACATTCCAGAACAACCCAACTTCAATCAAAACCTCCGAGACAGGCATTATCTCAAAACTTCCATTTAATAGAGTAGGTATATTGGCACATCTGGGAAAACCCGAATCTGAGAATTCCGGGTTTTTCCTCAGTAAATCAAAACCCCAAATCCAACCCCTGCACCCATCAGTCCATCACATGGCCCAATCACCATCTGTCCCAACTTGAGCCACCACTGCACCTACTCAGGGGTAGGTTCTACTTACCTTTACTACCGGTTCGCAGTGGGGCCGTGCGTGCGCTCTTCTGCGCATGCGCAGAAGTGTTTTGATGATGTCGGGGTTGGTGGGCGGAGCCTCCCGCCGGTTTTACTACCGGTTCTATAGAACCGGTGCGAACCGGGGGGCAACCCACCACTGCAACCACTCCTCCTCCAAATGCAGGAGCATCATGACCTTGACCGAAGAGGAGAATGCTATTATGTCTAACTACTATCACTCCACTAAATCCCCCCTCCTATTTTCCCAAGCACAAGAAGGTGGCCGCGTGGAAGCTTCCGGTGTTAATATGGCTTCCAAAGCTGACACTGGGGACAGTTATATGGTATAAATATCTTTCTGCTTTGAAAAGAGGACTTTTGACTGCTCAAGGAGCTCTCTCCTGGAAGAATTCAAAATGAATTTGAATTCTGAATGAATTATTATTCCATAGAATAATAAACCTTTTTCTCCATTTGCAGCTGTCTGTCCCCCAGGTTCCTCTTTTCAGAACGAGCGGTGCATTCCATGCCCTTCTGGATTCTATCAAGACCAAGCAGGAAGTGACTTCTGTGTAAAATGTCCTCTTGGGACGTTGACCATTTCTCCTGGAGCTTTCAGAGCCGATCACTGTAAGAGTCTTAGAAAAATGCATGATGTATTTTGTTTGATGTTGAAAATGTTGTTGTGGGTGCTCCCACAAAACTGGAGGTTTTCAGAAAAAAGACTGGATGATTGTTTGTCCAGATGATACAGGGTCTCCTGCTCGAGCAGGAAGTTGGACTAGAAGACCTCCAAGGTCCCTTCCAACCCTATTATTGTCAACTTGCAAAGCTTTCAAGTTGCCATGAGCAGGAGGGAGGGAGAACTGATAGAGCTGATTGATTTCCCTAACTGAAGTGCATTCCATACATTCTTCCTGACCACAATCAGAAGGAGGGTGTTGGATTTCACAGCCAGCCAAAGTGGTTAATTGGAGAATGTGATTTATGACATGGCCAGAGAGGAGGGGAGAGACAGGGTCATAGGGAAATGTAAATCTACGTGGGATTAGTTCTAACTGCATCCGAATATTGCTGAAATGGTGCTCCTAATAAATGACTGTATTTCTTTTGAAGTTTGGCTCATGGCTCATGAATTAATTAGGGCATCTTTCAGAAACTTCACAATTATTTTATGTTCTATATACTGGTTTCCAGTAGTTTAATAAAGTAAAGAAAGATTATCCTTATCCAATCATGTAGTTTCATACATTATCCTAAACTAGTGATAGCTAACCTTTTTGCCATTGAGTGCCAAACGAGGGGGGAGCGCTGGGGGGGGTTGTCACGCGCATGTGTGCCCACACCCATAATTCTATGTGCCCCGCTCCCTGCACATGTACGTGTGACCCCCCTGCGTTCTCCCCGCTTTTGGCACGTGATGGCATGGTGGGCCATTGGGACTTCTTCTGGACTTCTTCTCTCTGGGGAGAGCGAAAAACAAGCCTTCCGGTCCTACTGGAAGTAAGGAAACATGCTGTTTCTGGCCTCTGGAGGGCCTCCGGGGGGGGGGGGAAGCCATTTTCACCCTCCCCAGGCTCCTAGAAAGCCTCTGGAACCTGGGGAGAGAGAAAAACAGGCCTTCCTCATCCCCCCCGCCCGGAGACCCTCCAGCGGCCAGAAACAGCGTGTTTCCCAACTTCTGGTGGGTTCAAAAGGCCTGAAAATCAGATGGGCAGCACACACATGCGCACCAGAGCTCAGCTTCCGTGCCCACCAATATGGTGCCATAGGTTCGCCATCACAGCCCTAAACCAAGGACTGGTTATTGGATAAATCACAATTATCTAGGTTGGTGAAGTGAACTATAGTTATCTGAGTTCTTATGTAACACTGTCGTAAGTCCTGGTTTAAGAAGCAGAATGGGTGGGCTTACACAACATACTGAAGCAAAGCAAGCAACATTATAGGTTAGAATATGGTATCCTATACAATGTTCATACCATCTGTTTTGGATATGGCTGGGTCAACAAATACTGGGAGAGCAAGATGGTAGAATACTGGGTTGTATCTGGGTTTGCATTGTTTCCCTTAACCATGGCCTGTTGAATAAGATACAATAGTCGCAACATAATATTTGCACGTTATGCGAAGCCAAAGCTAAAAATCCACATTATACTTTTGTACAGAATTCAAACCACGAAGGAAACATTCATTGAAAAATAGGCGACAGAAATTCCAACTTAAGGTCTGATTCAGGGGTGGGTTCTACTTACCTTTACTACCGGTTTGCAACGGGGCCCGTGCGCGCTCTTCTGCGCATGTGCAGAAGCGTTCTGATGACATTGAGGTCGGTGGGTGGAGCCTCCCGCCGGTTTTACTACCGGTTCTATAGAACCGGTGCAAACCGGGGGGGCAACCCACCACTGGTCTGATTCATTCAGAAAGGTCTTTGGCTGGAGAATCACGAACAAATGGAATTCTGGAGTCCTTAATGGTCTCGGAACATGATTGTTTTCTTGCAGTCGTTTCATTACCAAACTAGGTAACATTATCAGTAGCACTGATGATGTTACCTAGTTTGGTAATGAAATGTCTACAAGCAAACAACCAAGCTCAGCAAGCACCAATGAGTCCACTGTTCAACCCTGAGCTGCAAATATTCTCTTCTATCGAATGGAATTCTTTCCCACCAATTTTTTAATTTTTTTTTTGATTCTGTGCCCATCCAAGGTATGACTGATTGCCAGAGGAATGAACAAGCTGAAAGGTGTGATGAAAATGGCCTGTATAGACCTTCTTACCAAGATCCTTCCACCCAAAAGTCATTTTGTGTTGACAGCAATGGAAAGAGATTAGACTGGACAGAGACAGATGGTCCTTTGATGGAGCCCCTGTGTTCGGGTGAGTAGACATAGAAGTTCTCCATGGACATAGAACTTCGACATAACCCAATGGTGCTTCTCCAGAAGGCAACTGGACTTTCTTTCTTTTTTTAAAAAAGTTTTTTATTAGTAATTCAAATTAAAAAAATAATGGACTTGGTTTAATATCTCTGGTTTTAACCATTATCGTCAAATTTAAACTAATGCATAACATACTCCTTTATCTTTGTACAAATGTACATTACTTCTTGCATGTCAAGTATATAAATTAATTCCTCCTAAACAGCTACGTCCATACTCAATATAATCATATCTCACCTGCAAGTTTAACATACATTGACATACTCATTTCTAGACATTCACTACACTTTCATCTTAGCATTCTTCCTCCTGTCCAACCATTCATAAATTTAGTCCAGGTTTCATAGTACGCTGATTCATTTTTATCCTTGAGCTTCAAGGTAAGTCTGTCCATTTCTGCACAATTGGGGATTTTGATTAGCACTTCTTCTTCCGGGGGGATTTCTTTACTCTTCCATTTTTGGGCAAAGGCTATTCTAGCTGCTGTTAATATGTGTAATATTAGGTAGGTTGTGTTCTTGTTATATTTGCCCTCTATAATACCTAATAGGAAGAATTCCGGTTTAACCTCTATTTTTAATATTAGAATCTCTTCTAGCCAACACCTTATTTGACGCCAAAAATTTTTGGCCTTTGGGCATTCCCACCACATATGGTAGAAGGTCCCTGGGATCACCTCACATTTCCAACACATTGGAGAGTATTTTTTACTTATTCTTGCTAGTCTTGTGGGTGGGAGATGCCACCTATAAACTGGACTTTCTTGACCAGTTTTTTTTTTTTTATTTGAAAATGAGAAGCAAAATGTTTCCAAGGAAAAAAATCTAGACATCCAGTTGCCTTTTGGAGAAGCACCTTTGAGACAACCATGATCTGGATCAGGGGTCTCCAACCTTGACAACTTGAAGACTTGTGGACTTTGCTGGCTGAAAAATTCTGGGAGTTGAAGTCCACAAGTCTTCAAGTTGACAAGATTGGAGGCTCCTGATCTAGACGATTGAGAATCTCCATAGACAACTATAACAAAATGCATCCATGAATGTGTTTTCCGTCTTCCCTTCCCTTCTTTCTAATTAGGTCTATAAGATTTGGAAAACCCAGTACTCCTTTTGGGCCCAGCCAGCTGTAACAGGCCTTAATTGTTTTAGCAAGAAATAATTGGACATTGTTTCATTCTTCTCTCCATAATCCTTGGGGATGAAATTGGCACTTGTGGTCCCTTAATCTGATCCCGAAGCATTCATTTCAGAGAGGTTGTAAGAGGAGACACATTCCGTGGGGAGGGTTGGCTGGTGTGCAGGCTACACAACTGTACTTGAGGTGCCTTATTCATTAAGATATCATGTGTCCCAGGGAAAAGATAAACCTGTTTTCAAAATAATAGCGGTTACCATAATAACAGCCTTCAGTTGTTAATAATAGTAATCCTAATTAGCATCGTCATCCCTAGTTTTTATTCTTAATTGACCTTCTAGTGGTGCTGAGGTTTAGAGTAGTAAAAACTTTTGCTTCTGGTTTGCATCACTTGAAGTCCTCCATATGTTATTCTGTATATGTGTGTCAGGGGTGAAATACTCCCGGTTCGGACCAGATCTCCCGATCCGGTAGCGATGGCTGCGGGTGGTTCGGAGAAACGGTAGCAAAAATCCCTGCCCCCCCCATGCCCAGCTGAGCCGCGCAATCATCAGAGGCTTTTAAAAAGCATTTTAAAAGCATTTTTTCTACAACCTCTTCGGCCGAAAAAGTACTTTTAAAAGTAAAAAAAAAAAAAAGCCTCTGAGGATCGTGTGGCTCAGCTGGGATCATCAGAGGCTTTTAAAAGCAGTTTTTCTACAACCTCTTCGGCCGAAGAGGTTGTAAAAAGAAATGCTTTTAAAAGCCTCTGGCGATCAGGCAACTCAGCTGGGATCATCAGAGGCATTTACAAGCATTATTTTACAAGCTCATCCCTCTGGAATGAGCTACCCCCAGGGATACGACTAATCCCGGACCTCCGGACCTTCCGCCGGCCCCTGAAGACTTTTTTATTTCAGCAAGCCGGGCTGGGTTAAAAATCTTTTAATGGGGGAATTTTATGGGCAAGGGGTTTTAAATTGGAGAAGCCAAAGATAATTTAATTTCGTTTTAATGCATTTTAATATTTGTATTGTGTGTTTTTAATTTTGGCTGTTCACCGCCCCGAGTCCTTCGGGAGAGGGGGCAGTATAAAAATTTAATAAAATAAATAAATAAATAAATAAATAAATTTTTACAACCTCTTCAGCCATGCTGAATGGTTTTAAAAGTTTTTTTTTAAAAAAAGTTGGCCACGCCCACTCAGTCACATTACCCCCTCCCCCACCAAGCCACGCCCACAGAACCGGTAGTAACAAATTTTACATTCCACCACTGATGTATGTGTGTGTGTTTGTGCATGTAAATGTGAGTGTAAGGGAAGGGAGACGAGGGCAGCATTTCTATTTGTCTATTTTTCCCCAAGCGAAAGGAATTTGTAGCCTTGTATCTCGAAGAGCTAACATCATTCTTGCAAGACTGAAAAAGCAATTTCATGGAAATGGGAGAAGCCAGGGATCCTTTACAAACAATTCTGCTAGATAAATTACAGGTAGACCTCGACTTACAACAGTTCATTTAGTGACCATTTGAAGTTACAAACAGCCCTGAAAAAAGTGACTTGCAACCTTTTTTCACACTTTTTTTTTTAATGAATTTCTATACCGCCCTTCTCCCGAAGGACTCAGGGCGGTGTACAGCCAAAAATAAAACTATGACAATATAAAAATTAAAAGCAATTTAAAACAATTAAATAAATTGGCCAAAAAACTCTAATAAAACAACGCATTAAAATAGTAAAATGTTATTATTATTTAGGCCAGCCCTGCTTGTTGGAATAATAATGTTTTTAGGGTGCGATGAAAGGTACGAAGGTCGTGAATCCTACGAATCTCCGGGGGCAGCTCATTCCAGTGGGTACGGGCCCCCACAGAGAATGCTCTCCCCCTGGGGGTCATCAGCTGACATTGCCTAGCCGACGGCACCCGGAGGAGCCCCTCTCTGTGGAAGCGTACCGGTCGATGGGAGGCTATCGGTGGCAGAAGGCAGTCTCGTAAATAGCCAGGTCCCAAGCCATGGAGCGCTTTAAAGGTGGCAACCAACACCTTGAATTGCACCTGGAAGACCACCGGGAGCCAGTGCAGCTCGCGCAGGAGCGGTGTTACATGGGAGCGTCGAGTCGCTCCCGTAATTACCCGCGTGGCCGCATTCGGCCACTTATGACCGTTGCAGCATCCCCATGACCACCTCATCATAATTCAGACGCTTGGCAACTGACTCATATTTATGATGGTTTCAGTGCTTTGGGAGAGGTCGTGTGATCTGCTTCTGCGACCTTCTGACAAGCAAAGTGAATGGGGAAGCCGGATTCACTTAACAACCGTGTTACTAACTTAACAACTGCAGTGATTCACTTAACAACCGTGGCAGGAAAGGTCGTAAAACGGGGCAAAATTCACTTAACACATGTTTCACTTAGCAACAGACATTTTGGGCTCAATTGTGGTTGTAAGTCGAGGACTACCTTACCTGCATTGTATGATGCACGAGAGGATAGTCCCAATGATTTGCTCCACCACACTCTTCCCAGTGGAATGTCATTAAAATGGCTCTTCCTTCTTGGAAATCAAATTCTAAGACAATCTCTTTCATCCAAATGAATGAAAAACTTGGTAAGGAAAAAAAATGGAAAGCTAGGTTCTCTGCCAGCGCATGCGCAGAGGGTAAAAAACAGGTTATTTCCTGGTTAAAACCAGGAAGTAATGACAACCGGGTGGGTGGGCGGAGCCTCACACCGCCATCGCTACTAGTTCTCTGAACCACCAACTGGCATCGCTACCCGTTCTCCGAACCACCGACTGGCATCGCTACCAGTTCTCTGAACCACCCACCAGCATCCCTACCGGTTCAGCCAAACCAGTCTGAACCGGGAGCATTTCACCCCTGATTCCAACCCTCTGTTTCATTTCAGTCCTCGGACGTTTTGAGAAAGTTCCTGCTTCCAATCTTATCTTTACCAAAGAAAAATCGGAACCAACTGGAACTAAAACACTCCAAGGAACGCCTATGAAAACCCTCCAGCAGTGCATTGCAGGTCAGAATGTTTCTAAGGCTTCCCTTTTCCAAACCTAAAACTCTTCTTAGCAAGGTAGACTGGAAACAGAGTCATTTGAGTTAAAAATCATACAAGTTAAAGCTACTGTATCTGTCGTTGTGAGATCCTTGGGGCTCTGTGAGCATGATTGTTTTCTTGCAGACGTTTCATTACCTTGCTAGGTAACATCATCAGTTCTAGAAGGAAGTGGAGTTTGCTCTCAGAGAGCATCAATGTGTCAGGCCTGGAAGCCATTTTTTTCGTTGGATCTTCAGGCCTGCCACATTTATTACTGTGGGAAACTAGGAGGGGGGTTTGTACGGAGCCAGGGTGATATGTAGGCAAAACAACATTCCTTTCTCAGAGTCAAGGACATCTTGCCCTGCACCTGGAGGGCTGGAACTGGGAGGCATCTCCAGTTGGGACGGTGGATTGGACCATGTGATGGACATGTGGATGCTGGGCAGGGCCTTGGATTTTCCTTTGGGTGGGAAAAACCTGGAAGCTTTCAGATTCGGGTTTTCCCAGATGTGCCAATATGACATCTCTAATACAATGGAACTTTGAGGAACTTCAAGCCTCGGAGTTTTCTTTCATTGGGGGTGTTACTTGGAACCCTGACATTAACCCAAATCTGACACAAGGACTTCACCGTTCAGCCCTGAGCTACAAATCTTCTCTTCTATTGTTATCAGCAGTTGCTATTCAGGGCAGCTATGTATTTCCTTCAATGAATGAAGGGAAATATAGGTATCCTTGGATAATGTTGAAGGATCAAATCTGGGTCGTTCACAGAGACTAGAAAGTTTGTCTTCTGAGCTTTCGGATCGTGCTGGAGCCCATCCTCAGGAAACTTCTCTCTAGCAGAATGTTATTTCCTTCGATGTTTATGATATACACTCAGAGTATAAATTGATACCTGTCCTATATTGAGTAGAGGCTCAATATACAAAGTCAAATGCTGTCCAATTGAACAGAGGAGCTTATTTAAAATAAGACCAGTGTATCTACTGCTGGTTTCATTCGTTGCTCAAGCAAAGGCAGTGGTATTGATTCCAGAGCTCACGTGACACATCTTTTGATGTTTACAGAGTGTGAAGAGGATGAGTCCTGTGGATTTCTCACCATATCAACCGTGGGCTCAGAAACGTTGTGCGAGCTGTACAGTGCTCGGGAGAGCAATTATAACTGCTCTACTTCTGGACTGGTAACTACGTACATTTGTTTTCTGATGATAAGATAGGGAGCTAAAAGTGATACCTTCTCCCTTTAAGTGTGCTTTGAGATCCAACAAATGGGGCTCCATTAAGGGCTTGAAAGCTGAAAAATGGTAACATTAAGAAGGTATTTTAAGATCAAGGGCTTAATCTTAACCCTGCCATGGGAGTGGATTTTATTCCATGTACATTACAAGTATCATCTTCTTTTAACGACCCTATAATCCCTTGCATTGGGGTGGAGTCTGGGCAATTGAATGGAGCTGAGTGTTTACTGGCCGGAGGCCCTTCCTGTCACCAATATGGAGCTTTGTTCAGCAGATATATTCCCAGTGTGCCCAGACAGAGAAATATCTGCCTCTACCTAGGATCGAACTCATAGCCTCCTGATTGTGAGACGAGAGCTCCACTCTAAGCTACTGCACCACTCATGTACATTACAAGTATGACACTGTAATGTAGAATCAGTGGTGAAATGCAGTTACCTTCGCTACCGGTTCAGAAATGTGAGTGTGTGTGCACCTCTTCTGCGCATGCACAGAACGTTCAGGGTCAAAAATGGATGTAATGATATCCCAGTGGGTGGGTGGAGCCTCCCGCTGCCAGCCCTACCAGTTCGTGCGAGCCGGATAGATCCAGCCAGATTTCACCACTGTGTAAAACATAGAATCATAAGGCTGGACGGGACCTCGGAGGTCTTCTTCTCCAGCCCCCTGCTCAAAGCAGAGACCTTATATCATCCTGATCAAATGGTTGTCCAGTCTATTTTTGAAAACCTCCAGTGATGGAGCAATTCAGTGGAATTATCTTCTGTGCAAACCAGGGGTGGGTTCTAAATTTTTTTACTACCGGTTCTGTGGGCGTGGCTTATTTTGTGGGTGTGGCTTAGTGGTCATGTGACAATTATTTAGGATTTAGCAGAGGTACTGGTCTACCAGGCTTTTAACTGCTTGGTGCAGAGCTGTACCGGTCTACCCATTTATTTTTGCAGGCATTGGTCTACTCATGTATTTTTGCAGGCACTGGTCTACCCATTTATTTTTGCAGGCACTCATGTATTTTTGCAGGCACTGGTCTACCCATTTATTTTTGCAGGCACCAGTCTACTCATTTGTTTTCTTTTAACACTGATCAGCTGTAGGGCAGCCCTTTGAAGCCCCGCGGCAAGAGTTTAAACAGTTTTTTCCCCTCTAGCCGATAGCTGGGACTCAGGAGGCAGCAATAGATTGGGGGTGAGGCCAAATAAAAGGTAAGAATAACGCGGGGACAGAGGGGCAGGGGGGCCCCAGAACCGGTTCAGTGACATTGTATTGTCACCGCTACCGGCTCATTCAAACCGGGCCGAACCGGGAGGAACCCACCACTGGTGTAAACCCATAGAGGATTGCACTGGACATCTCATCTTGACAAGTACAGCTGTTTGTAAATAATCTCACACAGCAGTGTTCTCCAAAGTCAGACTCCTTCAGATCTTCAACTTCCAAACATTCTAATAGAAGTTTAGTTCTGGCCCAGCTCTTCAATCGGAATAGAGCTGGAAGGAACCTCGGAGGTTTTCCAGTCCAACGCCCCACCCTACACAATTTGAGACAAGTAGACAAGAGGGGTGTTAACTTTGTCTGGTTGTATAAAACATAGAAAATAACATTGGAAGGGACCTTGGGGGTCTTCTAGTCCAACCCTCTATACCAGTGATGGTTAACCTTTTTGCCATCGCGTGCCAAAAGCGGGTGGAGTGTGGGGGGGTTGCGCATACGCGTGCCTAAACCCATAATTCAATGCGCCCTATGCATGCGCATGCAACCCCCCCGTGCTCCCCCACTTTTGGCATGTGATGGCCCGATGGGCCCGATAGGCCCCTTTTTCTCCCTCCCCGGGCTCCAGAGGCTTTCTAGGAGCCTGGGGAGGGAGAAAACGGCCTTCGCCACCCTCCACCCCCCCAGAGGCCCTCCAGAGGCCAGAAACAGCCCATTTCCTGACTTCCAGTGGGCCCAGAAGGCCCGTTTTTCACCCTCCCCAGGCTACTAGAAAGCCTCTAGAGCCTTGGGAGGGTGAAAAATGGGCCTTCTGGGCCCACCGGAAGTCAGGAAATGAACCGTTTCGAGCCTCTGGAGGCCCTCCAGAAGCCGGAAACAGCCCATTTCCCGACTTTCAGTGGGTCCAGAAGACCCAAAAATCAGCTGGCTGGCACATGCATGCACACTGGAGCTGGCCAATGCTCACGTGCCCACAATGCTCGCGTGCCATAGGTTCGCCATCGCGGCCCTATACTATTCCAGACAGGTGGCTGTCCAGTCTCTTCTTAAAAACCTCCAGTGATGAAGCAACCACAGCTTCTGAAGGCAAACTGTTCCACTGGTTAATTGTTCTGTCAGAACATTTCTCCTTACTTCTAGGTTGGATGTCTCTTTAACAAGGTTTCACCCATTGCTTCTTGTCCTGCCCTCTGGTGCTTTGGAGAAGAAGTCAATCCCTTCTTCCCTGTGACAGCCCCTCCAGTAATGGAAGACAGTTACCATGTCCCTTCTACTCCTTCTCTTCCATAGGCTAGACATAACCTAACTCCAGGGGTGAAATCCAGCAGGTTCTGACAGGTTCTGGAAAACTGGTAGCGGAAATTTTGAGCAGTTCAGAGAACCGGTAGCGGAAATTTTGAGTAGTTCGAAGAACCGGCAAATACCACCTCTGGCTGGCCCCAGAGTGGAATGGGAATGGGGATTTTGCAGTATCCTTCCCTTGGAGTGAGGTGGGAATGGAGATTTTGCAGTATCCTTCCCCAGCCCTGTCCACCAAGCCCCACCCACTAAGCCAGACCACACCACACCACGCCCACCAAGCCACACCCACAGAACCGGTAGTAAAAAAAAAATGGATTTTCACCACTGCCTAACTCCCTCAACCATTAATCACATGATTTAGCCTCCAGACCCTTTATCATCATCATCATCATCATCATCATCATCATCATCATCATTATTATTATTGGTTAATCTTTAGTGAGATTCACAGCCTTTGAGGCTGGTTAACAGCTCAGCAGCTCGAGTCCTAACCAAGGACCTAGGAACTGTTAAGGTATCGTCGGAGGATGTAAGCTGTTCCGAGTACAGCTTATTATTATTATTTATTTATTTATTTATTTATTTATTTATTTATTTATTTATTTATTTATTTATTTATTTAATTTGTATACCGCCCTTCTCCAGCAGGACTCAGGGCGGTGAACAGCCACGGTAAAACACAACATATAAAATTTAAAAGCAGTTTAAAAGACATTAAATGATTTTGGCCCTCAATTTAAAACAACCCAGTTAAAACCAATTTCAAATTAAAACCCCAAGGATCATATTTGTTGCTCTTCTCTGCAATCCTGCAGCCCATATCATCGACTACCAATTAGCTTTCTCTGAATATTTCTTTATCTTAGGTTCAAGGTGCCTGGGAGAATTCTCTCGCCACCAGCATTGCCAGTCTCAGCTGCCTAATTAAAGTGAGAAGCCCAGAGAAGGAAGATTCGTTGAGCGTGTACCTGAAGAAAGGTATGTACAGAAGAGCTTTAATTACTCTCAGGGTCTGTGCAAGAGAGTTGCACAGACCACCAACAATTTTATGCTTTAGAGCTATGATGCTCAAGTTGAGGTTCAGAAGACGTTGGTGTGGGTTTGGACATCCACTAGATCGGAGTTTCCCACTGTTTTCGGCTTTGCGGACTGGGGTGGGGGGAGAGAGGGGATGGTTCCATGCAAGCAGCCAGCAAGCACGTGTGCACAGCTCCATTTGCACGAGTGGCATGCACGTGTCCCTGCCACTCACTTAAAGGGAGCACCTGCACACGTGCTCGCTCACTTCTTGTACAAGTGAAGATGCACTTGCTCGCATTGCTCTCCAGCTGTTTCCGTGGCCTGGTCCACTAGTGGATGGAGGCCCATAGGTTGGGGAACCCTGCGTTAAATGATCTTCTTGTGGCCCATCAGCCGCTGGTCCCTCCAGCAGCTGAATCAGAGGAGGAGGTGGCGTGGGAATCAGGATCAGCAGCAAGGCAACCTGAGAGCTCTGAGAGGGAAGAGGGAATGAAGCTGGCAGAGAGAGAGAGAGACAGAGGCGGAGCCTGGGCCGTCCATCAGCCCTCAGATGGAGAGTCAACAGCAAGGGTGAAATCCAGCATTTTCTGACAAGTTCTGGAGAACCGGTAGCGGAAATTTTGACTAGTTCGGAGAACCAGCAAATATCACCTCTGGCTGGCCCCAGAGTGGGGTGGGAATGGAGATTTTGCAATATCCTTCCCCCAGGAGTGGGGAGGGAATGGGGATTTTGCAGTATCCTTTCCCTGGAGTGGGGTGGGAATGGAGATTTTTCAGTAACCTTCCCCTGGAATGGGGTGGGAATGGAGATTTTGCAGTATCCTTCCCCTGCCATGCCTACCAAGCCATGCCCACCAAGCCACACCACGCCGACCAAGCCATGCCCACAGAACCGGTAGTAAAAAAAAATTGGATTTCACCACTGGTCAACAGCCCCCAGGTCTGGAGGTGGTTGATGAGGAAGAGGAAGAACAGCTGGGTCCAGTGCCTGACGCACAGATGCACAGAAGGCAGAGGAGAGGAGAGCAGTGGAAATCTATGGGCCGATCCTTGGGACAGAAAAGCCACTGCTGCTAGCGAAGCCCCACCCTAGCTCTGGGAATAAAAGGCAGGAGATGAATAGATGTGGCAGAAAACTATTTATCTCCCTGCAGGACAGACTTGTTAGCCTGCATTGAGAGAGAAACTTTTTGCCGGGACTGTCGGCACTCCTAATTAAAGGAATCTTTGGGTTCACTTCAGAGGGTTTGTCGTGTTTGGGGAGATGGGTCAGGACAGATCTTCCTAAGCTGGCCGGTCGCTGGTCACCACCAGCCTCGCTGCCTCCCTATGTTTGCTGCCGGTCAGTAAGTTTGTGAAAACAGATCAATGGTTAAAAAATGAATTCCTTGAAGCACAGAAGCCTACGGATCAATACAAGTAACAATATCAGTATAAGTAGTCCTCAGCTTGTGACCATTCATTTGACAATGATTCAAAGTTACGATGACCTCAAAAAAAACCCCCCTGTCCTTGCACTTAATAATAATCAGAAGTTGCGACCACGATGGGCAGGCTCCATGACGGTCATAATCTGAGGACTATGTCAGTGGTGGGTTTCAAATTTTTTTACTACCGGGTCTGTGGGCATGGTTTGGTGGGCGTGGTTTAGTGGGCGTGGCTTAGTGGGCATGGCAAGAGAAGTATCCCACCCCACTCCGGGGGAAGGCTACTGCAAAATCCCCATTTCCTCTCGATCAGCTGGAACTTGGGAGGCAGAGAATAGATGGGGGCGGGGCCAGTCAGAATTTTTACTACCGGTTTGCCAAACTACTCAAAATTTCCGCTACCGGTTCTCCAGAACTGGTTAGAACCTGTTGAAACCCTGTCAAGTATTTGCAAGCCATTAGCACATGTGTCATATAGACACTAGTGGAGGCAGAGAGTGTCTCCACCCCTATGTGGAAAGGAGGGGCTTACCCTGAGTATAAAACCCCCTCCAACCTTTTCCACCTTGCTCTCTCTCTCTCTCTCTCTCTCTCTCTCTCTATCTCTCTCTTTTCATGTTTGTTCCTCATGAGACTTGATCTCTGTTGTACATAGTTAATATGATTTATTATATGAATAAATACATTTAAGACATTTATTTATGCATCTGCCTCTGAACTCTTCTATGCTCCTGGGTGTTTCTATGATCCCAACTCCACAAACCCATCTCTGGACTACGTGTACAACAGAGAGCAGTTTAAAAAGTTCTACCTCACTTCAAGCCAGGAGCAAGTAACTTTTTTTAAAAAAAAAAAAGATAGGATTTTTGGAATTTTGACAGTGTGTTGTGGACATTCTCACAAAGTCATTCCAACGAAGGGAGTAGGCTATTAGAAACAGTTGCCCCTTTGTTTCCAGGACAAGAATTCACGACAGTGGGAGTCAAGACATTTGAGAAGACTGATTTCCAGGATGTTGTTTCTGGCGTGTACAGCATTTCGGTTGTATCAGCATCTGGTACATCTTTGACAGATGTTCATCTCTTCTGCCGCCAAGCCTGCCACCAAGATGCTTGCTGTGATGGCTTTATCCTAAGCCAGCTCATACTTGATGGAGGTAATTGTTTAGGCTACAGCTGGGGATGAGAAGGTCATAATTTCTTTTACACTATGTGCTTAGGAGTTCTGCCACTGGAGTAGTAATCAAGTTTTTTTTTATCTTAACAACAACATAAGTGATAAAGTTCTATGTGATTAATTTCAAGATAGGGTAACTTGTGATGACATTTTATTAGTCAGTGATAATGGTTAAGCTTGCAGATGTTACAGTTTATAATTCAGGAAGTGGTGTGCAAACTTTCTGGAATGTGAGAGTAATTGAAAAGAAAATGGAAGAATTGCCATTTCTTCCTCCATTGGAGTTTGTTCTTGTTGTTCTTTTAAATGTTTATAAACATGTCAGTGACTTTGAAAACATCTTTCTAGCCCAGGGATCTACAACCTTAAACACTCAAAGAGCTATTTGGACCCATTTCCCACAGAAAAGAAAACACCGGGAGCCACAAAACCCTTCCCGTGCCTGACTATTTCTTGAGTGGCCACAAAACTAGTATATATAGTTGAATTAAACGTTCTGTTTTCTTCTGAAACTTTCTTTTCTTGGATTTATCCATAGTTGGCCTACCAGGGGTTGAAAAGCTCAATAAATTGTGCGTGCACATTGGCGGTTGTGACGCATATTTTGAGTGATAGGGACCCACAGCAGAGGGGTGAAAGAGCGACATCGGGCTCCAGACCACTGTTCTAGCCAAACTAGGATTGGGGAGAAACAAATCTAAATCCTCACAACTGTGAAGCCAATTAGGCTGGTGTGGGTTGCTGGGAATTCGCAGGGGTTCGGGAAAACCTCTAGCAAAGATTCTGTGCAGTTTGGAGAACCCCCAAATCCCACTCCTGGCTGGCCCCGCCCACCACGCCTCTCCCCTCCCGTCCCAGGAGTCCCCACACGGCCTGTTTTGGATGCAGGTAAGAGGTTTGATACTGTTTTCGCCCTCCCGGAGGCTCAAGAAAAGCCTCTGGAGCCCAGGGAGGGCAAAAATGCCCCCCCAATGGTGCAGGAGGCCGACAAGGCCACGCCCACCATGGCCACGCCCACTCAGCAACCGGGGAGAGAACCCCTTGCTAAAATTTTTGAAGCCCAGCCCTGCAACTAGGTGATCTTACGTCAATCTGAATTTCTCAGTGTTGTTGTGAGGTTGAAATGTGGTGGAAGAAGGACCAAGCTGGCTGCCTTGATTCCATTACAGAAAAGGCAGGATGTAAGTTGAACAAAGCAAGAAAATGTTGAAAAATAAAATACCCTTACAGTCAAGAATCCTTCAAATGCCCTAATTAAAAATACATACTGATACACAATTTCAGAATCAAATTCAGAAGTTCAGATAAGGGATGAATGGACCATACTTCGCTCCATTTACCCAAGTTTTCCAGACCATTTATGAATATATCAGAATTGGACTGAAATATACAAGGGGAGTGAGAATCACTGGAATGTGAGGTACATATCTTTCAGGTATTATTATTTTTTTTTTGACACTCCTTGGAATGACCATGTAACTGCACAATATTTCAGTCTCTGGCTTCCCTTGGGACCATGCTGAAATTGTAGATCTATTCTGTGATAACAGAGGTGTTCCTCTGTAGTGTGAGACATATATCTAGAGGCATCTCTCTCTTTTTTTGACACTCCTTGAATGACCATGTAACTGCACAATATTTCAGTCTCTGGCTTCCCTTGGTCTGTGCTGAAGTTGTAGATCTAATCCGTGATACAGAGGATATTCCTGAAGAATTAGGGTGGCCCCGTGTCTTCTCGAGCTTCTTGAATTTCCAAGATGAATTGAATGGAATGAGTTCTTTTATACTTCCTATGAACGGGAAAAGCAAGACTTTTCCCCTTCTTAGCAGAATTACTGAGAAGGTTAATTGAACACTTCTCCAAATTTTCACTGCCAAGATCAAACTATTATTAGATTCAGAAACAAAGTAAATAGAACTGAATCCTGTAAATTTTTCTTCCTTGCATCCAGGCAGTATTGCTTGTAGCCTGCTGAGTTCTCCAGGTGCTTTGATCTGCAACCTTAATGACTGGGATGGAAGCTCAACGCGTCAGCAAGGTGACATATGTCAACGTGCAAAGTACAGTGAAGGGAAGAGCCAATACACAGTCAGAATTGGAGACCAAGTGCTTGCTGGAGGTAAGTGAGTAAGTTAATAGATTGGGCAACCATTTGACTAGATAGTGTAATTAACAGATTAACAGAGTTGGAAGGGACCTTGTAGGTCATCTAGTCCAACGCCCCACCCAAGCAGGAGGTCCTACACCATTTCTGACAGATGGCGGTCCAGTCTCTTCTTGAAAGCTTCCAGTGATGAAGCTCCCACAACTTCTGAAGGCAACTTCTATTCCATTGGTTGATTGTTCTCACTGTCAGAAAATTTCTCCTTATTTCCAGGTTGAATCTCTCCTTCTTCAATTTCCATCCATTGTTCCTTGTCTGGCCTTTGGGTGTTTTGGAAAATAGCTTGACCCCCTCCTCTCTGTGGAAACCCCTCAAATATTGGAAGACTGCTATCATGTTTTCCCTGGTCCTTCTCTTCACTAGACTAGCCATGCCCAGTTCCTGCAACCGTCCTTCATATGTTTTAGCTTCCAGTCCCCTAATCCTCTTGGTTGCTCTCCTCTGTAGTCTTTCTAGAGTCTCAATATCTTTTTTATAGTGTGATGACCAAAACTAAATGCAGTGTTCTAGGTGTGGTCTTACTAAGGCTTTATAGAGTGGTATTAGTACCACATTTGATTTTGATTGTATCCCTCTGTTAATGCAGATAAGGATTGCATTGGCTCTTTTGGCTGTTGCTGCACACTGCTGGCTCATATTTAGCTGGTTGTCCAGTAAGACTCCAAGATCCCTCTCACAGTCACTGCTATTAAGCCTGGTTTCAGCCAGTCTATATGTGAATAAGTACATGTCACTCAAGCCCTGATCATCTCCTATTTGGAATTGCAACACACTCTACGCGAGGTTACCCTTAAAACGTTTCTGGAAGCTTCAGTTGGTACAGACTGCAGCTGTGTGAGCAATCTTGGATACTCCAAGGATGGTGCATGTAACACCTTTGCTCTGGGAGCTGCATTGGGTACCAGTTTGCTTCCAGGTCCAATTCAAGGTATTGGTTATGATCTATTGGCTGGCAGGACGATGTAGGCAAGTATGGTTCCCCATTCTAGATCCAAACCTTGAGTCTTTAATTCTGCATTCATCCGTATTTCAAAATCAGCAGATTTGCTGCGTTATTTATTTTTTATTCTGCCCTCTGATGCTCAGAATGGATGCCAATGGCAACTCCTTGGAAAAGGAAAGCAAAATATGTTTTCTTTCTTTCTTTCTTTCTTTTTAGCTTCTGAGCTTGCAGAAGACATAGAAAAATTCTTCATCGGCTTCCAGCGTGTTTATTTCTGGAAAGGTAGGAGATTTGGGGGTGATTTGCCAGGTGTCAAAAGGTAGAAGGAAGATGTCCAGATATGTGTCTCAGTAGAATGGGGGTCAGTTATGTCTTTTATGGGCGGAATATTCAGATGGGCCTATTATATAATTATATAATTTTATTACACACATGTACAAATAAATGTACGCATGCATAAATGTATACATGCACACAAATGCACATTCATATGCAGATGGCCAGCTAGGTGGCAGCACCTAGTTACATTTGGCTTATCCAAGAAGGCTAGATAGAGCTAGATTTCATTATTATTTTTATGGGTAACAAACCAGGAAACCTTCCGTTTGTTACTTTAAAGCAGGGGTCTCCAACCTTGGCAACTTTAAGACTTGTGGACTTCAACTCCCAGAATTCCTCAGCAAAGCTGGCTGAGGAATTCTGGGAGTTGAAGTCCACAAGTCTTAAAGTTGCCAAGGTTGGAGACCCCTGCTTTAAACCGTCCAAGCCAGTACAACTGTAAGGACATATTCATGTATTCATGAGGAGTTGAGGCTTGCTGATTTAGGTTTTTTTTAGATGCCATTTCATTCGTAGCCTTCTCCCTTCCTCGTTATCTTTGTTATTTGTTAATGTGAATATTTGTGTTTCTTAATGTTTTACCCTGTTGTTTCTATTTTGTTGTGAGCCGCCTAGAGCTGGCAGATGGCAAGATGGGCGGTAAATACATTTAATAAACAAATAAGCCTATTTGATGCATGCATAAAAGTTGTAAAACACTTGAATTATTTTGCAGGCATCTCCTTGTTTAGATGTTCCAATCTGATTTGGAAACTTCCTTCAGCTTGGAATTGCAGTCAGGTGCATAGCCTTGTTTGCCTGCCTGCCTACTGCTCCTCCTCTCTCTCTCCCTCCCTCCCTAATCTATATGTCTGTCTGTCTGTCTGTCTGTCTGTCTGTCTGTCTGTCTTTCTGTCTGTCTGTCTGTGTCCATACTGCTTCAACACTCAGCTGAAGTAGACGTACGGACAGCTGTTAGACAGAATCCTTCTAATTTAAATAGAAATCCAACTGATGTTACTGCTTATATGAAAGATTGTAGACTAAGACCTGTACCTGGCATCCGTATGGCTCAAAAACCTCCCCATTAAAGAGAACCTTGAAGACTTAAAATTAATGTTAATTTAAGTTTAAACTGGACTTGACAAGGCAGCCCTTCTTAAAATCAGACTAGGCTGTCATGCTTTCAAAGATTGGGCTGTCCTCCATATAGGAAACATGTCATATTCCAGGTTAGGGTGTTTCATTTTCAATCTCCTCTCAGATTATAATTCCCTCCCCCCCTCCATTGGTAGCTCCTGAGCATTTCAGGTCTACGGTAACTCGGCTTTTAATTGCCTTCCTGTCCAAGAGAATAACAGTATTAAAATATGGCTTAGTTTCTGCTTAGGGGACACAAAGGCTCAGTGGTTAAAGATGCTGAGCTTGTCAGCTTGTCAGGCTGGGTTTGAGACCTAAACACAGTGTGATGGGGTGAGCCCCCGTTACTTGCCTCAGCTCCTGCCCACCTAGCAGTTTGCAAGCATGCAAATGCAAGTAGATTAATAAGTACCACTTTGGTGGAATGGTAACAGAGTTCTATGCGCCTTAATGTATAGTCATGCTGCCCACATGACCATGGAAATTGTTCAGACAACTCTGGGTCCGTCAGCTAAGAAACGGAGACAAGCAACACCTACTAGAGTCAGACATGACTGGATAAGGAAAACCTTTACCTCTAGCTAGTTTCTGCTTGATTGCCTCTAGATTCTGACATGATGACCCGCATTGGATCTACCATGTGTGATGCTATTCTTGTTCCACCACAGTCTAAGTCTCTTCTGTCAGGTAGGTATGGGCCACTCATCTAAATTTGTAGAAGTAGACTTTTCACAATAAAAGAACTGCTCTCCTCAATCTGTTCTTCTCTAAATGTGTTCAGATTACAACGCTTATACTATCCAAGGGAAGTCTGAACTTGGGATGTGGGGATTTGTAGATGCAACCCGCGTAGAGGATGCCAGTTTAGAAGAAAGCCAATGATGAACATTGGTAGTGTTTGGCTTGGTTTTCTTCTCTGTTCCTCTGATGCATTTTAATGTTTTCTTTTAAAGAAAATGTTAAAATTTAACTGTCAAACATTGGGCTGTCCTCCATAAAGGAACCTTGTTGTCAGGTTTTCAGGCTGTCTTCAAATAAATTGCATCGCAAACAAAGTCTTTTATAAAACAAATTTCCATTTTATTAAGCACAGCACTTTTTACACCGACTCGTTGCAGCCGGCACTGACGTGCTGACCCAAAACCCCTCCTCTTCCTTCCCCCACTCCTCTGCATTCATTGGCCATCTTCCCAATCATTCACCCCTAATCTACTGCTCCAATTCAAAGAATTTCCCCCCTCCCATCCATCTCCTAGGGGACATTATCTCCAGAGGAAATAAGTAGGTGAAAGGCAACCGTCCCGTTGCAGACGCCTGCGTTCTCCTTCTTATGTCAGCACTAGGATAAATGCATCTTGACGTGCTGACACTTGTCATATTCCAAGTTCATAATAAATCATAAATCCATCATAAAATGTTTATGATGACTATGATCATAATTTATCACTTACAGTATATCTTTTATGTACATTGAGAGTCCAATCATACTTGGCTAATAAAGAATTCTATTCTATTCTATTCTATTCTATTCTATTCTATTCTATTCTATTCCATTCCATTCCATTCCATTCCATTCCATTCTAAAATCTGTTCTTTTCCCTATAAACATGAAAGAACTCTAAGACACAATTTTTATCTCTAGCTGGTTACACAAAGATTACTCTTTTAGTTGATGCACCACTAAGCTATCACAGTTGGGCTCCCAAGGTTTTGTGTGAACCATTGTGTCTTTTTGAGAAAGTTTCTGATTTATTGTTTATTATTTATTGGAACAGAAACATTGAGGGGCTACTTAAAAGTGGGCGGGGTAGTTTTCATACGATGTATTAAAACCTCATGTGTGTTCTCATCGCTTTGTGTTCATTAGCTTCTACCAAGGAACTCTTTTCTATAGTGGAAAGCGACCAAATATTGACCGAACCGAATCGTTCTCTGCCATCCCAAAAATACTGGCTTTTCAAACAGAGCTACTCAACTGAAGAGGCTGTTCTCTGGTGTCTCACACGTAAGAAACTTTAAGTTCTGGGGAAATGGTCATACTACTAATTAATCAAGGTCTTGGACATGGTGTAATCTTTCTAGAATGTTTACCACGTTCTCCAAGCATATCAAGAGAGAATAAAAACCCAAAAGCTAATTTTAAAAAAAGTTGACCCTAAAGTTGATGTGAGAATATTTTAACTTACTGCATCTGTGTATGGTTTGCCAATTGCACAGTGGCAGACAGGACAGGACTCCAGAGGGTTGACGTCATTGCCCAGAGGATCGTTGGTTACCCTCTCCCCTCCTTGGAAGAGCTTTATAGCTCCCGCTGCCTTAAGAAAGTTCAAAACATTCTTAAAGATCCATCTCATCCTGAGCACCCTTTTTTTTGAACTATTACCATCTGGCAGACGGTACAGGACAATAAAAACAAGGACAAATAGGCTGAAAAACAGCTTCTATCCCAGGGCAGTAACTATATTGAATTCTACTGTATAGCACAATATTAATGCAATATTGTGTTTTCAATTCAATTGTGTAGAATGCGAAGGATGGGTTCTTGTGTTTTATTTTTATAGTTATAATGTACACTGAAGATGGCATTTAATTTTGTTGTACGAGGTGCAATGAGAGCAAAGCAAAGCAAAAAGCAAAGCAAACTAAACTAAACTAAACTAAACTAAACTAAACTAAACTAAACTAAACTAAACTAAACTATAAAACTGATAGCTGGCTGAGACTTTGAGAATAAATGGTCTTCCCCAGGGGTGAAATGCTCCTGGTTCGGACCGGATTGCCCGATCCGGTAGCGATGGTGGCGGGTGGTTCGGAGAACCAGTAGCAAAAATCCCTGCGCCCCCCCCACCATGCTCAGCTGAGTCGCACGATCATCAGAGGCTTTTTTTTTTTTTACTTTTCAAAGCATTTTTTCTACAACCTCTTCCGACGAAAAAATGCTTTTAAAACTAAAAAGAAAAAAGCCTCTGATGATCGCGCGGCTCAGCTGGGATCCTCAGAGGCTTTTCAAAGCATTTTTTTCTGCAACCTCTTGGCCGAAGAGGTGGTAAAAAAAATGCTTTGAAAAGAGACTTTTTAAAGCATTTTTTAAAATGCCTCTCTGATGATCCCAGCTGAGTTGCCTGATTGCCAGAGGCTTTTCAAAGCATTAGAAAAAATGCTTTGAAAAGTTTTTTTAAAAAAAAGTTGGCCACGCCCACCCAATCACATTACACCCCCCCACCAAGCCACGCCCACAGAACTGGTAGTAACACATTTTACATTTCACCCCTGGTCTTCCCTATTTCTATAGAAATATAGAATAGAGATAAAATATAGCATTGTGTGACAAGGATAGATTAATTCCTGTATTATGATAACATATGGGGAATTCCATGACTGAGAATAGTGTCCGCCTTCTTATCTTGATGTTTCCCAGATATTTTATTCTGTCGTTCCCATCATCTCTGACCACAAACAAAAATTCCAAATTTTCTGGGGAACCTTCTAAAAAGGTTGAGTTTTGTAACATCTGCTTCTTTCAACATGGTTTTAGTCATGCAAAGCTGGAGGAGGAAACTTCCATGATTAATGCCTGGGAAAAGAATATTTCTTTTAGGATTTTAGGACACAAAATAATTCCTTGTAAGTTTTTTTTTCAAGAGGCTCTGGAAATAAAGGAAGTTCCTTAGAAGATTGGTGTGAACCTCTATATAGGTAGACCTCGACTTATGACCACAATTAGGACTGAAACTTCCATTACGAAGTGATGCGGTCATTAAATGAGTCACACCCAATCCGAATGACCTTTTTGGCCATGATCACGAAGTGAACCATGCAGTTGTTTCATGTGGTCGTTAAATGAATCTGGTTTCCCCCCGTTGACTTTGCTTGTTGAAAGCTGGCTGGGGAAGTTGCAAACGATTGTAAATGCATGCCGGTTTCCGAGAGCCCAAATTTTGATCATGTGACCATGGGAATGCTGCAATAATTGTAAGCGCAAGGACTGGTTGTAATTCACTTTTTTCAGTGTCATTGTCATTGGAACCGTTGCTAAATGAATGGTTGTTAAATTGAGAACTACCTGTAAAAGCTTTCATCAATCTGAAGTTTTCTAAGTCTGTTGGGCTTATAATTCCCAGAATTTTTAGCTATTGTGGCAAAAAATCCTTTAGAAGGTAATCTTTTAGAAGGCTATTCTTCTACCACCATGATGGTGAACCTACAGGTGGCACGCAGGGCCATATCGGTGGGCACACGAGCTCAGCTTCGGCGCACATATGTGTGCTGGCCAGTTGATTTTCGGGCCTTTTCCACCCACTAGAAGTAGGGAAACAGGCTGTTTTCGGCCTCTGGAGGGCCTCCGGGGTGGGGTAGGGAAGCCCGTTTTCGCCCTCCCCAGGCTTCTAGAGAGGCTCTGGAGCCTGGGGAGAGCAAAAAACGGGCCTACTGGGCCCAACGTGCCATCGCGTGCCAAAAGCAGGGAGAGCATGGGGGGATCGTGCACCCATGTGCGGGGGGCAGGGTGCATAGAATTATGGGTGTGGGCACATGTGTGTGCGACCCGCCCCACATTCCCCCCGCTTTTGGCACACGATGGCAAAAAGGTTAGCCATCATTGTTCTACCATATTAGAATGTAAGAATTCATCATCCCAAGTTTTAGAAGAAAACTTTAGGAACTGCTTAATCAGTCAGGAATAGCTTGCAGAAGATCAGGCAGAGCCTGGGGATGGAGTTAAGCAAGTAATCAGCCTAGAATTCTTACATTCCCACAAATGTTCAACCCCCACTTAAACTCTGTTGACTCTTGTCTGGTGCCAATTTAGTGCTAACAGTTAGGAGACTAGACTCTTGTGAAGAGGCGTGAACAATAAATCATTTGAACTGGAACTCTATGTGTGGTCATATGTGTGTGTGTGTGTAAATAAACATTTTTGTTCCATTTTTTTCAATCCAACAAACTAGGACAGTTGCAAAAAAATCAGGACCATACATAGAGTCTATAAATATAATTTAAATATATAAATTAGGTAGGCCATTTGAAAATGGCTGGGTTGCAATTATTTATTCGTAACAAGGGAGGAATTACAGGTAGCCCTCAACTGACAACAGTTCAACTTAGTGACCGTTCGAAGTTATAACGGCACTGAAAAAAGTGATTTATGACCATTTTTCAGGCTTCTGACTGTTGCGGCATCCCCCTGGTCACCTGATTTACATTTGGATGCTTGACAACTGACTCACATTTATGACGGTTGCGGTGTCCCTGGGTCATGTGATCACCTTTTGCAACCAATGGGGAAGACAGATTCATTTAACAACCGGGTCAATGGGGAAACTAGATTCACTTAACAAATGTGGCAAGAAAAGTCGTACAACGGGGCACATTTCTCACTTAGCAACATAAATGTTGGGCTCAATTGTGGTCCTAACAGTGGTGGATTGCTACAGGTTCACGTGAACCAGTAGCGGCAGCAGCGGGAGGCTCCACCTACCCGCCCGGACATTATCAAATACACTCTGCGCATGCGCAGAAGTGGCACACACACGAACCGGTAGCAAAGGTAAGTGTTGTGGCCTGTCAGCGGCCAGTGCAGCTAGTACTGATTCCGACAGTGAGGAGGCTGGTGTGGTGCTGCGCCAGCAGCCTGTGCAGCTGGCACTCGAGTCAGACAATGAGGAGGCTGGAGAAGATGTGGTGCCAGAGGCGGGGATTCAGCCAGGGCTTTCAGAACCTCCAGAAGCTCCTTTAAGTGAAGAGGATGAAGAGGAGGAGCCTCTTCTCGATGCACGGGCACACAGAGCTGCCAAAAGGCAGGAGTAGCTCCTCAGGAGGAGGCTTGGGGCTAATTGGCCACTCCCTTAGCCTATTTAAGGAGGAACGGCGACTGAAGCAATTTGTAGGGAACAACTTAGTTCACATAGCTTTGTGTCTTGTCTTGTTTATCTTATCAGCTTCCTGCAAATTGCTTCTGGGCATTCTGCCAACCATAGTAAGCTTTCAGTATTATTCTTTGAATTCTTGGCGGCTGTTAATGCAGTTAATTAACAGCCGTTGTAAAAATCTGGTTTATTTAATAAACTAAATAAAGTTTGTGTGTGCTGCGTTCTTTGGGGTCCGTAGCTGGGGCAGAACAGTAAGTGAAACCGACCACTGGGTCATAAGGTAGTTGAGGACTACCTATTATAAAAATGGTAACCATGAATTTTTTGTCCTCTATTCCAGGTTGTAGAGAGGATGAGTTTTGTCTACTGGCCGATATCCCGAATAACCCAGACACAGCCTTCTTTCCTTGCACCCTCTATCCAGCAGCCCAAGTCTGCAACACTTCCATTAACAATGTCCCCAACAACTGCAAGATTGTGTTACCTCAAAAGCCCCAATTTTTATATCAGAAGAGAGGTGAGCTAATGGGCCTGCTAACTCCTTCTTATTCCCTATATAACAGGGAAGGAATGAGGGAGAGATTTCTTGATTGTAAGAACTGGATTGCTTGGGGATTAAATCTTGGGATGAAAACTCCTGATTCTTTTTTTTTTTTTTTTACGGTTGATTTTGCAGCATCTCTTGAAGGGAGCGTCAAGAATTTTTACACCCGTCTACCGTTCCGTAAAATATCAGGAATCTCTGTAAGAAACAAGATGGATATGTCTAGGAAAACGGTATCAAAGGGGTAGGTTTTTTTCCCGTTGTGTTGCATGTATGGCCCAGGGGTGGGTTCTAAATTTTTTTTACTACCGGTTCTGTGGGCGTGGCTTATTTTGTGGGTGTGATTTGATGGTCATGTGACAAACAATTCTTTAGGATTTAGCAGAGGTACCAGTCTACCAGGCTTTTAACTGCTAACAGGTCTACTCATTTGTTTTTGGAGCGCACCGGTCTACCTATTTGTTTTTGGAACATACTGGTCTACCACCACACTGCCTTTTACCGCTGATCAGATATAGGGCGGCCCTTTGAAGCACCGCGGCAAGAGTTTAAACAGTTTTTTGCCGCTCTGCCACCACCGAGAGCATCAGAAACCACTTTCAGGCAGCTTGGCCTCAATTCACAGGAACATGTGAATGTTTTAAAAATGTTATCTAATTTTAGGTTCTATTTAATTGGGCCAAACTATGTTATAATAATAATTTTAATTAGCAATTTTATGATGTTTGTGTATCTATATTTTTCTTGACTGTACACCGCCTTGAGTCCTACGGGAGAAAGGCGGTATAGAACTATAATAAATAAATAATAATAAATAAATTGCCAATCTACCACCACCAAGCGGTTTACAAGGAGCGAATCGGTTCTAGCCGATCAATTGGAAGACTTCTTGGCTTCTCAATTTAAATCTAAAGTGTCTTCTTTGTCAAGTGAGCCCTGATTTTTTCCTTGTAGCCAATCAGATGGGACTCGGGAGGCAGTGAATAGATTGGGGACGGGGCCAGGCAGAGGTGGTATTTACCGGTTCTCCGAACTACTCAAAATTTCCATTACCGGTTTGCAAGAACCGGGGAGAACTGGTAGCAACCCACCACTGGCATGGCCTTTCCCCCCTTTTTTCAACAACTTTAAAAGGCTACAACCTTTGATCAAGGGGTCTCCAAACTTGGCAACTGTAAGACTTACAGCAGTGGAATTCTCGGAGCTGAAGTCCACGAGTCTTAAAGCTGCCAAGTTTGGAGAGCCCCGATCAAGTCCACACGCCAATGTTTCTCAACCCTTGCAACTTTAAGATGATCGGACTTCAACTCCCAGAATTCCCCAGCCACATTTTTACTACAGCTGGATAAACCAGGAATTGAACGGAAGACATTTCAGTTTCATAAAATACATTTAAAATAAATAAATAAATAAATAAATAAATAAATAAATAAATAAATAAATAAATAAATGGACTGAAAGACTTTGGGAAAGTTGCGTAATGGTTTAGCGATAAATACTGAAAATAGTATTAGCCACAAAACTGTCAGGAGATGACTCAAAGGCCTGTTGGATAAATATTGTGAAATGTGTGTACTCCATCACAGTGATTAGCAATCTTTTTTATTTTGGGTTCTGCTTGCAAAGTCTGAAACATTTTGAGAAAATCTAAGATTTTGAGACAGTCATATGGTATTTTATAGAATTTGAGCTAGGTTGCCTCTTCCACTTCTGTCTGTCTGTTTTCCCACCTACTATCCAGGGGTGAAATCCAGCAGGTTCTGACAGGTTCTGGAGAACCAGTAGCGGAAATTTTGAGTAGTTTGGAGAACCAGCAAATACCACCTCTGGCTGGCCCCAGAGTGGGGAGGGAATGGAGTTTTTGCAATATCCTTCCCCTAGGAGTGGGGAGGGAATGGGGATTTTGCAGTATCCTTCCCCTGGAGTGGGGTGGGAATGGAGATTTTGCAGTATCCTTCCCCTGCCATGCCCACCAAGCCACGTTCACCAAGTCACACCCACAGAACCGGTAGTAAAAAAAAATTGGATTTCACCACTGCTAGTACCTATATCATCCAAGGAGATAGCAATAGCACTTAGACTTATATACCGCTTCACAGTGCTTCACAGCCTCCTCTAAGTGGTTTACAGAGTCAGCCTATTGCCCCCAACAATCTGGGTCCTCCTTTTACCCACCTCAGAAGGATGGAAGGATGAGTCAACCTTGAGCCTGGTGAGATTTGAACTACTAAATTGCAGTCAGCCGGCAGGCAGCAGAAGTAGCCCTGCAATAATGCACTCTAACCACTGTGTCACTGCGGCTCATGAAAGTGAGATGTTCTCATTTTGGGTACACCTTGAACAGGTATTATTATTATTATTATTAGCTTATGGCATTGTTACATTAGCCAGGAGACCACAGTGCTATTGCAGAGTACTAGTTTGGCTGCCAAGATACCAGTTCTGTTGTAGGAAACGCACCCACACTTCTCAAGGTGCACCACAGGTGGGTAAGCTCATTAATACCAGAAAGAAAGATGAGTGGTTGTTTCTGTAGTGTTATTCAAGGCCTCCTCCCTCCCTGGAGCCACCTTGCAAACAGGGGCCGCAGTTAGGAAGGTTCAGAACCATCAGGAACCTGACAGCCTGCACAGAGCATCCGCTCGTCTCCCCACCAAAGTGGTACCTATTTATCTACTCGCATAGAATATGCTTTTGAATGGATAGGTGGACAGCAGCTGAAGTGAGTGATGGGAACTTGCCCCACCATGCAGTGCTAGGACTCGAACCGCTGGATCAGAGACCATCTCCAGGATCATTAAGCCATTGAGCCACCATGCCTCTTACCTTACCACATTATAATCATATATACAATGCACTTTGAGCAAGATAATAAAATCCCTCTGTGACATTGCTGGGTCCCAGTTGTTCATTTAAATTTTACTGTAGACATCTGCTCTCTCCGATATCTTAAAAAATCATTAACTTCTGCTTTACAGATTGTTTTTTTTAAAAAAAATCCCAGTGGGATTGATAAATTGATATTCTTGTTATTTGCTTCTGGTTTGGAATGCAAGTTTCACTCAGAATGCTGAGTTCCAAAAACGATTTATCTCTCTTGATGAAGTATAGAAGCTTCCTGTTGATTTCTCAGGAATTAAGATGCGAAACGTGTTCATTTTCTTTTGTTTTTCACATTCTGTCTTTCTTTCTTTCTTTCTTTTTTCCCCATTCAGATTTTTTGACTGTGAACGGCTTTGCGACACTGATCCTTGCTGCTCGGGTTTTGGACTTCTAAATGCTTCCCAAGACACGGGTATTTTTTTTTAAAAAAAATTCATTCATTATAAGCCTTGCAGATTTTTTTTTTTTCTGGTCTTTTCCCCTAGGTAATCTGGAACCTATTTCATTGTGGTTCTCAGTGTGTAAACAGACTCCTGCGTGCTGGTTTGAGCCATGTACCCTCTAATGATTCTGGATAAGGGAGGAAATGGGGAAAGTGGATTTATTTTTCTAAGAACCTGCAGCCAAAAATCAGGCACCGTAGAAGTTTCAACGGAAAGGGCTGGTTCTGTAGCCAGCAACTTACATCCTACTTTGCTGCTTCTGTTGCTGATTAATTTAAGTTTTTTGGAAAAGGCAAGTAGAAGACAGAGGATCAGGCTATTTCTTTCTGATCAGAACTGCACTTTGGACCTGAAGAGAGAACGAATGTATACAGGTAGTCCTTGATTTACAACCGTTCATTTAGTGGCCATTCAAAGTTACCCTAACTCAGGAGTCAGCAACCCGTGGCTCTGGAGCCGCATGTGGCTCTTCCATCCTGGGGATCCCTGTCACCGGTTGGCTCCACAATTTATAGGGCTTTTGGTTAGGACAGGTAGAGGAAAAAGGATGTTGCGCTAGGAGGAGACTCTATGGTGGGGTAAATGGACTTCCGGTCGGCTCCAGAATTGAATGGGGGGCTTCTGGTCTGTGTGAAAGATGGTCATCAGTCACTTTTTTCCCAGTGCCATGGTAACTTTGAACGGTCACTAAATGAACCATTGTAAATTGAGGACTACCTGTATTTGGCTGGACAATGTGAATAAGACATCCTACAGGGAATCCTGGAATCCCAAAAGAATCTCAGCAGTTCAGTTATTTGTAAATATTAGGTGGGGGGGTGTCTTGTGGTGAGAGTAGAAGTTAGGGCTAGGGCAGGGATCGGCAACCTTAAACACTCACAAGCTCAGCATCTTAGCCACTGAGCCACCGCGGCCCAAGTCAAAGAGTACCTGTATGCATTTGTGAAACTGGCCATAAGGAAGTAAAAGCAGGTCAGGTTGACAAAGTCATTGGTTCATGGCCATCAAGTGCCATCAAGTCATTTTCAAGTCAACCAGATACAGTTAATAAATGAGGGATTGACAGAAAAAATTGATATTACAAAAGGGGTTAGGCAAGGGTGTCCCCTTTCTCTTCTATTTATTTTATCACTTGAAACTCTTATAATGAAAATTAGGGAAGATCAGGAAATAAGGGGCTTAAAAATTAAGAAGGAAGAATACATGATTCGACTTTATGACATTTTTGCTAAAACATGTTGGTTGTTCCAAATGTGTTGCCATTTTTTTTTCTGACTGCCAGGTTACGCTGCTAATTTTACGACAGCAAGCCATCTCTCTATCAACTAGAATGTTTTTATTTCTTTCAATGTGTTTATATTGGATTATTTAAAAATGCCAATCATCTATAGAAATTTATAGAAAAATAATGACAACCATCACTATTTTTCCCATTTCAGACAGCAAGATCTTGTGTTTGACTCTGGGCAGTTTGGGAATTCAAACCTGCAGTGACGAATTAAGAAGTGATTGGCAGATTTCTCCTTGTACGTCTCTGGAAACTGAGGCCAAGGTGCATCCCTTCGGCTGGTATCAGAAATCCTGTGAGTACCAAATCTCTCCTTGATTGGTTTCCATCCATTGTTTCTTGTTCTGCCCTCTGGTGCTTTGGTAAATACAGTAGGTTGACCCCCTCCCCTTTATGGTAACCTCTGAAATACTGGAATACTTCCCCCAACAATCTGATTCTTGATTTTACCAACCTCAGAAGGATGGAAGGATGGGTCAAGTTTGAGCCCATCAGGATCGAACTCCAGACTGTGGGCAGAGTTAGCCTGCAATACTGCATTCTAACCACTACACCTCCAGGGCTTTATTTATTCTTGCTGCATTCCTTTGTTATTGTTTATTTGATTGCTCTATTATTTTACTTCTCTTCTGTTTACACTCATGCCATTTTTCTTCCTTTTTATTATTGCAAGCCGCCTACAATAACCCCAGGGCAATGCAGAGGGCAAATGAACTTAACAAGTAAATAGAATAAAATAAAGTAAATAACCATGTTGGATTGAAACTGAGAATGTACACATTCACGTCCATATGTCATACCCGGAAGACTATCCATGTACATAGACATGTTCATGTCCATTCATCATCTTCTGTCAGGATCTCCCCATGCATAGATCTCTTTCAATTGCTAGCTGAAGAGTACGGAGAAGATGGAGCTGCTGTTGGCTCAGCTGTTAAAGACATGGAAAGCTAACAACTCGGGTTTGAGACCCGAGCGCAATGCAATGGGGTGAGCTCCCATTCTTGCCTCATGTCCTGTCACCTAGCAGTTTGAAAGCATGCAAATGCGAGTAGAAAAATAGGTACCCCTTCAGTAGGGAGGTAACAGCCTTCTGTGTGCCTAGATGTGTAGTCATGCTGGTCAGAGGACCATGGAAGTATCTTCAGACAATGCTAACTCCCTCAGCTAAGAAACAGAGATGAACACTGGCCCTTGAGTTGGATAAGACTAGACAGCAGTGGTGGGATTCAGCCAGTTCAGGCCGGTTCGGGCGAACCAGTAGTTAAATTGCTGGCTGGCCCCTCCCCATCCCACCCCTTCCAGGAGTCCCCTTGCACCCCATTTTGGCTCTCAGGTAAATGCAGGGAGGCCTACTAGGCCCAAAACAGGGCAGGGTATGTGTGTGTGTGTGTGTGTGTGTGTGTGTGTGTGTGTGTGTGTGGCATGCCTCCCCCACAGTCCGTTTTCACTCCCAGGAGGCTTCAGGGAGGACTTCTAGATCCAATACGGGGTATGGGGGGCGGTGCCCCCCCGGTCCGTTTTCGCTCCCTGGAGACTTCAGGGAAGCCTCCTAGGCCCAAAACGGGGCAGGGGGTGGCGTGGCCCCCCTACGGCCTATTTTCGTTCCCAGGAGGCTGCAGGGAGGCCTACTAGGCCCAAAACAGGGCATGGGGGAGCGGTGCATCCCCCCCGTGGCCGGTTTTTGCTCCCAAGGGAGTGCAGGAAGCCGAGTGCTGCCTGTCACACCCACTGGCCACGCCCACCATGGCCACACCCACCCAGTCGGTCATTAGGGCTGAGAACCGGTTGTTAAATTATTTTTATTTTCCCAGCACTGCTGGATAGGGAAACCTTATGGAGGAGATGGCAGAAATTTGCAATCCACCCATCCTTAAGACATTTGCCAGAAAACACTTGCCAGAGTTCTGCTTTTCTTGTTTTTAGGATTCAAGGGTAATGAAAGCCACATATTCTTATTTATCCTGCTTGGAAAATCCTCCACATCTTTCCCACACGCTTCCTTACTTTAAGGACCCCCACCCCCCAAAAAAAGGAGAACGAGAAATAAGAACTCTAGCCAAAATAGGTAGAGGGTCCAGATGTAAGATAAATTCCTTCCAGATGTTTCATCTTTCCTGCAATGTGTGTTTTGAACAGATTGCCAGATGTGATCCTAGACAGATTGCCATTTTTGATGGCATGTAAGCCAAAAAAAATCTGAATTACACTTCCGTATAGCATACGTTCCTACATATAGTATGTAGCTGCATAATAAGACACGTATACATAGCTCCAACTTTGCTTTTTAATGGTATCAGAAAATCTACGAGGTTTTCTTATTTTTTAAAAAATTGTACTAGAAAATCTAATCCTGCTTAATAGCAGGTTAGTTGCTGCTTGAGCCTGCGGGAAAGTATTCCATACTGCGTTGGGTACATATGCAACCGATTATTTAAGCAGAGACAGTAAATACTTACAGTCCCAAAAGGCACAGCCAATCTGGAACAGAAAGAAGTTTTACATTTTGCATCTGAACCCTTCTGAACTCTTGCCCAGGGAGTGTGAATTCAGCCTGCAGATGGCTTTTTTTTTCAACAGGCATCAGTATTTTAATCAAAATAATGTTTATAGTTTCTTCATCTTCTTGGAATTGGTAAGTTGTGTTGAGCAATAAGCAGGGATGGGCTTCAAAATTTTTAGCAAGGGGTTCTCTGCCTGGTTGGTGGGCAGGCGTGGCTATGGTGGGCGTGGCCTAGTCTGCCTCCTGCACCACGGCGGGGGGGGGGGCATTTTTGCCTTTCCTGGCTCCAGAGGTATTCCTGAAGTCTCCGGGAGGGTGAAAATGGCCTCCCCAGGCTCCGGAGGCCCTCTGGAGGCTGGAAATGGCCCCATTTCCGGCCTTCCCGAACTTCTGGTAGGCCCATTTTTCACCCTCCCCGAGCCTCTGTGTGCATCCTGCATTTACCTGCATCCAAAACGAGCCGCGTGGGGACCCCTGAGGGGGAGGGGCGGGATGGGAGGGGCCAGCCAGGAGTGGGATTTGGGGGTTTTCCGAACTGCACAGAATTTTAGCTAGAGGTTCTCCTGAACCCATGCGAACCCCCAGCAGCCCACCATTGGCCATTTGTTCTGCTTAAGTAGCAAGCTATTATCAAATCCTATCTGCAAAGGATAGGATCTTTCTGAACTACCAAGGGGTAGAGTATCTTCTAAAGCAGAGGTCTTCAAACTTGGCAGCTTTAAGGCTTGTGGACTTCAACTCCCAGAATTCTCCAGCCAGCTATGCTATGCTGGAGAATTCTGGGAGTTGAAGTCCACAAGTCTTAAAGCTGCCAAGTTTGGGGACCCCTATTCTAAAGCAAGAGAAGTCATTCTACAGGGGGTCCTCGACTTAACAACCACAACTGAGCCCAAAATTTATGTCGCTAAGTGACACATTTGTTAAGCGAGCTTTGCCCCATTTCACGACCTTTCTCGCCACAGTTTGTTACGTGAATCCCTGCCGTTGTTAAGTTAGTAGCACGGTTGTTAAGTGAATCTGGTTTCCTCATTGACGTTGCTTGTCCGAAAGTGGCAAAAAGTAATCTCCCTGACTCCGGAACCGTCTAAATATGAGTCAGTGGCTAAGCATCTGAATTTTGATCACGTGACCATGGGAATGCTGCAACAGTTGCGTGAAAAGCGGTCATAAGCCACTTTTTTCAGTGCCGTTGTAACTTTGAACGGTCACTAAACAAACTGCCTTTTTCCTAATTTTCTTAATTTAATTTAATTTAATTTAATTTAATTTAATTTAATTTAATTTAATTTAATTTAATTTAATTTAATTTAATTTAATTTAATTTAATTTAATTTAATTTAATTTATATGCCGCCCCTTTCCGAAGACTCAGGGTGGCTCACAATACATTTTAAAAAAATCATTATAAAAAACATTTAAAAATTAAAAACATTAAAAACATTAAAAACTCATTCACACCATTCATGATGTCTTCACTTGACACCTTCTTTATATCCTAAGGCAAGATAACAAGCCTTTCTTGAGATCTCCACAAGGTGTGTTTGTTACACATATTTTAAAAAAAAACAACAACAATAGGCAGAGGTTCCATCACACCATCGTGGCTGCCATCTTGATTTTGCTTTTCTAACCATGCTCTGTTCTTTTAAGTGTTCCGTGAATCCTTGTTTCTGTTAATGAAAGTGGTCTCTTTTTTCTTCTTCTCCCCATAGCGATTGTGCCCCGCGTGTGTCCACCCGTTCCTTTACCGGAAAATCAAGAAAAAGGTAAGGAAAACAGATCTTGAGTCAATGGGAGATAATTGAGTTTCAGGTTCCTGAGAACTAGGAGAAGGACTTTGACTTATGACCGCAATTGGGATTTGAACTTCCACAGCTTTTTTTTTTAGTTTTTTATTTATACATTTTTCTTTACCATACATAAGTGCTTAATAAGCAGTGTATTGTCTGAGTCAATATACTCCTGTTTCCCCTAAAATAAGACATCCCTTGATAATAAGCCCAATTGGTCTTTTGAGCGCGTGCGCTAAAATAAGCCCCCCCCGAAAATAAGCCCTCCCTGAAAATATTTAAACACATGCGCAGCTGGTCCCCGCCATTTCCTCTGGTTAGGGTTAGGGAGACAGAGCTGAAATCAGGTAAGATGGCAAATCTTGCTCCATATGCCCCAAAATAATAAGACATCCCTGAAAATAAAGCCAAGCATTTATTTCAGGGTTCAAAAAAAATATAAGACAGGGTCTTATTTTCGGGGAAACACAGCATATAGTAATAACAGTAATAACATTCTTTACTTATACATAATGATATTCTTCCAATTTGTAATTTCTACCTTTGTTATCTAACCATTGGTAAAACAAATCCCACGTTATTAATATTAAAGTATTCTGTATCTTCTTTGTCCTTTATCTTTAATGTTAGCCTTTCCATTTCCGCAAAGTCTAATACCATGTTTCCCCGAAAATAAGACCCTGTCTTATATTTTTTTGAACCCTGAAATAAGTACTTGGCCTTATGGCCATGTGTTCAAAAAGCCTGATTCATCTTATTATCAGGGGATGTCTTATTTTGGGGAAAACAGGGTATTTTTATAATTATATTTTCCTCTGCAGGAGTTTCCTCATTTTTCCAATGTTGTGCAAATACAATTTTGCTGGTGTTAAAACATGTAATATTTTAAATATAATATAACCCTTTATCATATTTTTCTGGCAGTATACCTAACAAAAATATTTTAGGTCTATATGTTGTTTTATCATTTTCTCTACCATGTATGTATTTTCATCCAATTTTTTTGGGTATGTCCATCACATATGGTAGTATGAGTATGAAAGTCCACAGCTATATAATGTCATTAAGTGAGTCGCACCAGATTTTATGACCTCTTTCAACCTGTTCATTAAGCAAATCACTGCAGTTGTTAACCTGAGCCATCCAGTCATTAAGGAAAACTGGCCTTCCCCTTTGACTTTGTTTGTTGGAAGCCTGCTGGGAAAGTCACAAATGGTGATCGCATGTGATCAAATGGGGATCAAATGGTGATTGCAGGTAGTCACATGCCACCATCATAAATACATGCCAGTTGCTAAGCACCAGAATCATGATCCTCTAATTGACGATTGTAAGTGGAAGGATTGATCATAACTAACTTTTATCAGCACTGATGTAACTTCGAATGGTCCTCAATGAATGATCCTAAGTCCAGGACTTCCTGTAGATCTAACACAGCTCTTCTCCTCTGCAACTTGGAAATTCAACTAGGAAAATGTCTGTGGAGATTCTCAGTCATCCAGGCCATGGGTGTCCCAAAGGTGTTTTTTTCAAGAAGCAACTAGACTTCCTGGTTTTTCTTTGAAGAGGTTTCGCTTCTCATCCAAGAAGCTTCTTCAGCTTTGACTGGATGGTGGGGAATGAAAGGATTTATACTCCTTGCAGACAGCTGGTCATTTGCATCCTTTCAGAGAGTCCTTGAGGCCACCTGGAGGTGTATCTGTGTCCTCAGAGTCACCTGAGTAGTGCAAATGGGTGTGGAACCTTCTTGGAACTGTTGAAACTACTTAGTTTCACTACTCAGCTGACCCTGAGGACACAGATAAACCTCCAGGTGGCCTCAATGATTCTATAAAAGGATGCAATTGACAGCTGTCTGCAAGGAGTATAAATCCTTCCATTCCCCACCATCTAGCCAGAGTTGAAAAAGCTTCTTGGATGAGAAGTGAAACCGCTTCAAAAAAAACAACCAAAAAAAACAAGAAAGTCCAGTTGCCTCTTGAAAAAGCACCTTTGAGTCAACTGGGAAAACTTTCCAATTAGCAACAATTGCATCTTTCAAGCTCATTCAGCGGAAGTTACTCAGGACTACAATCTCAAATGGACCATGGAATGTGGAGCAATGGAAACTTATTATGGGATTGCTGTGGTTTGAAACTACTGATTTGGAAGGGGAAGGCTTTGCCCTATTTAGAAGCTCCCTATTTTAACATCCAGATAAACATCTGGTGTGCTTTGATTTTCAACGTTGGCTGGTTTCTTTTTCTTTCAAATGATAGCTTGGTGGGTAGAGAAAAGTGCCACGGTCTGATTATAGTTATTACCCGCCAAAGATTTCAGGAAAGTGGTACATATTGTCATACAGTAGTCTCACGTCTCCAGCAAGACTGGCAGATATACTTGTGTGTAACAGGTTCAGGAAAATAAATACGATCTGCTAGGATTTCTTCAGAGAAAATCCTTTGCTATGGTGCTCCTGCAGTTAAATCTCTGAAAGCTAGTTGCTTTGGATGAAATAGAAAAAAAAAATATGCCTTCTTTTCTTTATTTTTTTTTCTCCTTTTTGAAAATGTGATGAACAATAGCAATCTCAACTCTGTTCTGCATGGCAATGCAGATGAAATGGAAAAAGCAGTTGATATTTTCATCAGGTCCGCCTGATTCGCCAGCTGAGTCCCTTTCGGATCGGGGACTCCTTACGCACAGTCACTCAGGCGCTCGTCACTTCCCACCTGGACTACTGCAATGCTCTCTACAATGGGGCTCCCTTGAGGAGCACCAATAGGCTCCAACTGGTGCAGAATGCGGCCGATGTGGGGGATTATGGGAGCAAGAGGGCGCTCCCATGTGATGCCTCTCCTGCCGAGCTGCATTGCCTTCCAGTGGTCTTCTGGGGTGCGCTTCAAGGTGTGGTCACCACCCTTAAAGCGCTCCATGGCATCGGACCTGGGTATTTGCGAGACCGCCTTCTGCCCGCCATAGCCTCCCACCAACCAGTACGCTCCCACAGAGAGGGACTCCTCAGGGTGCCATCAGCCAGGCAATGTCGGCTGGCGACCCCCAGGGGGAGGGCCTTCTCTGTGGCAGCATCTGCTCTCTGGAACGATTTGTCCCGGAGATACGAAGGATACCAGATCTCGGGCCTTTCGCCGTGCCCTAAAAAATATTTTTTTCCATCAAGCAGGGCTGGCTTGAACCCCACCTTTTTTAGCTCTTTTTAGCTTTTTAGCTTTTTAAGTGTAAATTGGGTTTTATTGGATTGTTTTAAATTGTGGGCCCAAAGCTGTATAATTCTTTTAATGACTTTAAATTTTGTATTGGAGGCCACGCCTACCATGGCCATGCCCACCCAGCAACTGGGCAGAGAACCATTTGCTAAATTTTTGAAGCCCACCCTGGTTCAGTTCATTGTCCCTGTAGCAGTGTTTCTCAACCTTGGCAGCTTGAAGGTTCTGGGAGTGAAGTCCACATCAGTGGTGGGTTTCAGATATTGTTACCACCGGTTCGCAGTGTGCACACTCGCTTCATGCGCGCACCTTCCGTGCATGCACCCGGCTCAAAAACGTGTCTAAATAGGAAGGCATAGCACCGGGGTGGGTGGGCAGGATCACTCGTGATCACCGCTACCGGTTGGCGTGAACCGGTCCGAACCGGCGCTGAATACCACCTCTGGTCCACATGATCTTCAAGTTGCCAAGGTTGAGAAACACTACCTAGAATGTAAATTTCAGAAATGAATTCCTGGTCAAAAGTCCACAAAATTCAGTGGAATAATCTTCTGTGTAAGCCCATAGAGCAGTGATGACTAACCTTTTTGCCATCGCGTGCCAAAAGTGGGGTAGTGCGGGGGTGGTGGTGTTGCGCATGTGTGTGCCCACACCCATAATTTTATGCGTCCCGCCCTCCCACGCATGCGTGCATGACCCCCCCGCACTCCCCCGCTTTTGGCATGTGATGGCACAATGGGCCCGTTTTTCACCCTCCCCAGGCTCCAGAGCCTTTCTAGGAGCCTGGGGAGGCCGGGAATCAACCCATTTGCCAACTTCTGGTGGGACTGGAAGGCTCATTTTTTGCTCTCCCCAGGCTCCAGAGCCTTTCTAGGAACCTGTGGAGGGCGAAAACGGCCTTCCCCATCCACCCGAGGCACTCCGGAGGCTGGAAACAGCCTGTTTTCCTACTTCTGGTGGGCCCAGAAGGCCCGAAAACACAGCTGAGCTTGCATGCCCACCAATATGGCTCCGTGTGCCATAGGTTCATCATCATGGCCATAGAGCATTGCATCAGACATCTCATCTTGACAGGTAAAGCTGTTTGCAAATCATCTTGTACAGCAGCATTCTCCAAAGTGATACTCCTTCAGATCACCCAAGGGTGCTTTAATAGGAGGCAACTGGACTTTCTTGTTTTTTTCTTTGAAGACGTTTCACTTCTCATTCAAGAAGCTTCTTCAGCTCTGGATGGATGGTCGGGAATGGAAGGATTTTATATTCCTTGTAAATCCTTCCATTCTTCACCATTCAGTCAGAGCTGAAGAAGCTTCTTGAATGAGAAGCAAAACGTCTTCAAAGAAAAAACAAGAAAGTCCAGTTGCCTCCTGAAAAAGCACCTTTGGGACAACCACGACCTGGATGACTGAGATTCTCTATAGTCCTTCAGATCTTCAACTTCCACAAGTTCTAGTCAACATTAGAAGTTTAGTGATGGCCCAGCTAGAAGATGCCGGGCTGATATTCCTATCTCCATCAGGCGATGGGCCAGAACATTGATTTCTGATCCATTTAAGTTCCCCAAAATTCTATTTGGGGACCTCCCATCATTTTGGCTTGGTAGACGTCTTTGAGAAATTTGGAAACCTCTCTCGAGTTTTCATTTACCAGAAGGAAAATCGGGATGTTGCTTTCTACTTTTCCCTTTAATTCCTCAGAATTCTGTCCACCATTCCAACTTCACTGTGTCTTTTTTGCGTACAGATGGACCTTTAAAAAAGCACCGAGTTC